CTGTCTTAACATCCCATAAATGAATTGAGTTATCTTTGCTAACAGATGCTAATGTAGTACTGTCAATCCAGTAGGATACTGGATTGACATGAGTATTAAGACCATCTAATAAATTTAAGTCATTGATTTCAAAATTTTTCCAATTACAATTAAATAGTTGAGCTAGATTTAAATTAACTCCGCTAACATCTACATTAATAAATTCAGATCCACTAAAGTTGCATCTAACAAAGTTACCACCAATTAAAGACTTATTTTTGCTCCTTGTATTCTCGAATGATTAGTTCCTAATATCTACCTTCATATCCACTAACAAGTGAAGTGAATTTGACCCACTTTAAATGAATAGATTATCAAAAGGTGTAAGTTTAATTAAGAATTTTAAGAATTAAATAATCTTCTCATTATGCGATATTTTAAGTATTAGATCTTATTTTGTTTATTATAAATTTTCAATTGAATAGCTTATTTTATTATAGTCATGTGCTTTAATTTATTCAAGAAGATTAGTTAATTTTTTAATTTTCTTATTGAGATCCCCTAAAATCTAATATTTATCAAGTGTTATGTTGTTTCTAACTTATAAAATATATTATTTAAAAAGTGTTTGACTTTTACCTTATGACAGAAATTCAAGACAATCTGAAATTTTTTCTTTTTTCAATATTTCAACTATCATATTCATAATAAATTCATCAATATCTTCTGATAAAGTTAAAATCTCATACAAATCTTTCTTAAATTCAAAAAATTAAACATGCTATTAAGTCTATTCAACTTATATTTATTTCTCTAGTTCATTAATTAATTCATCAATTCCTATTCTTTTTTTTATTTTATAATTTTTTATTCTCCATCCAAAATATTGAACAATCATTTGTTATAATAATTCTTTTAACTATTAATTTATTTATTTTTTTCTTAATTTCTAATTTATTTAGAATTGATTTATTTAATTTATCGCTAGTTATATTTAAAAAGATGTATCACATTTTGAAAAAAATGTTTCATTAGTCAAAACCTCATAAAAGATCAGACCCAAAGACCAAATATCAACAGATAAATCATAGTTTTTGGAGATAATCATTTCTGGGGCCAAATATAAATAAGTTCCAGTAGTAGCAGTATTAGTTTATTCTTAATTTTATTTTGTGGTTCCAAAAACTATTAATTTGATCATACCAGGTTTTAAATCTCTATGAAAAAATCAATTATTCTAATTCAGATACACCTTTCGCCATCTAAAAAAATATTGAAAGCTATTTACTTCTAAGCAATCCCTCCTCTTATCATACATTTACTTTAAATCAAGACTCTTTGCAAGTTCTATTATTGTGAAAATTCCATCCTTTTACTTTTCAAAAGCATGCTCTTAAATTATATGTTAACATTTTTTTTCTCTGATAGCCTGCAAGATCTTTCATTCATGATCACTTATTGTCATTTACTATTTTATCACTACAACACTTCCGTCTAATCTTTATCCTTGAAAAACTAAGCCATTTCCACCAGTGCCAATTAGATTCCCTTTTTTAACTTCTATTTGTTCAACCTTGATGAGCATTAATTTAAAACTCTATAAAAATTATTTAATTTTAATTATAAGAAATATATGTATTGAACCAAGCTTTATTTTGGAAATTCCACTTAAACTATTGTAACAAAATAAAATAAACAAAGGCAAATCATGTTTATTGTAACCTTTGAAAGTTTCTACCAATTTTTCTATTTGTTTACCATTATTATTATTAAACCACCATGAAACTATTTATCTCCTCTCGAAATAATGTCTATTGGTATAAGGTAGTGATTATTATATTCAACCAGTTAAAGTTTATTTATATATGAATATTTTCAATTATAACAATATCCTAAATCAACAGATATCATTCTTCAATTAAGAGATAATTCAAATACACTAGACCTTGAAATTGATTTTTTTATCTCTTTCGACAAGCCTAATGATGACTAAAATTCGCCGAGGCATCTTTTTTGGTTTTCTTCTATAAAATTATAATTTGTCCTCTATACTAAAACTGCATCATAACATTTTCATAGCATATCTTACTCATAGATATTCGTACTAATGAGCATTTAAAATTCCAAATTTTTATGCTCATTTCATATTGACCTCAACCAAGCCAACAAACACCTTTCCCTTTTTAATTGGCTTATTCTTATGAATTACAATATAATTAGAAGGGAATTTAATAATCAATTTAGTAAGTAATCATAACAGAATTATTGTTTGTTACCAAAATAGACATATTTTGCATAAAGTGTCAGCAAAAAATATCTAATTTTCTTTTTGTATTTATAAAAATTATTAAGATCAGAACAATTAGAATCTCTCTTTGGCAATAGAATTTTGTTTTGACTGATCCAAATGATAACAGCAATTTTCAAATTTTAAACAGAAACTGATTTATGTTTTGAGAAAAAGAAAACATGTTTAATTTTATTTCCTATTCTCGAACGGATATATTTGAGTCATTCTCCATTAATTTTAGTTCATTAATTTAGTATCAACCTTATAAAAGATGTAAATAAAACATGAAAAAATCATCAGATACTTGAATACTTGACTGAAACTATCCCAAATCTATTTCTAATACAAACAATAGGCTTTTCCCTTTATATAAAAGCGAAAAATATATGATTTTTTCGAATCAAAACTCTGATATTTAACCAGGTTTTGAATTCCCTGAATATTATTAATTATTTAATAAAAAATAAGTTTACATCTCAAAAATGAGCCAAAAAAATTCAAAGGAAAACGAAAATGCTGCTGCGTTAGCTCATTATAAAAGAAACTAAGTACAATTATTAAATTGAATTTTTTTAGGAGTTTATAATTAATTATAAAACAGAAGAAGCATTATTAGAAATTAATAATGCCTTGGATCTTTGTCCTCAATTTGCAGAAGCTTACACTTTAAGAAGTGCAATGTTTTAAATATCAAATTAGGTAAATTATATGAAAAAATGAAATTATATGATAAAGCATTGGAAGATGTAAATTATAGCATATCCATAAACAATAATAACGCTGCATGTTATTATTAACGAGGTATAAAATTAGTAGTCATAATTTAAGCAACAATTTATTGGAGAAAATTATTATTCGATCTAGCACTTTAAGATTGTATGAAGNATGAATATTTTCAATTATAACAATATCCTAAATCAACAGATATCATTCTTCAATTAAGAGATAATTCAAATACACTAGACCTTGAAATTGATTTTTTTATCTCTTTCGACAAGCCTAATGATGACTAAAATTCGCCGAGGCATCTTTTTTGGTTTTCTTCTATAAAATTATAATTTGTCCTCTATACTAAAACTGCATCATAACATTTTCATAGCATATCTTACTCATAGATATTCGTACTAATGAGCATTTAAAATTCCAAATTTTTATGCTCATTTCATATTGACCTCAACCAAGCCAACAAACACCTTTCCCTTTTTAATTGGCTTATTCTTATGAATTACAATATAATTAGAAGGGAATTTAATAATCAATTTAGTAAGTAATCATAACAGAATTATTGTTTGTTACCAAAATAGACATATTTTGCATAAAGTGTCAGCAAAAAATATCTAATTTTCTTTTTGTATTTATAAAAATTATTAAGATCAGAACAATTAGAATCTCTCTTTGGCAATAGAATTTTGTTTTGACTGATCCAAATGATAACAGCAATTTTCAAATTTTAAACAGAAACTGATTTATGTTTTGAGAAAAAGAAAACATGTTTAATTTTATTTCCTATTCTCGAACGGATATATTTGAGTCATTCTCCATTAATTTTAGTTCATTAATTTAGTATCAACCTTATAAAAGATGTAAATAAAACATGAAAAAATCATCAGATACTTGAATACTTGACTGAAACTATCCCAAATCTATTTCTAATACAAACAATAGGCTTTTCCCTTTATATAAAAGCGAAAAATATATGATTTTTTCGAATCAAAACTCTGATATTTAACCAGGTTTTGAATTCCCTGAATATTATTAATTATTTAATAAAAAATAAGTTTACATCTCAAAAATGAGCCAAAAAAATTCAAAGGAAAACGAAAATGCTGCTGCGTTAGCTCATTATAAAAGAAACTAAGTACAATTATTAAATTGAATTTTTTTAGGAGTTTATAATTAATTATAAAACAGAAGAAGCATTATTAGAAATTAATAATGCCTTGGATCTTTGTCCTCAATTTGCAGAAGCTTACACTTTAAGAAGTGCAATGTTTTAAATATCAAATTAGGTAAATTATATGAAAAAATGAAATTATATGATAAAGCATTGGAAGATGTAAATTATAGCATATCCATAAACAATAATAACGCTGCATGTTATTATTAACGAGGTATAAAATTAGTAGTCATAATTTAAGCAACAATTTATTGGAGAAAATTATTATTCGATCTAGCACTTTAAGATTGTATGAAGTGTCTTTAGAATAATACAGAATTTGCAATAGGTTATAGTAGAATGAGTAATCAATTTATAGGCTCGATTATGAGAAGTTTTAAATAAAAGGATAATGAACTTTAATATTTAAATAAACTATAGAAAAAAATGGCAATTGTTATTAGGCCTTTAATAATAGAGGTAAAATTGATATTGAAATTTAAGGCTTATATTATATGGATGAACAAATGAGTGATTTTGCATTTAGAGATTTCAATTAAGCTATAACATTAATCCTAAATTCTCAATAGCCTATTATAACAGAGGTGAAGACTGTTAAACTTAATGTGTGAGGCAATTTATATACAAATATTGGTGACAAAGATAAAGCATTAAGTGACTATAATCAAGCAATCCTACTTGATCCAGATAATGCAAAAGCTTATTATAACAGAGGTGAATACTATTCCACTTAATAAATAAGGCAATTTATATCAAACTATTGGTGACAAAGATAAAGCATTAAGGGACTATAATCAAGCAATCCAACTTGATCCAAAATTCTCAATAGCCTATAATAACAGAGGTGAATACTTTTAAACTTAATATATTAGGCAATTTATATAAAGATATTGGTGAAAAAGATAAAGCATTGAGTGACTATAATCAAGCAATCTAACTTGATACTAAATATGTTGATCTCTATTTTAACAGAGGTGAATACTATTACACTTAATACCTTAAGCAATTTATATCAAGCTATTGGTGACAAAGATAAGGCATTAAGCGACTATAATCAAGCAATACAACTTGATCCTAAATATGTTAATGCCTATAATAACAGAGGTGAATACTATTACACTTAATACCTTAAGCAATTTATATCAAGCTATTGGTGACAAAGTTCAAGCATTAAGTGACTATTAACAAGGATTATCTCTATCTCCTAATCATTCATTCTTATTATGCAATTTAGGTAGTTTTTATTACATTCTTTCTAACCATACTCAATAAGCTTATGAATGTTATTAAACAGCCATAAATTCTTTAGAGAGCTTAAAATAATCAGAAATTGCGTAATTCCAGTTAATTCAAAGGACTATTAAAGACTTAATAAATATGTTTGACATCCTTAAAAATTTAGAATAAGGAATTGAGCAATCTAAATAACTTTTAGAGAAGCTACCAACTGAAACACCATAAGAATAATAGAATAAAAAAAATTATAGTACAAAAATAGAATAATATCAAAATGAAATCAAACCAATTCTAACAATCCCAATAAACCAATCAATAGAGCTTGAAAACTAATAAGTTTAAAATGAATAACTGAATTAAATATTGTTATATGTTAAACAGTTAAAATAAGAGATATTACAATAAAATAAAGTAATTTCAAAAGTATAAGAAGAAAATGCAGATTTAAAAATAAAGTAAATCAATTAGAGCAACAAGATGGAAATTAAATTGATTTTTATTAAAAGATCTTGATAAACCAGAAAATTAGCATTAAGAAATTTATTCCAAATCCTTATTTTGGAGGCTTTACAATTATCTTCAAGCGATGTAGTAAATCTCTACAAATTTATATTAATTAAACCCAGATGCAGTTATTGAAACAAACTCAGAAAAGGTTTTAAATATTGTTCAAAAAATTTCAAACCTTGGATCAGTTGCACTTTCACCAATACCAATCATTGGAGATGCTTTTCAAATTATAAATGCTGCCCTTGATTATGCTATAGATGAAAAGAATGTGAATAAATTTAATAAAAGAGTAAGAATTCTAAGCTAAATACTTATATTTTTTGCAGTAAATCCATAAAAATTAGAAATTGAAGTGCAAATGGCAGCAATATCTTTAGGAAAATAACAATAGGTAAATATGAAAAAAAGGAAAGAAACAATTTTTAAAAATAGAGTTAACGATTTATTAGCAAAAGAAAGCAGTTCCTCAGAATTATTTAAGAATATTTACTGGATTTGTGGCACAGAAGATGCATTAATCATTTTAAGCTATTTAGAAAAAAACTATGAAAAAATATTAAAGGAATAACAGAAAAAGTTAAGGGAGATATTTGAAGATGCTGTTAAATCATATTAGTATTTACCTTAAAATATATCTGTGGATATCGGTTGTTCTTCAACATGTTAAATGATTTGATATAATTCATTAAAATAAAACAAAAAATTAATTTTATCCTAATCAAAATTTTATTATTACTTTTATTAATATTATTCAATAGTTTAAAAAGTTCTATTTAAAATAATATAAAAAATATTCAAAGTTTTTTATAATGCTGACTATTGGTTCCAAAAATATCTGACTACATTGAGATACCATTTAAGCATTATAGATTTGATACTTGTAATATAATAGAATAAACTTAGTATATTAGTAGAGATGAAAAGCTATTTGGTAAAGGATTATACTGTTTTAATTTAAATTGAATATTTTTATTTGAAAATAGATCAAAATTGACACGGACTAATCATAGAATTAACAGAAAAGAATAACACTTTTTAAAGGATGAAAGTAATTTCTAAATACATAAGGTTAGATAATCATATTTATTAGAGAAGCAAGAAAAAAATAATTGTTACCTAATTATTTTCATATTAAATTTTCACAATGAAATAAGGAGAATGGATCAACCAAAAATCGATTATTATCATTTAGACTTTATTTAAGGAGTCAAATCTTGAAATTCTTAAGTCTTTGAATTTTTTTAATTTGCGCTTATTTATCTTTTAAGCAAGTTAAGAATAATAATTATTAAACAATTCAAGATTAATACAATTCCCCTATTTTAAAGAAATCATTTGTAAGAAAGTATTAATGATATTTAATATTTTTAGTCTCCAATAATATGACTACTCTCCTCATAGTCGAATAACGAAAATGATTAAGTTCAAAGGGAAATTGCATTTTGAAAAGCTAATTGGATCAAAAATAAAAGTGAAACTGTTTTTATAAAGAATATTACAATTATCAAATATCCTGTATTTTTCAGTTTTTTGTTCATAATAGATTTTCAAGACCTAATTATTACATTAAAAGTTTAGGATTATACTTGAAAACAAATATTAATAGTTAAGTTATTAAAATAAAACAAATAAATTTTTGGTTTACTAAGTTAAAACCAACTTATTATTTTTTTGTTTGGGGGTTTGAGATGAGGAGTCAAAAGCAATTTGACTAACCAATAAAGAACAAAGCTTGAATTTTTCCTGAATTAATACTAATTGGTTGAAGTCAAAAAAGAAATATCCATTGACTTCACCCTTTTTGGCTAATCAGCAGATTTGCTTTGAATATCACATAGGTTAAATATTTACTTTTTTTTGCTTTCACAACAAAAGAAATCATAATTTATCGAAAAATTTTTTATTTTAACAAATTTGGATTTTTTTTTTAATTAGAATAAGAATTATAGCATATCCAAAAAATAATTGATATTTTTTTCAAATCATAATTGCCTTATTAGCATAAAAAATAAAAAAAAAAATAAGATTTCATTTGGATTACAATAATTTAAAGAAGTTTTTTTAATTTTTAACTCTATTAAGAAAATTAAAGTCTTCCTAGTAATTTTTTTGATGATTAGGCAGTCCAAGTTTATAATTCTTCGAAATCTACTTAAGTATCGAAAAAAACAAGTATATTAATTGTCTTATTTTGATTACATATATAAATATTATCATATGGCTAACTATTTACTTGTATGAAGGTCGATTTTTGAAGAAAAATTTTATTAAAAGCTCACTCTTTTTTTCTAACAATTAGTTATAATCTTAACAATCATGTATGAATTTATTTTTAAATAAGAGTTTAATGATTCTATAAATTAATACCTTCTATTAGCATTAAAGTTATGAAAATATTGTTGAGGTCAAATAATAAATTTCTTAGAAACATTTAAACAGAGTTATTTAATTCGATTAATAAAATTTATTATTGATGAAAAAATAAACTAAATTAGAAATTTCAAATCTTGCTGGATGAAGTCAATTAACTGTTAAACTTTGGTTTTTGTGGGTCTTAAAATACCTAGATTTAGCTTCAATTGCTGATTGAAGTAAAGAAGAAATCAGTTAAATTCTTGAATTTCTATCTGATCCAAATATGTATATAAATTTTAGATAAATTTTTCTAACTAGAAAAAAGGAAAATTTTGCATAACCCAAAGTCTTCATCTTTGAAAAATTTAATAGATTTTCTTTGAATTTCGTTTATTTGGCTGGTTGATTAGTTCCAAGAATTCAGTTTTCTCGATCCAAGAAATCATGTGGAAAATTTTGATCTGGATATTAATTTCTCATTAAAATCATTTCAAGATTGATGGTTATTTCTTGTAATTAATTTAGGTGAGTTAAATTATTTATCAAAACTGTAAATCTTATGAATGAGATCATACTTGCTTTAAACAAGTTTTTCAGAAGAGCTTGATTATTATTGATGATTAAACTATCTTTTTAGTCATTATATTGTGAAATACTTTTTTATATTAATTAATAATAAAGAGCTATTGAAAGATAAGCTCGAACAGATAACTTTTTAAAATTACGAAACTTATTTATTAGTTCAAATTAATTTCTTTTAATCTAATCACTAAAGATCCCAATCCTTGATAAGAAATATCAATATATTTATAAAAATTAGTTAAACCTAACATAACAACTTAATGATTTTAGAAGAATATAGTTGTTTAACTTTTCTTTTAATTTGATTACATATAGATTTCATACTTTCTGTTAGCCTCTTCACTGAACTGATAGATTATATAATAGAAAACCATTAATATTTACATCTCAATAATATTTATTATAAAATTATTCCCTACATTAGATTGTCCATAAAATAAGGCAAAGATACAATCTAAAACAATTTATATTCATAGAATTGATAAAGAGACCATACTTTATTTGAAATTTTTTAAACTTAATTGTATTAAAAATCGGTAAAACTTTCATTACATGAGTAAAGCCTTGTTTAATCTGTATTTTGTTAAATTAAAACACTTTTCTTTAAGTATTATAATTTTCAATTTTATTTATTAAATCAATTACTTAGAATATTCATGATAAATGTAAAAGCTCAAAAAAATAGTTAAACCATCTATAATAAAATTTATAAGAATTCATTCTAAATTTATACTATTTTAATTATTATTGTAAAATTTTAGTAAAAAAATAATTAAAGTACTTTTTTTGACTCAAATGAATTACTTTTTAAAGAAATTGATTATTATTTATCATTATCAAAATAATATATATTAAGCAGCGCAAACAGAAAATAAAAATCATATTTTAAATGATTCTCTTTCGCTAGGCTGATTTGAATCATCAAATCCAGAATCATTTTTTTGAGTTTCAACAAAGTAACCATTTGTTTGTCTATTAATTGATTTAAATTCAATTAATTTGTTAGGAATAAAATTGAATGCCCCAGGATATTAAACTTCTAATAATTGCTTGGTTTCCTCTGAGACTTGAACTCTTCCTTTTTCTCCATTAGATTCCATTTTATTTGAAATCATAACATCTGCTCCGTAAACATCATACCTAACTATTTCGGTTCCTAAAATTCCTGCAATAACTTTCCCCTAAAATTTAAATAATAATGAATTACAGTATGTATTCCAATTCTCATATCTAATCCGTCAAATCCAATTATCTATCTTACATTTCTAATAATTTCAATCATTCCGAATCCCAATTCAACAACATTCTTAGCTTCTTATGCAGGATTTCTTTGTCTAATATCTATAACTCCCACTGCAACATAACAGTCTCCAATAGTATACAGCTTGTATGTATTTTAAGTTAAACATTTTTTATCAAATTCTGTGAATAGATTTCTTAACATATTAACAACTTACTCAGGTTCAACCTTACTAGAATATTCTGTAAATCCTGCTATATCAGCAAACAATAAGGTTGCTTCTTCTAACTATTCTACTAAGACCTCTCTTTAATTATTAGATAAAAATTGTTTTAAAATATGATTAGGTAGAAGGTATTTAACTAAGTTTTCGGATTAGCACTTTTTAATTTCAAGAGATCTTTTATTATTAAAGGTATTCAGATCTTAATAAAATATATTGTATTAAACAGAGAACATAAGAATGCCTTAATAAATTGTATAATATGCTACAGCCCAATCATTAAATTTGACAAGTACAATTATAATTTGAGCTACACAAAAGAATAATAAGAATGCTACTTTATGTTTAATTTGAACAATTGATAAAGAACAAAAGAAACATATCAATAGTATTCCTTCTGAGGCTTACAATTCGAACAATTCCTCACTTTTAAGGAGTACGAATTCCAATAAGATACTAAACAAAAGAATTATGTAAGTTGCAATAAAATATTAACCTTGGTAGAACTTGTGTTTTAATTTCTTATTTTATAACAATGCCAGAACCAATAATACTATAGTTGCGAATAATCGAATGGCTATTATTAAGAAGGGACTTTCTATGATAGATTATTAGACTAAAATAAAAAGAGTAAGAGTTTTTGCAAGATATTGTAAAAAATGCAAATATATAGTAATAAATACTATATTTCTCCCTTCAGCATTTTATTCTATGAACTCTTTTGCTAATTAATATTGATGTTCCTTAAATCCAAGATATAATTTTTTCTTCTCTAATTGTAAACATTCACTTATCACATTACTATTGTCATCTTCTAAATAACCTTTAATTTTATCGAATTCAATATCATAATCTGGAAAATCATCAATCACATCTATTTACAGATCTCTTCTTAACTTTTATGAAATTTCAGATAATAGATTTGATTTCTCAAAGTATGATGCTAATTACTCTTTTTCCAATTGACTTACTTCTTAATCAGCCTCTATTTAAATATTTTAATTGCTATTAAGTTTAATTTAACCTGCTGTTTGGTATTGTTAAGGCATTGATCGCATAAGTAAAGTTTATCTTGAATTAGCTTTCCTTTTAAATTGCTTCACAGGATCTTGCTATTATTATCGATTTGAGACATCTTAAGAGGAATCCTATTATGCTGGAATAGATTATTTAGATGAATGCTATTATATAATATCATTATTGGTGTTTGTGTTTTAGATATTATAGGTAACATTATCTTATAAGTTAAATTAGATGCTTTCTTATCTTTTCAACGAGTTTTGAGCAAATGATGATGGTTATTTAGCAGAAGATGGTATATTTCCTTAAATTGAAGGTTGAGGTGAGAGTATATGATTATTGGATTCTTCACTTTTCAGAATAACTCCTCTTTTTTTTATATTCTTCTTTTCAGTATTTCTTTTAATTTCCTTACTCACTTAATATGTTATTAGTTCCCCTTTTCCTTTAGCAGCCACTTTCCTTTAAGTAAACTACAATTCAGGCATATTAATTTCTAAATATGCTTCATTCGATAGAGTGACTTATCCATCTTGTCCAGTTGAACAAACTCTACTAGTTGTATTAACAGTATCGCCAATCAAAGAAAATTGAGGTTTATGATGTCCTATCACTCCAGCTATCACTCTACCATAATGTATTCCTATTTTTATTGTCAAATGTCCAATCTGTCCATATTTAACTTTTCTTGTGTGATCCATCATTTCTAATGATAATTAAACAGCCTATTAAATACTCTAAAATTGTTACTCTTTTAACACAATTTTAATTATAAAATTTGGTTCCTTAGTCTACTGCTTTTAGACCCCCTGCTGCCATATATGTTTTACCAACAGTTTCTATTTTTTGCATTCCATTTTAAGCACATAACTAATCAAATGATCTAAACAATCCATCTAAAATCTTCACAATATTTTCCTTTTCAACTGTAATCAAATCATCAAAACCACAAATATCACAAAATAAAATTGACACATTCCCTTAGTTCTCACTTATCTCAAACATGCCCTCTAAATTATATAAATCATAACAACTTACTTGCATTAATTCTATCCCTAATAAATTTTGGTAATAAAATTGATAAAACATTTGTCATTTTTGATGTTTCTTAATTCAAAGTCACATCAAGCATAAAATCTTCCCTTTCTAACCTAATCAATTTATATTGTAAAGCCATAAATAAGATACTAGTTGCGATAACAACTACTTCTCCGTTGATTAAAGAATAGTAAGTTATTTAAACTTAGGAAAATTCCATTATTGAGTATTTTTTAATGAATCCAATCACTGATAATATTCCAAGAATAAAATTGATTATAGGTAGGTGTATCCGTGAAAATAATAATACAACTATGTAACTTTAGGTGAGCAATAATTCATAAATCCCTTCTTGTTATGTTGTTCCTAAATCACAAATAAATTTGATAAGAAATCTGATGAAAACAACAGATAAATTGATGAAAAAGAAATGTTTAGGATATATATTTGAACAAACTAAAAATAGTAAGACAAACTATAAAGCTATTCCCAAAATGTAAGTTAAGAAATATAATTCAGTTGAAAAATGATCAGAATTATATACAACATATAATACTAAAGCAATTACTTCTAAAAAGACCAAAGTTATTATTAACTTATATCTCTCAAATTTTAACCAAAGAATTTTTGATAATCTTTTGAATTTCATTTCAGTATCTTTATTCATAAATTTAAGAGTAAATGGATTAACTTTATCTTAATTTACTTTTAAATTAGTTCCAGAAACCATTTCTTAAATTGATAGATCAAGTTCATCATTATTCCTTTTGAATATCTTACCTGCAATAACAGCAATTCTTTTAATTAAATTATGATATTTTCTGTAGTTGCTTTTATTGTTCTATGTATTTACTTTTTGAGAAATAATAGAAATTTCTTCATAGCATTAATCAGTTTTAATTAAACTTTAACAGAACAATGGTTGAATGGCTTCTATGCAACTACTTAAACATAATTATGCACCAATATAAAAGAAAAATACAAACCAAGAATGAGGATCAGTAAATAATTACTCAAAAGTTTCAATATTATCATCAAATGTAAATTTCACTGATAATAAAGACATGCCTAACCAACATAATAAATAGGCAAACACCAATATTATCCAAGCCAAAACTTTCTAGACTGAAGAGACACACAATTTTACCAAATCACTTCCTACTAACAATATCAAAAGCATTTATCTGATGATTCCAATTTGAGTGTTTCCATAAAATAATGAAAAGCAAGTCAACCACAGTAAAACTGCATCTAACAAGGCATTTCCATTAATTTTAAAAATAAATGACAATACTTTCTTTTTTTTGAATGTCTTAATGTTAATTTTAAATTATTCTTAATACATCTTTGAATCTCCATGATAATTTTCATTTAATTTAGAAATTAAGCTTGATATCTATTGCAAAAACAACATTAAACTTTAATAAACTGTCAACCAACTTCCTTCTACTAATTAATTATTCTATGAACAATTAGTGGAATAAATAAGAAATAGAGCATACAATATTAATAAAGATCGGTAGAATGAAAACACCAATAAATCATCATAGACCTCAGCAAATATTCTACTCTCAAAAAACATTAATCCACACAGATCCTCAAAACTATTTACACATATATCAGAAGTAGCCATTCTTTGTATATCTTTGATACCATGCTACCTTTTTAGAGGGTTTTCTAATATTTTATTCATTGATAATCTCTAAGTAAGTTTTCTTTTAGTACTCTATTTTAGTTACTATTAAGATACTGGTAAATGGCAATATTATATACCAATATTTGCTTATCTAAACATTTAAATGTCATTGAATGAATCTCCAATTGACAACACCTTTTTATTCCCTTAAAATTATGTTTAGATGATTTTAATGATTTCAGCCTTTTAAATTGGATTAAATCTATAAGCAATGAGAGAATTGCAAAAATATAAAAGGAATGTTAAATGGGCTAGGAATACACTATCCTCTTGTATAATGTTAAATTATTCTCCACTAAGCACAATTGAAAAGGCTCTTATTTCTCCATATTATTGTTATTATTATTATGATTATTATTACTATTATAATTATTATTATTAAAACTAATTATGGGAGCTTTTACCAACTGATTTATTTTAATTAAATGTATCTGGATTATAATAGTTATCAATACTCTTATGAGCTTTATCAGTCAATGTATTTAAGCGAATCGTTTTTGACTATATTGCATTGCTCACATTAAGATTCTGATCAGGTACTTTCAGTTATTAGGCCATTTAAGCCAATTAGTTTTTAATCACCAATTTTGCATTATCAGAATCAAGGTATAATAGTTGATCTGTATTTTATAATAAGCCTGACCTATAGGCAACAGGTAAGACTCTATTCATTTCATCCCCAGATAATAAAAATAAACTCAAATCTGCTTATTTCATTTATTAAATCAATATTTTTGCATCTGGTCTTATTTTTTCTTTAATACCCAAGACTTACATGATTTGCATATCCTTCTCTATATCATTGAATAATTAAATTAATTCATTTTATGATTATTGAAATCTAATCTATGAATATTTATCTAAGAATTCATTTTTTTCATTATCCCTTAAATAAATCTTTGAATAAACTACGGTTCTCATTCCAGCTATATGTAATTTGTTAAAAACTCTATCCCAATACTCTCTACTATTCTTATCTATATCAATATATGATGGTATTTGATTATGTTCTTCTCTAACTATTAATACACAATTAATAAAATCAGTTTCTTCTTCTGACTCGTTTATAAAAAATTGAAATTGCTCTGCCAATTTATCTGGATATTATATCATCACTCCTAATCGAGGATGATTTTAACATTGTTCATTAATAGATAGAATTTAAAATTCATGCATTTCACCTAATAAGTCTATGATGTAAGTAATCTTTCCGCCTGTTTCATTAGTACATACAAATTTAACATCAAAATATTAAGCAAATCTCATCAATTCTTAATCTAAAGTAGATTAAGTTGAATCATGAATAAATTAATCATCATATTAAGTAAACTTCGATGCAATCTCTTAGCATAAAAGTAGAGAGAGAATTGCTTCTTAATAAAATATTTATGATGGACCACAAACAAGTTTCTAATAGAATTCTTAATCTTTCTAAAATGCTATATCATATGTGTCTTCATCCATTTAATAATATTATAAGGTAGCTTTATTATTATTATTTCTATTCACAAAAGATGATTACTTTTTTACATGTCTGTGCTCATCCTTTTTTGTGGCATCACTATCACTTCTTGGTTTTTTTTATCTATCGCTTGTTACAGATTACTTATCTTCTTATGGCATCAGTTGTATTTCCTCAAATGGACTAGAGGAAGGAGATTATTAGATTGATATTGACTAGTTAACAATGATTGACTTGTTAAAGAATGGTTTGGGTCTATTTGCCTTCAAATCAGGTGTAATTCTACAATGAGTATCATCCAGATCTTCAGGTCTAATATTTTCAATTATATGTTGACCAATCAATTCAGTATTGTTTCCTTCAGAATTTTTAACATTTGCGCTCTCCAATTCAGATTTACTTAATATGGCTGATTACTATAATGGTTAAAAAGTTGATATTTTATTATTAAAGTTATTTTCATCATTTAAATGAGATTAATGTAATAATGTGGATCGAAACTTTTAAGTTTGTTATTTTCCTAATGACTTTGATAGACCTGACACTGTATTTTTGAAGCCATTACTTCTACTTTTCGATTATTATTCAAGAGCAATTTATTCATCAGAATATTCTTCTTATTCTTGAATTCTAAAATTAGGGTTTTATTTTAATTATTATTTGAAATTTTCTTTGAAGAGTTACCAACCATTTTATATCTTTTTCTACCCAAATTTATACATCATATCTTCTATAATTATGGATCTTACTCGAAATTCCCCTGTAGTTAATGTTCCAGTCTTATCAAAACATACATATTCAGTCATAACTAGGTCGCCAATTGAAACTGAATTCAATTATTCATAGTTTATTTATGGTTGTGTATTTTGTAAGTTAAGTCCTCCGATACTATTACCAACTTTGATTCTCATCTCAGATGATTTACACTGATTAAATTTAATGTATTTATAATGAGCATATCCCATTTCAATAATGTCTACACAATTATAAAAGTATATCGGAGTAGTCTTTAAATATTAAATCATATAAAATATAAGAGTAGTAGAATCAAAGATTGTTTCATTTTAAGAACTCTAACAAACTCCAAAAGATGCTATTAACCAACTTATAAATGTTATTATAATGCTAATAGTTAATGTTAAAGCAAAGAACATTCGTGACTTTTAAACAAAGAATGATTTCTTCTCTGCTTGTTTCAATTTATCATAACAAATGCAATTCTATCCTGCAAATAGTACTAGTCCTATTAAATATTAGCATGTCCTTAATTGTTCCTCTCTTCGAATGATATTATTACGATTAAAATTCTCTCCTTTTGGGTCTTTTTTTAATTTAATATATCCGTAAATGTTTTCATTTTTATCTTTATCAAATTATATTTAACCTGTCAAAATTTTTTTATAATCAAATCCTGATGCTTTGTATTTACCGTTTTTGAGCATTGTCAATTAAGTAGGTTACCGACTTTCTTCTGTTGTTTTTCCATCTAATTATTAAGAGGATACTCCAACTATATTATCAGAAACATCTATAATTAATATATCGGCTGGTGAAATTTCGTTTCGTTTTAAATAAACTAAATCACCTACTTCTAGTTATTCCCAATTAATATTCTCATAAAGCATTAATTTTTCCCTTCTTTTAACAGATTAAACTGAATGAGGTTTTTTCTACATCTCTAGTTTAGTAATTGTTACTTAGGGTTCTTTTGAATTTAAAAAAAAATCAATCTATTATTAATTTTATTAAGGCTTATTTCCAGAGGCAATTTCCTTTCTCAATCTTCTATATCTTGTTATACCTCTTTGATTTGTCCTCTTGTCATATTCCATTTTTAAGTAGTCAAAATAGAATGCCTTAACTACTTACAGGATGTAATGCATTGATAATGGCAAGATGTACACAACCAAGTCTTCAGGACTTAATATTCAACGCATTGTTTACTTAATTTAAAGGTAACTAAAATGAAGAATCATAACAATATAATATATTAGGACTCCGATTCTCTCAAACTATTTGAAAAATAAAAAGAAAAGCAAGGTCTTGAAATCAAAATAACCCGTATTGATCTTATTACTTAATTCATATTGTTTCACTCCCTTAATATTTACGACTTCCCCACAATCGATTTCAATCTAATATAATTTATATAGATTCAATACTTAATAATGAAATCTGGTTTGCTTCCTATTATTTTTGACATTGTCGTATTTTTTTTTCAATTGTTCATAAATTAATTTTCCGATGGTTTTCATTTATATTTATTATAAAAACTAAAAAGAAATAAGTTATTTCAAGCAAATTTTAAATTTTTACTTGAAAATACTGTCATTATTTTAATAGATGATTTTTTTGATAACAATACATCTAAGAACAATTACAAGAAAATAACCTTATGATAATAATTTAATATTAATAATGAAATTTTCATTCTTAAAACATAATCTATAGAGTCTGTTGAATCACTCTGAATAATTGGATTCACCCACTTCTATTATTAAGAAATTTGGTCCATTCCTAATGTCAAGCTTATTCAATTAGTAATTAGAGGAGAGTAAACAAGTGATTAAATATATGGAACAAAATATTGACTAAGCATAATTTATAAGAAATTTCTCTTATGAGCCTGGTATTAAAAATTGGAGAATAAATTTGAAAAAATCATTAGAAGGATTAGCATGTTCTTTGATCGTTGGCAATCCTAATCTTATTAATAAGCATTATGTTGAATGTTTATATGAAAGCCAAATTCCAATTTATGATGCAATCCCATTAGCATACACACTAGTCATACAACAAATAAAGAAATGGCCTTTGGTAGAAGAAAAGGAAGTTTTATCAAGATTAAACTATTTTTTGCAAACCTAAAAATAAGAATTTCAAAAAATAGGTCCACACATATTTTAAATGAAATTGTTGCTGTCAGATTTAGGGATATATTATCCTGATGTAGCAAATTTCTTAAAAGGTAAAGTTTTTAACTCGGATTTGCCATTAGATTATTTTGCCTCAGATTTGAGAATTCAATATTAAGACTTTTTTTTTGAGGATGGGAATTTAATCGATCTGAAAATTGGAGATTAAGTGTATCTATTTCTCTAATCTGAAGATTTCGAGAATCAAACTATGAGGACTTTTCTTTAAAGATATGTTAGGATTAAACGAATATCTGAATTATACCCTAATCTACATGTGGTTTGGATACATAATGACTTGAAGAAAGATTAATTATATAAAGTAATTGGTGTTTGAGTTAATATTTTTCATAAATAGCAATAAACAAAAATAATATATTTATAAATTAATGAAGAGAATATAAAATCTAATTGCTAATGGAAAGTAATTTCTTATTGATAGCTATTCAATTCATAAATCAAAATAAGTATAAATCACCGTATAAATTAGGCACTCAAAGCATATGAGAAATAGTAATACAAGAAGATCATTTCCTAATGTTAATATTGGAATTCCTATAAGTATATCCAAATTAATCAACATAAATTTCTGTTTTTTCTTATATCAGAGTAGAATAATGATTTGATAAAATAAATATTAGATAAAAATCCAATAAAGGAAGAAATCTTGGGAGATGATGAAAATCCAAATAAGTTTTTCCCATTGACATTTTCTGTATTAAATGATGTTAGAGAAACTAGTGAATTGCTCATTGAAAATGGAGCAAATATACATTAATCGCATAAAGATGGTAATAATATTACTCATGTTTGTGCTTTCTTTAATAAAATCTAAGCCTTAAATTATTGCATAGAGAAAGGTGTAAATTATGAATAATAAAATGAAAGAGGGGATACTCCTTTACATTTGGCATCAATGCAAGGACATTGTGAAATAATAGAGAGATTATTGCATTTGAAATGCAATGTTAATGTTGAGAATACAGAGCATCATCAACCTATACACGAATCAGTCTTGTTTGGTTAATTGGATGCATTTAAGATTCTCTTTAAATATTATTAAGGAATTTAGAGAAATTCACAATCTCCACACATTGTTCATTATGCATCTATGCTCGAAAACACATTTATTTTAAATGAAATTATCAAAAGTAACAAAGCATTAGTGAATTTAAGAGATCCTGTAAGTAATGCAGTTCCTCTTCATTTTAGTGTTAATTCAAATTCATTAGAGTGCACTAGTTTATTGCTTGTAAATATTTATTTTGATATATTCATAGGAAAGTGGGGCATTAACTAATGTTAAAGATAAATTTGGGAATACTCCCTTACATTTGGCTGTTGAAAAGAAAAACATTGAGATTTGCAAATTATTATGTTTGAATGGGGCTGATATTGATATTGAAAATGAGGATAAATTGACAGCAAAAGATTTAGCCGAAGTTGATGTGGATAGATAAATTCTGGCTTTATTTTAATCATAATCCAGATATTCAAAACTTTTCAGATAATGATGTTAGGACATATTGTTTGTTTGTGTTTGTAATTGAATTTTACATAAAATAAATTAAGACTCGTTTATATATAAATATTAAATTCATAGAAGAAGATAATGAAATTGAAAGAGAAATTTTACGATAAACCAGATGCCACAACGGTTTCTTTGCTTCAATCGATAAAAATGAATCCTTATTTCTAGAAGCTAATATCGTTTTCATTAAATTGCCTCTTTTCACAAATGTATTTACCCAACAACAAACATCGAGATAATTCGATCTACATTTTCAAAGGTAATGGTATAATGATCTTAAAGAGGGATATTCTATTCTAATTCAGTGTATCGATAATCATAGATAGAGTGATCAAGTCATTTAGAATGTTTGTGGTTGTTTGAATAGAATGATTGGTTTACATAAATTTAGAGATGAATTTATAGCTAGGAATGTTATTGATAGTAATCTTAGTCATGTCATTTCATCAATAACTAATAGATAATTATCATAGGAAGCTATCAAAGTAATATTGTTCACTATTGTAGTCAACACTAGATCTTTATTAAAATCTAACTTTTACATAGCTCCAAACGGATTCACTTGCAAAATCCAATATTCTAGTTGGATTCGTATAAATTTTAATAGTTTCTAAACCTTTAATTTTAGAAATGAAAAGAATATTTGATTTGGAATATAAAATGCTAAGTAGATTTTTTAATCTATGAAAATAGTTTAAGAATGTATAATTGAAAATATTAATATTCACGAACTTCTAACAATTTATATTTAATTGATGCAAGAGTATATAGATAATATATTTGTCATAAAAGAATCTTTAAGAATTCTATTGCTTTTGGTGAATAATTAGAATGCACTGAAAATAATAAAATAGAAACAATCAATACCATTAAAAATAATGAGTGAGATTTTAATCTAACATAATGATGTAAATTTCTAATTTGTATATAGATTGATGTAAATGATAAAGGAGCTCAAATTCTATAAAGTATCATAAACATAGAATAAGTCTAATAAAGTATTTAATCAATCAAATCAGTTGATTAATAAGCTGAATTCTCCATGAGTCTTATAGCTTGTTTGATACCAGCTATACATAATTAAATCAATTTGGATGAACTAATTAATATATTATTTGAGTTAATCAAAGGATATAAAAAAATAATTAAAAGAAAACCAATACTAAGAGATGCTCTTAATTGTTTGAGTAGACTCTATGATTAAGATTAAGATTATGTATATATTTCTTTTTTAATTGTTAGGCTGTCAAATTAAAATAATTTTTACCTCTTATGATGGAATTATATGAAAATGAAGATGCTGAAGTTGTAGCTGCATCATTTGATCTTAGTAGAAAACTTGGAACTAATCTTACTATTGAAGAACTTAATAAAATAATTGAAAAAGTTATTGCCTAATTAGCATAATTGAAAGGAGTCAAAGATGGACTAAGATTATTATTAACGTATGCTAGTAAGAATGACAAAACTTTCAAAGCTATTTCTAAAGGGAAAGAAGCTTTTTTTAAAATTATTGAAAATGTTAATAATCAAACATCTTAAGAGTATAATTCAAAATTATTATTACTAATCCATCAAGAAATCAAAGAGTATTTAATAAAAAAACTTTCTGTCATTGTTCAATTTATTTAAAAACATTATCTTTGGAAAAGATCATTATTATATTACATTTAAATTTTAAATAAATATCCAGAATAGGTAGCTTAATTAAAATCAAATTTGATGATTTCTATCTTATCATGTAAAAAGAATAAAGGTAATAATTGATAAGTTACTTTTAGATTATATAAGCATTGTTAGTACTTTAAAACAAGTAAAAACTGATTCTGAAGCTGAGGAAGATGATCCAGAAGAAGTTGCAATAGAATTTTAGTAGAATGAAGAATTAGAATAATAATTTATTATTTTAGTTAGAAATCTAACAAAATAAGATGATGTAAAAGTATTGTAGAAAGAAATCATAGGAAATAAATATAATGATGAATTATCTTAGGTTATGCTTGAAATACAATTGCTAAAACTTTCATATTATGTTTAAATTGAAGGAACTTTTTACTTGTAAAATGATTATTTCACAGAATTAATGAATTACTTATTGAAATTTTTAAAATCTTATAAAGCTGAGATGATAGATATTGTTTAATGCATATTTCTCTTGTTATAGACTATGTCAACTTTATATTGGAATGATAAAACTGGTACATTATATACTCAAAAGAAAACATCTCAGTTATGTTTTGACTTTCTATTTTAATCACTTGAAAATGAAGAACTTATGGATTCTAGTCTAGACACTATTCTATTTATGGGTTAAGGTTGCAAGAATACCAATAAAAAATAACACTATTTATTGGATATTCAAGATAATCAATATGTTATTCAATTGATAAGTTAATTATAAATCTTGATGAAAAAATATGTTCAAAAAGAAAGAATTTAGTTAAAAATATTAGATGTCATTAAGATCTATTTACTTTTTGAACTATTTAAATAGAATGTAAGAGATCTCCCAAAAATTCTGTGTAGAAAGTTACCTGAAGATACAACAACTAAAGAAATGGGATTAGAGACTATTTAAATATTATCAGATATTAATTATACAGATAATGCACTTAAATATGTTACACTATTTTAATTACAGCATTAATATGATATTGAAGTAATCAATTAAGTTATCCCATATATTGATACAGTATAAAAATATGAAGGGGATTCCTTTCTAACAGAGGAGATTAAGAAATAAATTAAATAAATGATTAATTATTTTGAAGAAATGGAGGATCCTGAAATAGGTTCTGAATATATGGATAAATTAAGTGTTTATTCAACAATTCCATAAGCTTTAGAATATGAATTTGATTGCAATATACTTGATGCTTTAGTTAATGTTTTAAAATATTGTGAATTAGAAAAGAGTAATAAATATGATAATAATTTAGATAATGATCGTTTGTTATGTTCATCAATTAATATATTAACTTAAATGTTGATAAATAATTATATTGAACCAATAGAATTGGAAAAGTGCTTTTAATTTTTATAACAAAAAAGACATAGTGAAAATCCTGTAAATTTGTTAACATTTTATCTTTCCAAAGGGGAAGCAATAATTTAGACAGATTACCTTTAATTTATATTGTAAAATTATCACTCGATATTAGGGATTTAATGGAAGAATATTAGAATAATAAGTTTGTAATTGCAAATTTATATGATATATTGTACAGATCTTGTTTAAAGTCAAAAGATATTAGTAAAATTTTAGGAGATAAAAGATTTATATAGAAATTAATATTATAAACTTAAGAATTAGTAATTGAATAAAGTAATGAAGAATAAGCAAAAAAGAATCTAGCATGGTTAGAAAATTTATCATAATCTGAACCTGTTGCTCTTAGGATTTAAAGAGAAAAGGGTAGAGAATTATGTTAATTAATTATTAAATAAAATAGTGCTCATTCTATGTTTGCATTTAAAATATTAGCAAATTTAGCTAAATTTAGTTAATCAATTCCTTTAAGTTATTTTCTGGATTATTTAAAATAAAATTAATTTCCATTAGAAATATTAACTTCTCTTGATATTCTATTTGAAAATGAAGAAATAAAATAAGAATTTCTAAAATAAAATGGTTAATAACTTATAAATTAGTGGTAGAATGATTATCCTGATTAATGTGAGAAATTGCATCAACATTTCAAACCTAAATAACCTGTGATACCTAGATAATCATTGTTAAAATAAAGATAATCATTATTATAATAAAAACAGTTATTATTGTAATTAAGATAAGAAAAAGAGGAATAAGAGAAATAATAAAAATTAGAATAAAGTTAAGATAAAGAGAATATTAATGAGAGTTAATAAATGATTCAATAATTCCAATAACCTGAATAGAATTAATAGTTAATTAAGGATTGTTTAGAATTAGCAGTTAAAAATCCATAATAGATAATAGATGAAGGAATGTTAGAAAGATTGTTTTAAATAGAAGATTCTTGGGAAGTGTTTAGAAGATTGACTAAACATTAAGATATAGCAGAATAGGTGTTATAACCAAACTCTAAATTATATTAAAATACTATTGATGAATTGAAAAATTAGGATTCTAAATATGCTGAGTAAGTATTGGAGACAGCAGGTTAAATATCTCAAGTTCCTGAAACATTAAGTGAATTTGCATAGACTGAGGGACCAGTTTCAATAGTGAATTTAATATAACATTAAGCTGATAATCCAAAAGTAGTTGAAGCAGGTTTAGATGCATTAAAAAAGTTATGTCAAGATGAAATGATTTTAAGTACAATAGGAGATTCAAATGGAATAGATTTGTAAAAGGATTTACTTACTAAATATTAAAATAATATTGAAATCATTAAAAAATGTGATGAAATGATATCATAATTATCAGTTTCTGAATCTTATTAAGATAAAATTGCTGAATTAGGAATAATTCAATAATTAATTGAATAAATAAAATAAAATCCTAATACTCTTGAAATTGTGTAACCAGCAATTGAAGCATTAGCAAAAGTAGTTTATAGAAATGCAGATAATGGAACTATTGTAATGGAAAGTAAAATTTTAGATGAAATTTTGCAATCTTAAATTTTAGATGATTTAGAAGAATTTTTATTGACTTTAATAAATAATATGTGTTATAAAAATGAAGAGATTAAAAAATAAATGAAAATAGAATATTTGATTAAGATTTTAAAGAAGAATATTTAACATTATAAATAAAAGTCTTTTGAATAATGTGTAAATACTTTATTTCATTTGGCTTCATATACATAAAATATATAAAAGATGATTGAATAGAAATTATTAGAAATTATTAATGAATTCATCAAAAAGCATTAAAAAGAAGTAGATTCTATTTTATTATTACTTAATTTAGAATTAAAAATAGCTGCTTAAGTAAATGTTCCAATTGATATATAAACTGTTGAATGCACATTAATGTAATTATTATATTAAATTTAGATGTTTATAATTTGATAAACTTGAATAATAAGCACTTCGTCTTATTAGATAGATTTTAGCTAATTGTTATCAATTTATTGATCAATTAAATGGATTCACTTAGATTGCCAATATTTTGAAAAAAGCAGAATTAAGTTCTTGTGTTCTCACTCTTGATGTTATGCTTAAAATGGCAGCTATTAATAAAGAATCAATATCCAAATTTGAATAATTAAATGTTGGTCTAGATTTTTCAGAAATATTGAGAGTGAATAAGAATGATAAGAAATTATATGATTAAATTTTAGACTATAGTTTAAAATTATTTAATAAAACTAATGAACTAGCTAATTAATTGATGATATTTATTTAGTAAAATGAAGTTACTGAATTATAAATAGATAAAACTTTATTAATTGTGGAATAAGTGGATGACAATGAAACTTTTATACCTACATTAATTGAATTGATATAGAAGAATAATCACAAACATACAAAAACTATTAGTGTAAGAGTTTAGCAATTTCATCTTAGATTATTTTATCCAGAGAATCAAAGGTCTATCCTAATTAAATATTTGTAAATAAAGGAATTGATGCTTGTGTAGCAGAAGTCTTAGTTACAAAAGAAAAAGAAGTTCTGATGAATGTATATCTTATCCTTTTTCAATTTAGTTAGCTACAATTATACTTGATGTTGCAAAATCATTAGAAGAATATAGATAGAATATAGCAGAATAATTTTTAAATTAATTAGAAAAGCTTAATGAACCAATCTTAAATGAATTAATCAAATTTTTATAAGGACCTAAAAAATAATTATCCAAATTAACTGATGAAATCAAAAACTTTTTATAAAAAGGAGAAATTCTAAAAATGTATAAAGAAGATGGTAGTCGAGGTTATTATAGATTCTTTTGTGATGAAACTCTTTAATAAATAAGATGTAGATAAGAAAGTACAAAATTGGTTAAATAAAAATGGATATTAAAATTAAGTTAAATTCAAGAAATTAAAGGAAATTATGATAAAAAATCATTATCATCTAGTGCATTTGAAAATCAAAATTGGTTGGTTAAATAAATCCATAAAATGAAACATAAAGGTATGAATGATTAATACAATTTATTCTAGTTATTGAAGCTGATAGATGTTTTACATTATTTGCATAAAAGAATGTGAAACCAAAAACATTAAATGCTTTATGCAAATCAGAGAGTTAAAAAAACAAGTGGGTTGAATATATTAAAATTTTGATTGATGAGTAGCCACTATTAATGTAATAATGATTATGGAAATATGTGTTAAATAATTTATAATAGTGAATATATTATTATAATATTATATAATATTGTTGAATCTTACATAATAAAGTAGAAATAATGAATAATTTTAATAGATTAAAATAGAATGATAAATTAACTATAATTTGAAGATGTTTAATCATTTAAATAGATAGTATTAGAATGAATCTAATTAATCAATCCTGTTTAATTCAATATATAATGTTTTATATGTTTAATTGTATCATTTGTACAGAGAAAACTCAGTTTACAACAAAATGTCATTGTCAAATATGTTTGCTATGCTTACTTAATTGGTTTGAGGAGAAAAACAAAGATAAACGAATTGAAATAATAAATTGTCCAAATAAAGATTGTCTTTATACTTATAGTAGGGATGAAATCTTAAGTTATTGTTCTTATTAACCTTATGAGAGGATTTACTAAGAAATCTTATTGAAGGAATATCTAAAGAATCAAGATATACGACCATGTCCAAGTGGCAAATGTAAATTTTATGGGTTTATTGAATTATCAAATAAATGTAATGAAGAATTAGAATGTTTGGAATGTGGATTTAAATGGAGAGATTTTAACTAAACTCATTTTACTTTTAAGAAGAAATACATAATAAAAAAATTATATGAGATCACCCAACAATTTTTTTATTGCTTGACTAGAGCTAATGAGTGTCCTAATTGTGGAGTTTTCATATAGCGAATTGGAGGTTGTAAACATATGACATGTAAGTTATGTAATCATTAATTTTGCTGGTATTGTAAAACATAATGGGATAAACATATAGAAACCTAATGTTTCCTTTAATATATAATATTATCAGGATTACTTTTAAATCTCCTAATAAATATCTTATATCAAATTGGAATATTAAAATATGTAATTTATATATTTTATCCATTATTATGGATATTCGAATTCTTTATTTTACATGTCTTAGTTATTGGAACTTTGGTAGGTATATTTCTATTTTTCAAATCAATATATGATCTGAAAAGTAAGAATAATTCTATTAAAGATAATCTTTTAGTTTTTGGAGGATCAATTTTATTATTGATAATCGAGGGTTTTATCTTATGGTTTACAAATGTTTTTTTGTAAATAACATTTTGGAAGTCATTTATAGGGTTTTTATTAGAATTATCAATTGGCATTTTCATCTTAAGTTATATAACTAAAATTGATTATAAATTTGTATGTCTAGTAATTATTGGTTTATTTTTATTTTATACTTTTGGATTAAATGGGCTGGTATTATTAATTTGGAAAATTCCAGTGATAATTAGTGTTTAATATTTTCATTCATAAATAAATTTTAGTGCAATTGCTCTTGGTGTGTTAATTTTATTAAACATTTTTAATTTGTCAGAATTATTTCAATCTAAATTAGTATATTTTTTAATGGGATCAACTTATCTTCATTATAGATAGGAATTAAAAGACTTCAATTTAGCTTTAGTAGGTATATTAGCAATTAATTATATCTATGAATTAATAATGACATATATTTGATTTATATTATTATTTCTTGAAATTATTATCTAAATGTAATAAAAATCTAATTCTTATGTAAGATAGGCTCTATAGCAGATTGCCTTTGAAATGGGAAAGCCAACATCTTTGGTAGAACCCTATATTTAGATGTAAATCAATTTATTATCTTTAGACTTGAGGAAAATTGGTATGATACAAAAGACTCAATTAAAATGATGAAATAAGAGAATTTTGATGAATTTAAAATTCCTAAGAGAATTGGTCAATTACTAATTGAGTTTGTTCAAAGACCTGAAGATAAGAAATCAAATTGGCAATTAGAATTAACTAAAATAATTTCAGAAATCCCAGATTAGGATTAACTTTTTAAAACATTAGAAATACTTTTTAAAATAATTTCTAATGTTATTATGAATCCATTAAGTTTAGATAAATAAAAAATAAACATCTGTTCAAAAACTCTTTAAAATAACATACTAAAATACCCATCAGCATTAAATTATTTAAGGAATTTGGGTTGGAAGATTGAAGCAGAATTTTTGTATGTTGAATATAAAATGGAACAATAAAATGAATGGAAAGAGGCTGGAGAAGAATTGATCAACTATACTTAAAAGAAATAAGGATTTAATCCATAGAAACCAGCAATTCATTCATCCTCATAAAATGTTTCGATCACTTCTGAATTGGCCAGAAGAGAAGGTTATGATGTTTATTCATTCTCTTAGAAGCTTGAGTAATTGCAATAGAAAAGATTTGTAATATTTTTTATAGCTATTATAGGAAATTATGAATTAACCCATTACTAATAGAGAAATCAAAGTATTTATTGGTAGGAATTAACAATCACCTGTACAATTATAATAGCAAATTTAAGGATAAGATGATTATGAAGAAGTATAGCCTTAGAAAGATTAATAACTTTTACAATTTCTTTAATAAGTTGCTTAGGTAATTTAAATTATTAATTCTTGAATAGTCACTTGAAGAATAATAATTTGCTTCTAAACGAAAGAAGGAATATGAAGAACTTCTTAGTAAACCTATATTCTCCAAAACAGATATAAGAGTTTAATTTCCAAATAGTGTGATTGTTTAGGCCATCTTTAGTCCTCTTGAGACTTTATAAGTCTTATATGATATGATAAAGGATGTAAGAATATAAAAATTATAGGTTATTTTTAGATGTTAGAAAATAGTAACCTTGAATTTTATTTGTATACTTCACCTCCTCCTTTAAGAATGACATAAAAGTATTTAAAATAAACTTTTGATGACTTAAATTCAGTTCCAAATGGGTTATTTTATTTTGGAGTTGAGAAGCAAACTGCAAACTTCTATTTGAAAGAATAATGGATGAAATAAGCTAAAGATTTATGATTATTGTTAAAAACATCGTTATATAATTTAATTTGAATTTTTAATTTAGAATAATTTTATTAGTATTTATATTTCATCTTTTTTTCTAGATTTAAGCTGACATAAGTCCAGTTGTTGTTTCATACATCTAATACTTATGTTAAATTTTATACATTTTATTATGATTTTTAATCTGTAGCCCATGGAGCTTAAGATTTACTAAACTATTATTGTTAATTCTTTGATTATGTTGATGAGATTGTCATTTAAGACATCAAAGTTCCTAATTATTCAATTTTAGAGGGTGTTGATGAATATTAAGATTATTAATTTTAAGATGCCAGTTATAAATTAATATTCTACTATCTATTATCAAAATATTATGAAAAGATAACAAAATTGTTATTTTAAGGTATATAATTTGATAAATGATAATGTTTCTTAAGAAAACCTAATAATTTTGGAGATGGTCTGTCATATGCTAATTTTTCTGGGTAAATAATTTCACATCTCAACATTTCTTCAAATAATTCTTTGCCAATTCCTCTTCTTTACATTGATTCATGTACATAGAAATCTAGTACACATAAAGGTTATATTTCTCTAACTAATCCACTTAAATCTCTGTGAAATAAATTCTTTTTTCCAATCTTTAGTATTCCTAAGCATTGCTAATTACATTAATTTGTATTTGTACTTTTCCTTCTGATTTAATATACAATTTTTAATCAGTTTAATAAAATCTTGATGGACTTGTTATAACTTATTTCAAATTTTATGCCTAGTATAAATTGATATCAAATACCTTTGCAGATGCTTCACCCATTGTTGTAATAACTTCATCAAGTTATGGATTGCGTAATTATGATCCATTCAAAATTGTCATTCCATTTTCATTAACTGACATACATTTTGAGATTAAAAAGTTAAATTGCATTCTTAATATTAAAATAATTATATTCAATTTTGATTAAATATTATAATAATATATATGTATATACTATATTGTATATATATATATATATATAATATTCTTGATTTAATAACATATTATTTATTTGAGTAGTTTTAAATATTAAAAAGAGAAATGTTTGTGAATTATATTATATAATTAATATAATTATAAGTTCTAAAAATATAATAATACAGAAAATAAATAATTTGTTAAATAATAGTTTAAAATTATAATTATTTATATCAAATTTGATCAGATATATGTGTCGAAATCATAATGAATTAATAAACAAAAACATAATAATAATATGTTTTGTCCAATTTGTATGAAAAATCAACCTTGCTTATTTGAGATAAAGAATTGTTCATGTTCATTTTGTTATACTTGTGCATTGAATTGGATTCAAGAATAAATTAAATAAAAATAAAATACAAACTCATTTAGATGTTTAAATTACAAATGTAAAGAAGAAATAAATATGGAAAAATTTCATTAATCAATTACTTCATAGAAAATATTGAATAGGTTTTAAGAGATTATGTTAAAAAAATACTTATTATAAACTTAAGATATACGACCTTGTCCAAATTGTAATAATTATGGATTTCTACCAAAAAATAGATGTAGTGAAGATTTTGTTTGTAGATAATGCAGTAAGATATTTTAATTCATTTAAGAATTCGTCTGGGTTGATAAATAATATTTAACATATTCCAAGATAATAAAACTATATTTGAATCAATTCAAAAACAATAACTTTACAATCATTTATAAGTTTATCAAAACACAAAATTGTCCAAAATGCAATTGTCAAATATTAAAGAATGGAGGTTGTAGACATATGACATGTAAATAATGTTAAATCTCTTTTTGTTGGAATTGTAAAAAATACTTATAGGGACACAATGATGACATATGTGCTATATCAAGATTTACTTATTACTTATTGGTTCTTTAAAACATCATTATTTCATTTAAGCTATTAAATTTACATCGATATTTATATTTATTATTATATCCTTTTTATGGATTAGCAATTGTGATTATCTACAATTTATATGTATTAATGCCAATAGTTATAATTGCTTCTATTATTTGTGGGATATATCGTTATAGAATAGAAAAAAAAAGTTGGAAAACTTATATTATGGAATACATTTATGCACTTTTGATAGAAGGATCAATTTATTTTGTTGTATTCATAATAATTGAATATTTTGAGATTACAAATGAATAATTAATCTATTATCATTATTATCAAGGTATTATGATAATGATATATGGGTTGATGAAATTAATGAAATGGGGATTTAATAAATTTATTTTTCATGATTGGCTTCAATATTTGATATGAATTATAAATAGTTTTGATAAAAAATCACACACAATATATAGATATGTCATTCTTGAGGTTTTGGTCTTAAAAGCCTTGGAATAAAACCTTTGACTAATTCAACTAAGGGAATCTTCCTTCCACCCTTTGGTTCATCATCATCATCAGATTCACTTTCACTTTCTTATAAATCTTCATTAGCTTTGGCTTCTTTCTTGTCTTCTTTATCTTAGATTTCATCATCTTGATCATAATCATTATTGTTTTTCTATTTAGCCAAATCTATCCATTCTTATTATACTTTTTCTAGATCATCAATTTTGTATATGGTTTCTATTTGAGTTCTTGTGGAATTCTTATATATTATAGAATAGATACTTGAACACAATATGTTTATCTAATTCTTTTGATAATGTTTGTGGATAACCTAATAAGCATGAATATAATAAAATTAATAATTATGTCAATTGACAATATAATTGTAATTTAGAATTTTATGTTATATAAATAGTTGAATGATAAAGAAATAACACAAATTAAATAATGAGATTAATAACCAATACAAATATCATAGTTGATGATTTTGAATTAGCAAAAGATTATAAACTTGATACTTTTATCCACTTTCTTACTCATTTTCATTAAGACCATTGGTAAGGTATGACTCCTTTGTGGAATAATGGGAAAATCTATTGTAGTAAAATTACAAAGTAGTTCATATTAAATAAGTTTCCAAAGATAGAGAGAATTGTTGCATTAGACTTTAATCATATATATTATTTGAATCTCTTAAGTTAAGAACTAACAGATAAGATTGATAATGAGTTTACAATTGAAGTGGTTCTATTTTCAGCAAATCATATTCCTGGTTCAGCCATGTTTTTATTTAGAGGATATATGGGAACTATTTTACATACAGGAGATTTCAGATTTAATAATAGTATGATAACAGACAATCCTATCTTATTCCCATAAAATGAGACAATCTAAATAGATGAACTCATATTTGATAATACATATTGTGATCCTATGTTCAACTTTCCAACAGCTGATATTGTAGCATAATAAATGATTAAAATTATTGAGAACAATATCAAAAAAAGAGTATTAATTGCTATGGGTGCATTAGGAAAAGAAACAATTGTAATGGAAATTTGTAAGTACTTTAAAACTAAGATTATTGTAACTTAAGAGAAGTATAATCAATTAATTGCTAGTTCAACTAAAAATATTGATTTATTTACAACAGATAAGAAAGGTAATTGGAAATATCAAATTTTTAGAATATTTTATAGAAATAATTAAAAGAAGTCATAGAGAATAAATACTTTAATAATATATTGAATAAGGATAATAGAATTTTATTTGTATAAATACTGATTTTTTAATGTAAAGTCATAGAGATCCTGATGGTATTAATTATATGGTTCCATATTCTTTACATTCAAATTATATTGAAATGAGAACCTTTGTAAATTCTATCAAACCAGCTATCTTGAAAGTATAAATTCTATTTAAATTATTAAGAAATTGGTTATACCTTATGAAAATTTTGCTGAATATAGAAGAAAAGTCAGAATCAATCCAGTTAAAGGATTTCAAGGTTATTTAAAGAGATTAAAAACAAATGGAGAATCTGGTTATTCAATTTTGATTAGAGAATGTACTGATTTTACAAAAATATCTAAAAATTATACTTAATGGATGACAGAAACAAAATTTCGTATGTTTATTTTTACTCATAATTTTAAGGTAGTTTAATGGAGAAATTAGGAGTATAATTAGAACCAGATAGAAAAAATCGAAAAAGGAAAGTAGATTAAGTTATGCCTAAACCTACTATTAAATAATGTATTAGAGAATTAGAGAAATAATGTATCTATTCAAAGAAACCAGAAAAAGTAGAATCCTTAGAAGATATTTCAAATAAATTGAAGGCAACCAATAATAATCATTATATTACTAAATTCTTTAAAAAACCATAATAAAGTTAAGAAGGAGGAAGAAAAGATGAAGAGGAAGAGATTTATAATATAATTTAAGAGTATTTACATTTTCATGATGATGATGTGTGATATAATAAAATTAATTAAGATGAAATTTATTAATCGATGTTTATTTAAGTTTTCTGCAAATGTTATTAGAGACTAAATCTATGAATTTGATAAGAGTGCAATTAGTTTAAGTGTTCGAATTAATAGCTTAAAAGATTTCAACGATTTTCAAAAATTAAGAGATTTAAAAATACATCGAATTATCTATAATCTTAATGATAAAACAGAACTAATGGACTTTTTAGCTGAACATAATGATGAATGTATTAAGAAAATATTTGATCCATCCTTTTTTATATGTAAGTTTAAAAATAAATGAAAATCTTAGTTCGTGGTGTCAGTGTAAACATTCCTACAATTTTAAGAGATGGTCATTTTAGAAAATTAGAATAGAAAGCATTATTATAGATTTGCTAACATCTATTTAAATTAAAGACTGATCAAAATAAGACTTAATTTTAAGTGTTTATGGTATAAATGATTAATTTATTTTTATGCATTAAAACATGATGGAAATATAGGTAAAGAAGAAGAATTTCTGAATTTAGTGAAAGAAGAATTGGATGATTTATAAAGTGTGATTGAAAATTCATTTAATTTTGAAGTTAATCATGTACTTAGTTATAATCCAAAATTCACTTATGATTTATTATTTAAATTGGCAAATCAACAGAAAACATTAAAAAGTGTTAATTTTAATATTTACAGATATGCAAATCCTTAATAAAGTGAACTTGATTAAAATAGAGAAATATTGGCAACTCTATATTAACATGTTAATGAATAATACAATACCATATTTTTAAAAAACTTCATTTATGAAGATTAATATGTTAAATAATAGAATTTATCTGAAGGCATTGTCAGTTATTCACATGTAATAATTTATTAATATTAATATATATTAGTTAGTAGACATGTTAAAATTGATGCATTTTAGAGGTTCTTTAGTGTTTGAATATAATAAGAATTTAGAGAGGAATGTTGAATTCATAGATTAATTGTTGTAATCAAGTAAATACATTTTATGTGACAAACATAAATTGGGAGAAGACCATGAATCTCATATTGTTGATGGAGATACAATGCCACCTATAGATATTTGAGTTATATTTAGATATATATATATATATAATTCATTTATGTTCTATTAGAAATCCTACTTAAAATTATTCTAATAAATAATGAGCATTGACCCAAGGATGATTTTACATAAATAAGGCAGTACCATCACTTCCTACACCTTTCATTATTTCCTCTTGTCCTCCAGGATGTTTATTCAAATATTTAGTAACATCATACACTTTAGAGTTGATTACAATCCATGCTGAATTTATTGTGTTATGTTTGGCTACCTACTCTCATTCGCATACTCATACCTCATCTATTGTACATTACTTTAAATCATTTTTCTTATTACTATCACTTAGAGATTTCCTTTATATCCAACTAGGAGAAACACTTTCCTTAGATGATTATCCAAATTTAGGAGATTCAATTTCATTTTAAAATTGTATTGGTTGTGGTACTTCATTCTTCAAAGAGTTTCTTTTTTTTGGTTGGATAACCAAATCATCAAAAATGCCTATTAAAGTATCTACATATTTTTGATTTGCCTTTTTTATATCAATTAATTTATAATCTACAGTCTCTACTTTACATGTATCCTTATACTTCTCCAATAGAATACTGTCATTTTTTATGGTGTATATGTTACGATTTTATCTTACTTCATTCTTAGCTTATTCCACTTAATACCTTTGCCAAAGTCTTCACATTATGTCTCTATGGTATTGTAATATATGTATGAGGTCTTTTGAATTCTACTATCTATTCAATCTCATAATATTGATTCTCTTGATCTCTCAATGTAAGGAGATCTGTTTGATATTTTTGTTTAATGTCATTCAGAATGTATGTCACTACTTCATCAAGAGTTTCTATTTCAACTTCATCCTATATCCATTCTATAGTATCCTATCTGTCTTCAATGTATAAATTGATTACCTCCTTATTATTTTTCATATAATTATTAAAATCTCATGGGATGTACTCATACCAAAGTTGATGAACCTTTAAGCGAGAAACTAAGATACAAAGCTATTGAAATCTTCAGAAAACTAGACATCAAAGGCAATGGAACTATAGACAAATAAGGAACCGAATAGTTCTGGTATATCCCTCATTTAAACACTTAGGAAGTCTAACTTTGCTAAACTCAATACTGAAGCATTATTTGATGCTGTAGATTTTGATAAGAGTGGAGATATTACAGAAGATGAATGGATGGCATTTTGGGAAATTGTTAAACAAAATGGTTATTCAGAAGAAGAAATAAATATGGAAGTATTTATTATATATTTTATTTAAAGTTAGATGAATTAATGGAGGGTAAGGCATGGGTTTAATTTAAAAGAGTAGATAGATTCATTAAGATTGATGAGAAAAGAAGAGGATCTCGAGTTAAATCAATTGTTTAAGAGGAAAAAAGAAAGCTTTCAATTATCTAATCAGCTAGATTACATAAAAGTAAAACTATGCAGAGTGAAGGATAGGAATTACTATAAGAGTAATAAGAATAATCTTGATTATATTAATGATAACCATAAGATTTTATTATAAACAGTGATTTATTTATGTTTTCTATTCTAATGTCAAATGAAGGTTGAAATAAATTTATATATTTTAAAAATACATCTAAATTAATTGATATTTTATAATAAAAATTACAAAAATGTCAAATAAAATTTAATTCACTATTAAAAGCAGTGATATCTAGTTAAAACTATATTACAAACTTCATTCAAATAAAGATATAAGTAAATTATTTTTAAGGTTCAATAAATTTATCAATTTTATCAATATAATGAAATGTTGAAAAAATTCTTAAACATGACATGTTTATCATTATTCGTTTTGAAACAATTGCACATAGATGGTAGTGTTATTATATATTATATATAAATATATGAATTATCCAAAATTTATAGGTGAAACATTAGAATTTGATCCTCTTTAGAAACCGCCTAAATTACAGTATGCTCTATAACATCAAGTAATTTTAACACTAATTTATATTAGTTAGCCACTAGTTGTGGTTAGAATAATAAAAATTCTGATTACTGTCAATGTTGTGGACTTGGTATTGATAAAATGCCACTACCTTTAAATATTGAAATCATAAATTTAGCATTTTTAGGATAAGGTGTTCCATTATATTTCAATCTTATGTTGCTTGTTATTCTGTTGCACTTTGTATTATTCTTTATTTTCACAGTTCCTAACGTTTCTCAAAATTATATTGCAAATAATTGTATTGCTCCTACTAATTATGCATATAAATTATGGAAATAAAATGGATGTGAATAGAATTGTCCATTGAAACATGATGCTTATTAATATTTTGAGAATTTATTTTCAGATTGTAAGAATATATGCTAACATTACTCTGATGTTTGTATATAATCTCAAACCTCTAGAATATCATTTGTTAATAAGTAACTTGAAGATGAAAGTAAATTAATATAGTCTTCATTGATTCTTTGCTCAGTAATAATATACAAAATTTTAATGGTTCTTATTCGTGAGAAATAACGTAAGATAGAATATGCAATTGATAAGGAATTATTATCTCCATCTGATTTTACAGCTATATTAAATAATTTACCTAAGAATGATTATAATGAAAAAGAATTAAAAATAGCTTTAGAAGAATATTGTAAAGAATTTGATCCAAAAAATAAATATGAAGTAGTAAAGATTAATATCGCTTATGATATAGTTTAATTTGTTGATAAAGGGAGACAAAAATTAAAATTAGAAAAATAACTTGAAAACACATCCTATGGTAATAAAGAGAAATTATTAAAATAAATTAAAGAAATTTCAAACTAATAACAAGTAATAGAAGCTGAAATAGAAAATGGTTCTTATAAAAAAACGACTCCAATTGCCTTCATCACATTTCAAACCAAAAAATGTTTATATATATTTTTATCAATATATAGAACTCCAAAATTTATTAGAATAGACTAAACTATCTTATTGGGAAGCATTTATGATAGCATTGAAATCAATAATCAAAAAAAAAGATAGAAGAGGATTTTATTTTAAACATAATTACATTTAAATATCTAGAGCTCCTGAACCAGATGATGTATTTTGGGAGAATTGTGGTACTGATGAGAATACTTAACTTAAGAGAAGAATATTAAGTTGGTTTGTAATAGTATTCTTATTAGGTTTATCATTATGTACACTTTATGGTTTAAATGTTTTTTAAGTATAAATTGTATAATTAATATTAGAATCATTTTTTATTGAATTCAGATAACAAACAATTTCTAATGAAAACTATGGCTTCATTATCAAAATCTCTTATTATTACAATAGTAGATGGTCTCATTTATTATTTTATTACTTTATTAGCAAATTAAGAAAGACATGTTACTAAAACATAATAAGATACTTCTGTGGCTGAAAAATTAAGTTATGTTTAATTTATCAATTCTTGTTTATTAGTGATTATAATTAATGTAATAGGAACTTATTATGAATATTCAAAATAAGATGCATAATTATTCAATTTTGCTGTATAATAATAAGGAGGTATTGTTGATGATATATTATATGTCTCTGGTGCAAATGCTCTTCTAGTACCATTATCTGCTTATTTCAATATATTTTATATTATTAAGAAATTTAAATAGATGAGAATTGAAAAGAATACTCATTTAAATTAGATTGAAGCTAATAAATTATTTGAAGGTCCTTAAGTATAATTTTATGATTAATATTCATACTTATGTAAAACTACATGGCTTACACTATTCTTTGCTCCTTTAATACCTATCTCAATATTGTTTGGATTGATTGGATTAATATTATACTATTGGATATAAAAGTATTTATTACTAAGAAGGAATCGTAAACCTCCTTTTCAAAGTAGTCATCTTGATAGAGAAATGCTTAATCTATTAGATTTAAGTCCTCTTCTCTTAAGTACTATGTAATTTTTGATTGATTATTCATTTCATTCAAGTTAGTTGTGTTAAACTATAAATGTTGCTTCTTTGGCAGTTTCTGGTTTAGAATTAATTATTCCTTCATGTAGGATACATAGAATCTTATATAAAGATGTTTATGAGGAGGAAGAGTAGGTTAGATATGAAGAGATTTATTTAAAATTACCTACAGATTATGACAGAACCAATCCTTTGACTTAATAAGTAGCAATGTAAGAATTTGTAAAGAATAAATTAAAGAGAAACTCAGGTCCATTATTGATAGAGTTATCTTAAAATTTAAATGTGAATAAACCTAAAAGAAATTAAGCTTTGCAAGATTTAATATATAAGGGTATATGTGATCCAAAAAAAATTAGAATGAAAATATTGAAATAGAAATTATAATTGATAGTTAAAATGAGATAAATTAGAAATCTCAAACATCCAATAGTTTTGGAGAGATAAATTTAATAAAATTAAATTGCTTTTGATAAATATGAATCAAAATAATCTAGTGAATTAAATTCACCAACTTATTTAAAAACTCCTGAATACAATTTTTCATCTATTATCAACATCCAACCTTAATTATTACCATAACAATAATAAAGTGAAATGTTAGATATGAATTCTACAGCCTCTCAAAATAAAAGTGCTTATTTAGATACACCTAAATATTATTTTAATTCTAAAAACAATTTGTTATTTAAAAGTATTAAAAAATGTAAACACTCTTAAGTTTGAATTAATTAAATTCGTTTATATATTAATAATAAATTTATATTTTATATTAATTCAAATAAAAACATTATAAATTATATCTTTCATATCTTATTTTTATTTAGATGTTTTTCTAATCTTATATATTGAATATATACTTTAAATTATCTTCATTATTAAAATAAGAGAATAATAAAGTTATTTATTTTTTAAAATAAATGAGGTATTATAATTAGATATTTAATTTACTTGTAAATATTATTATAATTATCAAAGATCATTATATTAATATAACTATTAGATTTAATCAGAAATGTAAATGATCATTAATTGTTTACAGAATATTTATATTATTAATTTTAATGTTCCTATTTTTATTATTATATTTGATAGAGAGTAGGCAAATTGAGAGCTGCAAACAAAATATGGATTCCTTTCAGATTAAAGGTTTGAAAATGCACCTTCATAAGTGTAGGGATACATTTTTGTGTTAGTGACCATCATTAAGCTAAGGAGGCTCGAAATTAGGTTTTGTAGGATTCTGTGAGCTAGAATAAGGTTAAAGCAATTGTACAAGAGATTGAAGGTTTAGAGAATCAAAATCCGTTTTGGTATTCAGATCTAGCTATATATTTGAACATTGATGAAATTCATATAACAGGGGGTTTAATTGATCATTCTTAGAATGTATAATAGATGTATAAATTTTATAGGTTAGTATTATGAATCAATAAATACGAATTACTAAACATGTATATTTTAAAAATCTAATAAACAAAGAACTTATGATAACTAATATATTCACTTCATCTCCTCTTTTAAAAGTTGATTTTGAAAAACTAGTTTTACCATCTAATTAAACCACTATAAAAACTAGAGTTTGTACTTTGATTTATGAGTAAACAATCTCTGAAATTCGATCAAAAACATTTGAAATATGGTTGGCAGTAGAAATAGCTTATTTTTTAAGAGTTCCAATTAAGTTAATTATTTATGATAAACATCTTATGTGTTAAACTAAATAATTAGGATAGTGTAGTATATAAGGATAACACTCAATAATAGAATTCAATAATCTAGGCATTTATTAATAATATACAAAAATATTCTCTTTTTATAATCCAAACCCAGTTAGAATTGATGTTTCTTATAAATAGAATGAAAAGAAAAGAAATCAAATAAGAGTTTTATTGTCTAATAAAAATGATATTAAATCAGCTTCAAAACGTAAATTTTCTTTTGAAATTTAACCTTTTACAAGAATAGAATTAAAAATAATTATTAATACAAATTATTATTAAACAATGGCCAATAGCAAATTAACTTTTAGAACTTAATATGAAATCATAGAATTAAATGTAAATTATTCAGTACAAAAAGGATCTGTGAATTATTATCCATCTGTACTTACTTTAGATCCAGGAATAACTACAAAAGTATAATCATTTGATATCTATGTAAGAAATACATTTAATTAACAAATACAATTATTATAAGTTGAAAATCAATAAATAAAACATTAGAATATATCTTTACTTACTATGACAACTAATATTCCTACTAATTCTAGATCTGACATTCTTCATGTCGATTATATGGGTAAATAAAATTTCTATTATGATTCTAAATACCATAAATAATAAGCAAAAGAATTATTGAATTCATTTGGACGAAATAAAATAAAGATTTAAACTGATGTTTTATAAGATTCTGAAATTTTAATTAATTATAGATCAAATTAAAAATTTAATGAATAAATCTTAAAGAAGATTATTAAATAAGATCCAAAAATACTTATCTCATAATAAACAGTAGTTATATCACAATAACCAAATATTTTCATTATAATTATCTCAATCCTCAATATGTTATACATAGCCAGTTTGCTAAGAAACAATGTAAAAAAATCTAAGGAACTTAAGATTTCTATTGAAGGAAATCTATTGTAAGAATAAATTGATTTTTAATCAATTTTTAAAATACAGGATTCTATTTAATTGTAAAGTAAATCTGAAACAAATGATGTTGTTTCTGATAAAGCAGATGACATTTAGGATATGATAATATCAGAAGATATTATAAGTAAAGATAATAATACTATTATTTAAACTAATTTATAATCTCAGATTGATGAGAGTTCATCTCATTTTAGTCAAGGGGAGAGTTTAGATGAAGATTAAATTTCAGAGTATTAAGAGAAAGTAGTTGAATAGAGAAAAGTTTCAAATCAAAAGAATTTTAATTTATTTTAGAGAGTTGAATTTACTATACCAACATAAATTACTATGAATACTCAATCCTCTTAGGAATGTTGGGACACTAAGGATCCAATATTTTTACCATAAGATTCTGATGAAGAAATGGTAGATAAAAATAGTGTTCAAAGATTGGAATCTATGTTGAATTAGATTCATCACAAATTACCTCAATTTGAGTAAAGTACACTTAAATTGCCGTTAAAGTGGAATGAAAATAATTCAATAAATCCATACTTTCCAAAACCTCCTCCAGGAATTTGAATGTATTTATTTTAAAATAAAAAAATATATAAAATTTTTAATGAAATTTGTAATTGATGATATTGAAGTCATTTTCCCTTACAAATTTCTATATAAAGAATAATTAGAATATATGTAGGCACTCAAATAAACTCTAGATGAAAAAGGACATGGAATATTAGAAATGCCTACAGGAACAGGAAAAACAGTCTCATTGCTAGCATTTATTATAGCTTATTTAGCATAAAGACCTAAAACTATTAAAAAATTAATTTATTGTACACGTACAGTTGTAGAAATGGAAAAAACATTAGAAGAAGTCAGATTAGTTTTGAAGGCAAGAAAAGCTGAAGGTCTTGTAGATAATTTTACAGCTGTCGGATTGAGTTCAAGAAGAAATCTATGTATTAATCCAGATGTTGTTAATTAAAAAGATAGAGTTGATGCTGAATGTAGAAAAAGAACAGCTGAATGGGTTAAAAAAGGTTAAAGTGAAACATGTATATTTTATGAGAATTTTGAAAAGTCATCAAAAGATGTTATAGCTAATCTACCTAATGATGTTTATAGTTTAAATGATTTACGTAAAAATGGAGCTTTTTCAATTTAATGTCCTTATTTTACTGCTAGAGAAATGGTTAAGAAGGCTAATATTGTTGTGTATAATTATCTATATTTGATTGATCCAGGAATATCTTCATTATTATCTAAAGATTAAATCAAAGAGAGTGTAGTTGTGTTTGATGAGGCTCATAACATAGATGATGTTTGTATTGAAGCCTATACTGTGAGATTGAATAAACCCATTTTGGCTGAAGCAATCAATAATCTTAAAATTGTAGAGACATAAATTTAGAGTGAAACAAATGAAATATAAAATAGATTGAATGAAGAATATAAGAAATTAATAAAAAATTTAGAAAATAAACCTGAAGGAGAATTAAATCAATTAGTTATTCCTGGATAAATTAGAAAAGCAAGAAATTTCATTGATTTTATGAAAAGAGTTATTAATTCACTTAGAAAGAAATTAAAAGATAATTCAGAAGCATTAAAAACATCTCATGCTATTTTACATAATACTAAAAGTTTTACTGAAGATATATAAAAAGAGGGAAATCTAGATATTGATTCTCTCAAATAATGTGGAGAAAGACTTAATCTATTATTAAATACTTTGTAAATTGCAGAAACTGATAAATTTAGACCACTTAGTACTGTTGCATAATTTGTTATGTTCTTAGTATAATATTAAGAAGGATTTAAAGTCATATTTTAATCAAATAATTACGAAGGAACCTTAAATGAAAAATTAATGACTTTAGCTTGTTTTGATAGTTCATTAGCAATGAAAAATATCTTTACTACTTTTTAATCTGTCATTCTAACATCAGGTACCATGTCACCAATTGAAATTTATCCAAAAATCTTAGACTTTAAACCAGTTGTTGCCAAATCTATTGACATTGAATTAACTCGTAATTCTATTCAACCTATTATTGTAACTATGTCAGAAGATGGAACTGAATTAACATCAGAATTTACTTTAAGGAATAATGAAGATGTTTCTAGGAATTATGGTAATTTTTTACTAGAATTATCTGAAAATGTTCCTGATGGACTCATTGTCTTTATGCCATCTTATAGTAGAATGGAGGAATGGGCAAGATAATGGTAAAAGGATAAATATTTGGAATAAATTTCAAAAAATAAAGTATTATTTATAGAATCAAAAGATGTTAATGAGACATCTTCAAAATTATAATAATATCGTAAATGTTGTGATGTAGGAAGAGGAGCAGCATTATTTTCAATTGCAAGAGGTAAAATTGCAGAAGGTATAGATTTTGAAGGTCATTATGGAAGATGTGTTGCTGTAATTGGATTTCCAGCATTAAACAGTAAAGACACATTGATTTTAGAAAGATGTAAATTTTTAGAAGAGAAATTTAAAATAACAAAAAATGATTTTATAGAATTTGATGCAATGAGATAAACATGTTAATGTTTAGGTAGAGTACTTAGAGGTAAACAAGATTATGGAATAATGATTATGGTAGATAAAAGATTTGCTTAGAAAAGTAAATTACAAAAAATGCCAAGATGGATTTATAAATAATTAGATTAATCTAGATGTTTAAATATTACTAGTGAATCTGCTATTACTGTAGTTCGAGATTTCTTTAGATAGATGGCTCAGCCATTTAAAATTGCTGATAATAGTTATTTTACATAAGACACATTATGATTATATATATATATATATATATATATATATATATATAAATTTAATGATTATGTTAATAGGTAATATTTTATGATAAGAAATATACAATATTTCAAATTTAAGATTTATATATATGCATTTTATAATGAATCCAAGTAAATATCATAGAATTCATATTCTAATTCAATTAAAGAATTTTGAAGTATTATTTATTTAGAAAGTGAATTCTAATTAAATTGTTATATAAAAGTGAAATTATTTTATAATATTTAGAAAATGTTATATTATTTATTTTTTTGTTACACATAGAAAACTCAACATTCAATAACGTTTTCTAAAATATTTTATAGTCTAATATATGCCTAATTATTGTTGATCTGATTTGGTTTCATTACGATTTCTATCGAATAGGTAGACTTATGAAAAACTTGTATTTGGAATTTCCATTCTATTAATTTATTTATAATTGTAGATGATAAGTTAAGCTAACTCTTCATCAGAGATGGAGTTATCATTCTTTCTAGCCATACCAATAAAATCCATGGCTAATTGTTAAGAATATGTAATATGTTAGACATCATGAGTTGCTTTAGTAATCCATTCATATTGATGCTTTTCAGGATGGAATTGATATCCATAAATAGGTACTTCTCTGCCTTCACAAATGGCAATATACTTCTAATTCACTCCATCTCTACTATAAGCTGTGATTTTAAAGAATGCTCCCAAAGAGTAAGCTTTTTCATATGTTTGTTATACAACTCCCCAATTGTGAGAATAGTATGGACCATCTATGATATTAATAATGTACAATTACCAACATTTTTCAGATAATCCAAAATGGGTTTATCTATGGATTTTAAAACAAATGAATCTTCTTCAGGAACAATTTCAAGTAATCTTTACTTACCCAAATCATCATTCATTCTAGTCAATACTTCATAATAGGATGAAGCGATATAATTGATTAATTGAAAACCCTAACATATTCCAAGTAAAGGATAGAATTTACCAGCCTTATTAAATTGAATAACTTTTTAAAATATAAAAGATGCCGTATCAGTAAATTTATTAAAAGTGAATCCTGGTTATGTATTATTTAAATACAAGTCCACATCTCCTCCAGTAAATAGAACTCCATTAATCTAATTTAATATGATGGTAATCTCATCATAAGAACTATCCCAATGAATTGGAATTACTCTAGCTCCAGCCTATTCAATCCATTTCACATAACTGGAAGGGAAATAGGAGTAAAGAGACTTATCATAGTCTTTCAAATCAGATGGATTTGTTAGAATTCCTATAGTTGGTTTAGTAACAGAGATCACTGATGATATGAACAATGATGTAATGATTATTCTTAACATTTTGTTTATTTATTTAATATTTATGATTTAAATCAAATGTTGTATACGTCGTAACCATGTAAGAAACGTGATCCTGGAATATCGAAATATGGATAAGGATCTTTGGTTGCTCTAGTATATTGATGAGCAGCTCTCTTCTTAAATGGAACCCTATGTTCTTAATTGATAATCATACCACACATCTTTTTAGAAATAGATATCTGTAATCTACTTAATATAATCAGATCCATGTTCAGCAAACAATTCTTCAATCAATATATTTCTTTTATCTTCTGCAGCTAAATATCTGATATCTTGCATGGCTTAATAAAATGGTAAAGATTTCCTTTGCATTTTTTTCAATTCTAATTCTTTGCGTCTAAATTATTTAACTATTCAATTATACTTGAATTGTCTTCTCACTTCCACTATATGCATTATGCCCCAAACTTAGAATAAAACACCTATTGCTAAGATTATTTTGCCTTTTCTTCCTGGGATTCTCCTCTTCTCTGGAAATAGTTTTGTTCTCAATTCAGATGTATCCCCAATAGCTATATGCAAAGGAGAATTAGCCTAATCATATCTTCTCATGAATTAAGGCTTGAATAAATTAGCCTATCTGAAAATTTTAAGCATAATATAAATAATAATAAAACTCACAATTATGCAGGTTTTTTAGAGAAATTAGACCTTTAAAAATGGCGAAATCTGTTAGCCAAAGGAGAGTCTGCAATCTTACTTTAACTATCTCCATTCTATCTTTAACTTAATGGCTCCGTTACCAACTTGCAACTACTTTTATGCGAATTCGAAATTACTCTTCTATTTTTCAATTAAATCTCCTTATATATATATAGGCTTTTAAATAAATACCTTTTGAGGACCCTTTTAAGTATTGATTATTTTTAATTGTTTTTTCATTTCTTCTGGATTCATTGAATTACTTTTTCTTAATTGTTTTTTCAAAAAATTAGGTGTACCAACACGTGCAATTATTTCTGGAATCATATCTGTTGTATTTCTACTACTATCTCCAGCAAAAGAGTTACTAATACTATCATTATTCCATATTTTATTTAATCTTGTCTAAGATTTCATAATTAAGGGACGAATTCTAAACTTATTTGAACATGCTGATATATCAGATCCTATAACAGATACATTATCATTAGGTGATCCAACCTCATTAATTTCATCAGTTCTTCCAAGAACATCATTTGATACAATTATCAAATATTTCAAAAATACAAGTATTTTAATATACTTGGCTATTTTTTATTCTTTTTAAATTTGATATTAAATTATTTCATTCAATGTGAATGGTACTGAAATATCACCCTTACCTGTAATCCAAGGATGTTCTAGACATTAATCAGCAGTTAAACGATGTTCTGGTAAATAAGCTATAGTTCTTTCTAAGAAATTTTTAGTGTTTAAATCCTCATTCATTAAAAAGTTCAGTGAAAATGTCTTAATTTTTTAAGAATATGTTATTTTAGTATCACCATTTTAATAGAAAGGATGCTTTCCATTATATAACATATTGTAAACTACAATTCCCAAAGCCCAAATATCAACTGACTAAATATTATTAATGTATATGTACTCTAGTATAATTTGCTTTTTTAATAACTTCAGGAGCTTAATACAATAAGGTTCCACAATTTTATTTCATCAAACCATCTTCTACTCTATTGACTGAGGCTGATAAACCAAAATCTATTAATGTAACAATCAATTCTCCTTCTAACACACTTATTAAAATATTCTCAGGTTTTATGTCTCTATGGACAATATTGTTTTTATGTAAATAACTCAAAGCCTTCAAAATTTATTTAGTAATTGTAATCACTTCATTACGCTATAATTTTGGTATGTAATCTTCCAAAGTTATACCATTTATCTGATTCATAACAATGTAAAACTTATGCTATGTCTCAAAAAACTTAAGTTAAGTTATAAGATAATTATCATACTTCTTGAATCTTAATAATATTTTAATGGAACAAAGTTTAAAGGGTGATTGCTTCCTGACGTATAGCACCTTCTTATTCCTTACATTTAAACATATTTTTCTCAACAATTTTAATTGCAACATTAGTTTTCATTTACTTATCAAAAGCTGAAATAACTGTTGCAAAAGCTCCTTTCCCTAATATTTATTTTGGTTCATATCTATTCAATTCAGGCGAGTAATCACTTTCAAAATTCATCACTTATTTAAGTTATTAAATTTAAGACATTATAATTAAATGATAATATTACAATAAAATCAAAAATTATGAAATATATACAGTATATATATTTTTACTCATTCGTTTAAAGACTTTTTCTATATTGGAGGTTTGTTTGTTCTTATCCTATGACTAGGTAATAACTCTTATTATATTATGATATTCTATCCTCTTGATACGTGAGTTGTTCTCTTTAACTAAAACAATATATAAATAAAATTTTACTTATTGAAGTGTCTATTTACTATTTTAGGATTGTCTATTATCAATTATACCAGATTTTTGAAGAATAGATGATTAATTTAAAGAATTATCAGCTGTTGTATTAGTAGTTTGAATTGACTTAACACTTCTTTCTAATGATCTAGGAAAATGAGGAAATAAAAATTTTTAAGGTTCTTTTTGCTATTACAACTTTTACAATTAATCACATGAAGCTCTTTCCCTTCTTTAAGATTTCAAAGTAATAGTTTATATTTTGAATTAAGAAACTCTATTTGAACCAATAGAAGCAGTATCAACATTAGATCCTTAGAATGCTTCTTACTTTACTTATTTAAGTTTCTCATTAGTGTGAGAAATAGATTATTATTTTATTTTTGGAATCTTTATGGTTCTAATAGGTTCTTTGGCTATTGGTGTTGAATAATGTTTGAATTAATTAGCATTAGGACATAAAACTTTTAGTTATTAGAGAAATTGAAGTGCCTAAATTAAAGACTTAATCTTTTAAAAGTTGCAATGACTTTTGAGTATTTCTATAAAAGTGAAAGGTTCAGAAGAATCTTATTTACCTGTAATCCAAGGATGCTCTAAACATTAATTAATATTCAAACGATTCTCAGGCAAGAATGCTACTGTTCTAATTAAGAAATTAATTGAATTATTATTCATTCCTGGTTACCAATTCCATTTCATCCATTAGATCTTTTCACAATAAGATTCTTTGTCATCAAATTATTAATAAAATGGATGTTTCCCTTAAGTTAAAAGATTGAATACCACTATACCCATAGCCCATATATCAACACTCTTACTATATAAGAAAATATCATACTCTGTTATATTTCTTTTTCTATATCATTTCAGGAGCCATATATAAGAAAGTTCCACAATTGTCACTCATTATACCTGATCCTTCTAAATATGTTAATTAAGCTGAGAGTCCAAAATCAATTAAAGTTACTTTAATATCGTCTCCCATTTGAGAAATCATAATATTCTCTAAAATAAAATTTATTACTTATACCTGGCTTAATGTCTCTATGAATAATATCCTTGGAATGCAAATACTTGATTGCCTATAATATTTGTTTCACTATGCTATGTACAATCTAATCATCTAACTTATTTTATTCAAATTATTCTAATGTAACTCCTGTTATGAGATCCATCATTATAAATAATTTATTTTTGGTTTCTTTACTCTACAATAACACAAAGCAATCATACAAATGTAACTCTTACAATATTTTAATGATTCAATTAATTTAATAATTAAGCTTCCTTTCTTAACACATCCAATTATAAAGTATTGAAATGTTACTTCTCAATAATTTTGAGTGCTGCCTTCTTATTTGTCATCAAATTCTATATCTCCACTACTGTAGAAAAGGCTCCCTTCCCTAGAATTCTCAGAGGTTTACAGTATTAAGTAATAAAGTTAGATTGTCTCTCCTCTTAATCAATTAAAAGTTCATTAAGTTTGTTCATATTAAATAATATCAATATTATATTCGATTAATTTATTGTATATTATACGATGTTAGTTCATTCTGTTTTTCTCTGATTCTAATTTATTTATGCTATAATTCTTTTTCCATCCAAGTTCTTATTATTATAATCTCTCTATTGTTATAGTCCTTTAAAGTGAGAAAATTCTGAAATATCTTCAATTAATCTCTTCCTCAACTAGTGAATTCAATTCTATATAGAAGATATTTAACTTTTTCTGTTTAATAATAGTCTTTACCATTAAGAACTATAAATAAATGTTATTAAAGATCTACTTTATTCAGTAATCTATAACTTATAGAATTAGAAAATTTTTATATGTCATTAACCATAATTTAATGTTTTTATGAAAAGACATTTATAGAATTCATTTGGTTAAATTATGCAAATATGATTCCAATCTATTTTTACTCTAATGACAATTTATAAAAATAGAATAAATTATTTAACATTTAGATTTTAAATGCTAATTAATTTTATTCTAATTTTTGTCTCCCATTTATAATAGATCAACTAAATTTCAATAATTAATCATCTTGTAATGTTTAAAAGATTTGGGGAATTAAATTAAATAAAAGATAATTAAATGAGCTTTTTCATTATTATATATATAAATTTCATAATAATTAAAGATTGATATATTATTATATATAACTATAATTTAAGTATTATACAAAATTTGCTTATTTACAAAGGGGAAATAATAAATCATTTAATAAAAGCATAATTATTATTATAAATAAATATTTATTTTATAGATTGAATTAGATGAAATTTAATTTGTAATTAGATTTAATTTATAGATCTTAATGTTTTTTTTAATAGAAATAAAATAGTTTTCAATTGCAAATAATTTTTAATTATATTATATAATATTTAAGAAATAAAAATGAATCAACCTGTTGAATAATAAACGAATAAGTAAATAAAAATTGAAACGAGTGAATTTAAGGACGAATAGGAATTTTAGGCTTTTATTTAAAGAATAACAAAAGACACAACTAGGAGGAAGGTAATTTTTTGTTTTATTTAAAGAATTAAGAAACACCTAATACTTGTGGGATAGCTAAAGATAAATTTAAGATTTAAACAATTCATTAAGAATAGGACTATTAATAATTTATTGAAGAAGAATATAAAAAATTTGCATTACCTTAAGATTAGAAATTGGAAGAATTAAAACTTAATCATATTGATAAAGAAATTAAAGGTTCAAATAAAGAATAACTTATGTATAGTAAAAAAGAAAAATTTGATTTTGCATGTTAGACAGAAATTGAGAATATTCAAGAATAAAAAACTGAAAATTTCAAGCAAATATAAACAAAAAATTCACTCATTTAAATAAAAGAATAAATCGATAGAAGTAACAACTTTGAAGATAAAAGAGATTAATACTAATAAATACTTTCTAGTGGTTAAATCTATAATTCCAGTTAACAATTAAAAAATAGTAAATAAAATGAAAATTAAACTACTTAAAATATTGGGGAATAATTACAATAGAATTAATAGCTAATTAAAAAATAAATATAATAATCATCTAATTAAATAAATAAAAACTTTAATACTAGCAAATAGAAAAATTTTGATTAAATTATTGATAAAAAAGGTAATTTAAAAATGAAATTAAAAAGATTTAAACTAATACTATTTGAGGATGGTATAAAACAATAAAGTAAAAAAAATTAAAGACTTGAAGAAGATTATTAAAACTCATTGGATAATGAAAATAGAAAATTGTCTATTTCTGAATAAAGCTACCCAATTATTAAATATAATTAATAGATTGGATTAAATGATAAGGATATATTATTAAAATCAAATTTATTCTTAACAAGTTCAATTATTAATGCTTATTCAAATTATCTTCAAGCTAAGGATGAACACTATTATTTTTCACTTAATAAGGATGAAAGAATTAAGCATAAACGATTGTTTATTTTTAATTCTGATTTTTTAACTAATTGTAATTTAGAATTATATCATAAAAATAATGAAAAAGCATTTTATTTAATTTTGCAATATTTGTAAGACTTTAAAGTAATTTAGTATTAATTTTGGTTAATTTACTAAAAAATAGCCTTTATTGTTAATTCAAAAAATATTCATTGGTATTTAGCAGTTATAGATTTCAAAGATGGATGTTTGAAAATATATGACTCTTTACCTAAACATCCAAATTATTACAATTCACTAAATAATTTATTGTCATCATTATTTTAAAAACTATCCTAATAGTTTGTTTAATTTGTTATTTTTGTTTGTCCTACATGGAATAAATAGTAAGATCACTATTCATGTGGCTATCATACTTGTATAGCACTAGAATATCTTAGTTAATATGTAGCAAATAGAGAGTGTCGAAGTTTAGAAGAAATAAAAAATATCTTAAAAAAGTTGCTTATAAATGAAGAGAATTAACATAATCAATAGTTAAATCAATGATTTAATTTTATATTTATTTCTATCAATTCAATATGATTGATTTGTTTAAATGAAAATCATTATGTTGTTATTTGATTTGATTCTTTTTTATCGCAATTTTCACAGTATGACACACTTTAATTATCTTTCTCAATATATATGAAATTGCAATCTTTTTTTTTTTGGCATTTTTTTATTTTATTTTGATTATTTGTATAAATATTTTTGATTTAATTTTTGAAAAGTGAATCAATTTTAACTTTTAGATCTTATATTTAGTTAACAATTGATGGCACTTTTATTTATTATTTACAATTACAAATTAATATTAAGCCATTGTTATCTATTTATTATATGATAGATTATTTTAAACATTAAGAATGGTAATGATGATAACATGATGTTTAAATAGTATAGCCATTGATATTAATTTTGCATAAATAACATAGTTATTTTATTTCTTTTGTAACAGATTCTAAAATTGATTAATCATAGTCTCCTTCCTATGTAATTTCTTAACTATAAGTTGTTTGAATTGATAAAACAATATCTTTCTTCTCATTTCTTGATGAAATTTATTTACCAGTTAGACCACTTTCCTTCAATAAATTTTTAATATTGTAAGCATTATAATTATCACCACTTTATAGTTGACTACATTAGTAATTTCTTGGAACCATCTAATCATAATCATTATTAATTATAATGACCAATTCATCAGAATCAGTCTTTAATATTTATCCAATTTTCTAATAAAAATTATCCTTCAAAGCTAATTTCTATATTTGAGCTTAATTCTAATAAGTAATTTTTATCTCTTTGAAATTTTGATTCATTTTTGATAGAGTTTTATGGATTAAATAAATAAATATTATGATATTAAATATATGGAAATACTAGTTTAAAAATTAGATTTGACTCTATATAAATTAATATAGAGTATACAAATATACTTCACCAAAGAAATTCAAATAATAATACTATATAGTATAATTAATTGTAATCAAATAAAACAACCTAATAATTCTTAACGAATTTCATATTTCTTTTTCTCAGATATTTTGTATTATTTACTAATGTTAGTGATTATTTATTCTATGTTAGAATCTTCATATAAGTATATTCTATTTTTAGTATGGATGCCATTATCATTTATGTTTAGATTTACTATTGCAATAGGGTTTTTGACATGTTGTTATAAAAATTAAACTTATCCTGCTGCATATTATTCCCAATCATCTTCATTAGAAGTCTTTAATCTTCTTCCAACTGATAACTTTTTTCTTTAAGCTGCTATACTAGCATATTTATTTGGAGATTATTATCGAATATTCGTTGATTTAGAAATTGTACATTATGAATCACTTGTAGTAAAAGTAATATTTTCCTTCTTACTCTTTGATGTAAGACTAAGAACATTTGCATATTCAGAAAAATCTCTCATCTTTCTATTGTCTTTATATAAGTGAAGATATTCACTTACTTTCATTCGTTATATATATATATATATTGTGTAGAAAATATTATTGTTTAATGTACGAATTTCTGAAAATATCATCCATAGATTTTAATTGGTTTACCCATGGAAGTCTTAATGTGGAGTGTACCAACATTCTACCATCCCTTTTTCAAAAGAGACACCAAGAAGTTAATGGTTGTACTCAAGTTTTATCTGAGTTAATCTTCGGTCATTTCATCAGTACCAAAAGCTGTACCAAGTGACAATGTGTTTTTCAATTGGAATCTGAATTGATTTTTTAAAAAAGATACTTGACTGAAGACTTTACTTCATTAACTTTGCTGCCAACTGATTCTGTTTCAGGAATGGCAATTGGGAATTTACCAATCTTGGTAAAGACATTACCAACAAGTCTTGGAATAACTTTCATGAGGGATTCTGAGGCAATCAAGATGTCAAAAGGTTTGCACCACTTTTTAATTGGCTTCTTCTCTTTGTTGAACTTCTTCAGGCCTTCTTAATCGATCGCGGTGAGACCGAGGGCCTTGGCCTGATCTGAATCGATGAGAGGTAAATCGTACCGCAATGAGTTAAATTACCAATAACACCGATTTTGATGTTAGGGTAAGGGGCATGTAACAAACGTGTTGAGCCTTAGAAACGCTTGTCTTTCTAGACATCGTAATCTCTCAATTAGATTTACAACTCTGTAGTCTCTTTAAAGTTTCTCTTCTTTCTCTCTGTCAACATTTCATGGATGAATTTCTTCAATTATTCACTTTAGATCTTGCTAGAGTAGGGTTAAGAGACATTTAATACCTCATTGCTATTTTTTTAAAAAAAATTTAAATAAAATAAAATCCATCTAATCAACTCTTTAATTCATTATTCTCATTATAAATTATATTAAATTATTTTTATTTGAATTCTCAACGGGGTATTCCTCAAAATTTTTGTTCTTATCCTGATTCTGTTTAAGAAAATAAAATCTATCTTAATTAGTTTTAACTTAATATAATTTATCACAAATAAATAAATATATATTTTTTAATTAGAAGGTTCCTTAATTTGAATTTATTAACATATCATACTTATATATTAGATATATCAATATATACAGAAGAATTATAAATATGATTTTATATTTATTTGAATTATTTTAATAATTTACATGATTTATTGACTAATTTTACTTTATATTCATTTGAATTTATTTAATTTAATATTATCTCTTAAATATAATTATATATATATCATAATTAATTAAAGAGAATAATTAAGATAAAATTAAATTTAGACAGAAATATAATTATAATCTTAATAGATTGGATAATAAATTGATAAGCAGAATCTATATTAAACATAACTATGCTAATAATTGGATTAATACACCTTTTGAATTATGATTGACTCTTTATATGTAATTTATTAATTCAAAAATTACATTATTAAATTTTTTTGATAATGAATTGAGCGAGTATCTATAGTTAGCCCTTATTTAGGCATAATCTGAATAGAATATCATATTTTTCCATAATTTTTTAATAGTAGTAAATTTACAATATATAAGTTGTAATGAACAAAAAATGATGGACTTATCTTTATTATTGCTTCGTGAATGTTTGAAAGAGTAAAATAAATTTGACTTATAATTCGTAATTAAATATAAATAATAAGTTTTAATTAATAATAGAAGAATAAAATATTTGGTTTATTTATGAAGTAGTGATAGATAAGGTGTGAATGATTATAGATATTATTTAGCCTCCGTAAAAGATTTGAAACTGAATATATTATTTAAATTTTGTAAGAAGATGAAATAAGTAATATGAGATATTTTTAAATATCAAACTACTTCAAATTGAAAATAATGAAAATCTTCAAAAAATCTAACGTAAATTCTATCGATAGGTGTAATAAATAAAGTAGAAGAATATTTTTAAGTATTTTAATCAATCAAATGATTAACATTATTATTAATAATCCTTCAGCAATTTTGATAACATAGCGGAATGCTTGCCAATGGAAGGTTAGTTCTTTCGAATTTGGGTTAGCATCTGCATAAGCAAATCAATTCCTTATCTCATGCACTACTCATTCACATTTCCATTTTGATTAACATGGCCAAAGGTGACTTTTGTATATTTTTAGATCTCATTAACATCTGAGGGGATCTTATTTCTGTTATTCATGATGCTACAAAGTTAACTTACTTATCAATAAGTGCAACAATAATTGTTGTGATCATTTTTTTATGACGATTACGCTTTGCTTTCTTTTAAACTCTTCCTTCCTTTAGATAAACTGATTTTACTGCTTTAACAGTGGATAGTGGAATCTAAAATAATCCGGCGACCTAAATATTATTATTCTGTATTTATACATCTTTAATTTTCATTTTTTCTTTAAATATTTTTTCCACTATTTACTATCGTTTTTGGTCATCCACAATGTTATATTTAGATGGTCTCTTTTAGATAGTTTAGGTCAATTTTTTCATTTTTATGAAATTTATTAATTTTCTAGAAAATTCATTTTTTTAGTTTAATCTAAATTCACATTTTATAAATTTAATTAATTCCGATCTTTGTCCATTTTAAACATAATAAAATAATGATAATTTTATTTATATTTATAGATATAATATACTCCACACATCATCATTATTATTATGATACTTTTTATGTTTATTATGTTGATTAGAATTAGCTAATCTGATTGTTTTACCATTCTAAATTAGGATCATTTGTATAAAATGGATTAGTTGTCTATAATAAATATATTGAATACTTTTGCAGTTGGATATTCTTATAAGAATTCTAAATCATTTGATTCTAATTATTATACATTAAATGGTTTGTTCTGTAAAATGTGTTCACAATGAGTTTCTATTTTAATATTATATAAATAATATACTTATAGTTTTATCTAGATTAGACTTAATCTCAACACTCTTCCAAAAGTCAGTATCAAATTTATTTAAATCTTATTAGTATTCCTAAACATATTAAAGTTAAGGTCCCTTATATGAATTTACTATTAAAAATAAATAAAATATATTACAATATTGAATTAACATAAGTTAATATTTATGATTAACAATTTTATTTTATTCTGTTTAATTGTTTCTGAGTTTGTTTAATAATTTAACACTCAAAAGAGGTCTATTCTATTAAATATAGAAAGAGACAAGTTGTTTGAATGCTTAAAAGTTAATTTCTTTATTGCTATAATTGGTATGAATCAAAACTTAAGCAAATTGATTTTACATCCTAATAATGTCTTATTCAGTCTTTAATTATGATAATAGATATTCTCCTGAAAGATCAAATTTCTTTTGTAATTCAATACTATAAATATGTCCTTCAATTGAAAACTATTCTCTCAAATGCTTTTCCTCTTCCTATTTTTATTATAACTTTTATAACTGTTTCTTCTCTTTTGGTGTCAATTTCTTCTACTCTATCTTGCCTTAATCTTATTATTTGAGTTTTAATCTATTCAAACCTTCTATCATTAGACCTGCTGTTTCAATAAAGTATTTAGCACTATATCTAGTATCCATAGCATCAAACATCTATAATAATGATCTTAATGTATATTTCCTTATTGAAAATTAATAAAAATCTAATTGATCATCATACATTTCTTAATAATGTTTAAAAATCAAATAAAATTAAGCTAATGCTGGACCAAGATAATTTAATCTTAGTAATGTTCTTCCAACTCCTAATTCAAACCAAATCATTTATAATTCATATGGATTTGATCCATCTCTTAAAAACATTCTTAATAATTCTTATGACAAATAAACCATATTTGCTCTTAAAGCATATTTAATTGTCTTATTATTTAAATATCTATCAGCCAAATCTAATTATCTTGCTCTATCTGCTGCCTCATATGCCTCCTTGAATTTTTCTTATTTATGCAATGCCTTAGCTTTAATCAAATACAATTCATGTAAAGTTGGTGTATGGGCAATTGCCTCTTCAACTAATTCTAATGATTTTGTATATTGTTTAATTTAGTAATAATGTTAAGATAATAACATTAATCCCCATAACTTTTAGATTGGACCTGCATTTAAATAAGATTCAAATGCTTCTCGAATAATTTCCAATTTCTCATTTTATTTATATAAATGCTTGATTTCTCTAAACAAAGATGGTAGAGATTTCTAAAAAAATGGATCAATAAATTTCAAAAAATTAGTTTTGAATGTATCACCACTTTATTCAGCTAATAATTGACCCTACACCAAATTATTATCATAGATTGATAGATCATATTATGGATCTGCCTTTTTTAATAATTAATAATATCTCCAATTTTATGGTTATAATTCCAAGAGTTATTTTGCTGCCTCTACTGCTTCTTAATTTGATCCTAATTTCATATATAAATCATATTGGAGTTCATAATAAGCCACCATATCTGTGATGTCACTTTTGATTATAAAAGAATATTATACTTTTTGAATGCACTTATATTTTATTTAGCTTTTTAATAATCTTTGGCATCTATAGCAAGTTAGATTTAATATAATTTAAATTCATTCATCTCAACTTTCTTAATTGGATTCTATTAATCCTTTTAGATTAATTATTCAGCTGAATTTATTGCTTTAAATGCTATTTCGAAATTTCCACTTAAATGTTAAGCAAATATGAATGCTATCCAATTCACTATCATATTTGACTTTTTTGTTAATATCTTGTGTCTTAGTTAAGCATTCCCTTCAAAATCCCTTGTATGAATTTACAAATTAGCAGTATCCCTCTCCAATTAGATGTTTTCTTCTCCTTTTTTAATTGCTTATAGGAAGCATTTTACAGCCTCAATATAATTTTTTTAGGCCTTATAAATTAAACCATAAATATGCCAACAAAAATCTGATCCCAAATTCTTAAACACTGCTTGCTTTGCTAATTCTAATCCCTTTTGTTGTTCATCATTGTAATACATAAAAATTGCCTTAAGAGATACTACTTCCCAATTATCAGGCACTTATTCCAATAATTTTTCAGTATTTCTGAGACCCTTTTTATAATCTTTAGCATCAAGTAATTTCTAATTTAAGTGATTATTCATACCACTAAAGCTTTAAATTCACCACTCTATTTAGCATTTAATGAAGTTTATGCAGGTCTCATATCTTAAAAAATAAAATAAATTAAATTATTTTTATGTATTATACCTTTCTTATTCAAAATATATTTTTATTTCTAATTACATTATAAAGATATAATATATATTATTAAACTTAAAAAACAAATTAACTAAAGTACCATTTTAAATAAATAATCTTAAATTTAAGATATCAATAATATTAATGAATAATAATATATCAATCAGTATTCTTCATTTTATTAAATCAGAATTTCAATTATTGGTCTTAACCATTAATTAATATCCTCACTATTATTCAATTTAATTAATTCCAAATTTCCATCCCCATCCTAATATGTTGCTATAAGACAAAAATCCTCATTAATATTAATTAATGAGAGATTCCCTAAACTTATATTATTAATATACTTGTATGAATACATTCCCTACTGATAGTATCAATAAATTAGATTTAATTAGTTTAAGGATCAAAACTTAAGATATAGTCTTTAAATTTAAGATTATCCTAAACTTTTGCTAAAACACTAAGAACTTGTTTATTATTATTGTTAATTTTGATGTCTTAATGTTTCAACATATATTTCTATTTATTTATTTAGACAGACTATATTTTTTTAAGAATTCTTTCCTTTATTCTAACTACCTTATTCTCCAAAGTATCCAATTCATCAACTCTAACTAAATCTATGCAATCCTCCACCACCTTTTGTTTAATATATTAAGTATACATTTAAACAAGGAATCAGAATATATTTCATAAACTTTGAAAAGTAAATGAAGAATATGTTTTAATATTAATCCATTTCCAATTTTTCTATCATTTGATACAATAAATAGTGCCATTTTGAGTGAGGTAATGTTATATATCCTTTTATTAAAAATGGAACTAGAAAGCCAAATGGTATTAATTCTAATAATAATGCAAGAACCCATTCAAATTAAAATAAGGAGTACAAGAGAACCCTTCATATAATATTTACAGCATATACCATTTAATTAATAATGTATCCTCAAATTCTTGGTTCTTTTTTTTGAAAGCCTAATTAGTCTTCCATGTTAATTAAACTACACAATAAAGACTAATAATATTAAAGAATAGTTACTTCATTAATTTTGTAGCATTCAAAATAAATGACATTTTTTTAATTTTTAAATTATGTTATGGAATATAAATATTAGTAAATTTTTTTATTTCTTTAGTTTTAATATATATAATCTTTATCCAATAGTTTATTAACATTAATAAATTAAATCACATTTTGAAAAACAATTGTTTTAAATTATAAAAGTTATTTTAACTAATAAAAAGTTTGTCTTAAAAGAGAGAGTAGTGTAATTTTATTTTTAGTTAATATAATATGTGAATATAATTGGAATTACATTAAATTATGTTTGATTATTAAAAAATGACCATGTAAAATAATATAAATTAATAACAAGAAATTTTGGATTGAAATAACTTTATTGTTATATAACTTTACTTACAATTTATAATTGCTGATTTTAAATAATATTAGTTTGGAATATATTTTAGATATTTGATTAGGATGAATTAAAAAATAATTAGTTCTATGTCAATGTGTCATTATTGAATGTAATTTTTATTCTAATTAAATATTACTTTAAGCTATCCTATTTATAATGGAAGCATTTCTATACAACCTAATAAGAAAACCCTTACTAAATTAAGCTTTATTTACTTTGAATAGTAAGTATTTTTTTCTAATTTTAGAATCCAACTAAACGAAGGAAATAAATGAAGATTATTCAAAATAGGGGCTTTTAAGTAGAAAGAAGATTAAAATTGATTAAATTGATAATGATGAAAACAAATTAGAAGGAGCTTAAAAATTTAAATATGAAAATGAAGAACAAAACGAAGAAGTAGGTTTAAATAATGATATGTAATGAAAATATAAATGAATTAGGAATATAAAATTTGATGAGTAGAGATAAGATTTGATATTAGAATATCACTTAGAGAATTCAATTTAATATATTAGTGGGTAAACATTGGTACTATTGAAAATAATGATTTAGGCTCAAACAATGAAATTATATGATATACTTATTTATGATTGTCGATATTTGTATGAATTTTAAGGTGGGCATATAGAGGGTGCAAAACATTTGAATCATTTTACAAATTTATTTGAAGAATTATTTGGAGCAACTAAATAATTAAACAAAATTGTGGTTTTGTATTGTGAATTTTCAATAAAAAGAAGTTAAGAAAAGTAAAAATCAAAATATTATACAGATATTTTGAGATTCGAAAATTAGATAGGAGTATTAACAAATATCCAAAATTGACATACAACAATTTATATCTATTGTCTAAAGGATATTCAGAATTTTACAAAAATTTTTAATACATGTGTAATGGAAATTACATTCCTATGAATGATATATTATATGAATAAGAGTTGGAAAGAGAATAATAACTTAGAAATATTGCTAAATAGAAAAATAGATTAAAATAAATATAAAAAATAACTGGTTGTTTAAATATGAAATGAATTATAAATATACACTATATTAATTATGAATTAAATTTATTAGAAAATAAAAATGTAATTTTAATAAATTTAATGTCATCCTTTAAGATTATTATCTAATTCCTAATCCATTTTGTTGTTTAAGTGGGAGATGAAATTTCTGGGACAATTGGATGAGATGGAATAATATTTCTGAAAAAAGATGAAAATGAAGAGTTTATATTTATTTTGTTGTCAGTTACAAGTTGAATTAATTCATCATTAAAGCTTAAAGGAATGTACTGTAATAAATTATAATATTTTTTATATAATAATATATAATATGGAATGTCGTTAGAAATATTTAATGTTCACAATTTAACTTTTTTATATCCACATCTCTAAAATTGATTCTCTTGAAGTTAATAGTAATGGGAAATGCAATTACGTTATCTGGTCTTTTTATCATTATTATTGAACTAGAAGCGATTTTACTGTGGTTAATAATTGTAATAAATATTAAAGTTGATAAGTTAATCTTCGTCTGTTGAGTTTGATTAGTGTTCGACTTAGAAAGATACCTCAGTCTTTATACCCTTTCAGTTAAGAATTTATAATACCTCTGGATATAGATGAGAATATAAATAATATTCTTAAGATTAATGTGGATGTGCTAATGGCTTAGCGAATTCCATTATGTTTTTGTAATATTCTTAATTTGTACTTCCATACTTGAGAGAAATCCTTGAAAGAATTCTAAATAAATATTTACTCTGGAATTCCGTATTTAAGACAAGAATCAATGAATGTCGATACATTGTAGCCAAGTTCTTCAATGAGATTGATGTCATATTAAACTTGGGAGATAAATAGCTGGTCGAGATCTTTAATATATTTGTATTGATAAAGTCCTGAGGCTCTATAATCGGGGACATGATTCTAAATATATTTATGTAATTGAATGTACTTCGAATGTTCCTTGAGCTTGTTAAAGACCATCTTTAAGAGATTCAATGTATTTTTAAATGTATTGACTCAGTTTATGAATATCAGCATCACCATAACTATCTAATTTTTTTACAACATATTCCCATGGTGTAATAGAAAAGTCTAATTAGGTGTACTAAATTATGAGTCTTCCTTTATCAATTAAAACCTTAGAGACCTTTTTATATGGATTTTGGCTACTCACTCCTAATTTAAGATTATTATTGAAGACAATATTCTTGGCATCAGAATAGAGATGAAAATCCTAAAATTTAAGAGTAAAAATGGAAAATTACTCCATTCATTCTAAAGGTTGAAAGGGGATTAAGAAACCTTTTTGGAAAAACAACAAGTTAAACCTATTTTAAAGTCTTGTTTTCTTCTTCATCTTCACTGCAAGAAGTAGTTAGTAAATGTTACTCCATCTCAATTTTTATTCAAATTAATTAAACTATATCCATTTTTAATATAAGCATATAAATGGCATTAATGATTATATTGTTATTTTGAAAAGAGAAATATTATAATAATAACATTATTATTTGATCAGAAATAATTAATTAAATTAACTTAATGATGCATCTATACAATTATTGATTAGTAAATATTAATTAATTACAATTAATATTTAATTAATAATAATCAATCCGTAAATAAAAGTAAAGTGACCTAATTAATTAATCCAACTATTCTTCTCTAAAGTACACAAAAACGGTATAGATATAGAAATTCAAAATTAAATATTTACTAAAATAATTGTATTTAATAAAATAATCTATGCTCATAAATATATAAATATATTTTAAATTATTCATTAATGATTTTCAGAATCTCCAGGTCCTGTTTTTCTAGTATTTCTGTCAAATTAGTACAATAGAATTTATAAAGTTTAGCCTCCTTTCAAAGTCCATCATTTAGAATTAGATCAACTTCCCCAAACAACAACTACAACATCAGCTGAATTACTTGCTTATTATAAGAGTATGTAATTGTAAAGACGTATGGAAATTGCTTGTGATAATCTCTATAAACAGAGATTGATTAGAGGTATTTCAATTTTTATAATCTTTCTAGGTTTCTTACATCTTGCTGATGGTCAAGAATCAATTTATGAAGGATTACATGCAGCATTAACATTTGATGACTGTGTTATCACAGCTTATAGAGATCATTGCATAGCATTGCTCAGAGGTGATACTCCACATCAAATTATTGCTGAAATGATGGCAAAATAAACAGGCAGTACAAAGGGTAAAGGAGGTTCAATGCATTACTACAAAAAAGCCACCAATTTTTATGGTGGTCATGGAATTGTAGGTGCATAAATTCCATTGGGAACAGGATTGGCATTTGCTTAAAAATATAACAAAAAGCCTAATGTGACTTTAATTATGTTTGGAGATGGTGCAGCCAATCAAGGATAATTATATGAAGCTGCAAATATGGCTCAATTATGGCATTTACCAGCTATCTATTTCATTGAAAATAACTTGTTTGGTATGGGAACATCCATTGACAGAGCAAGTGCTAATACCAAATTCTATACAAGAGGTGATGTAATTCCAGGAATATAAGTATATATATTCTATATAAATTGTAAGATTGATGGAAATAATGTCTTCTAAGTTAGAGAGACACTCAAATTTGCCAAGAAACACTGTCTTGAGAAGGGACCAATCTTTATTGAAGCCATGACTTACAGATATCATGGACATTCTATGAGTGATCCAGGTGTCACCTATAGAACAAGAGAAGAAGTTTAATAATAGAGAAAGACCAGAGATTGTATCAACTATGTTAAAAATATTATTCTTGAAAATAAAGTGGCAGATGAACATTAATTGGAAGTAATTCATAAATTTATTTTCTTTTTAGGAAATTGATAACACTGCTTAAAATGAAATTGATATTGCTGTTGAATAAGCCAAAGTTGATCCGGTTCCACCAAGCACTGAATTGACAACAGATGTTTATGTTGACAATTAAAATCATTTTATTAGAGGAATCTTGTATAAGGATAGCATTCTACCAAAGAGTTAATGAAAAATTACCATTTAGAAAAATAATATATATAAAGCTAATATTTATTGATATATCTTAATCTCAAAAAAGACTAAAATATCTAATATACAATATTCTTCTACATTAAAAACTTAAATCAAGAGGAAATAATTAGATTTTGATTTCAGAAGTATTTTAAACATATTTTCAAAATCAATCCCCCCGACTATAGTTTGATTGAACTTCATGAATATTAATATCTAAGCATATTGGGTTTCAAATAATTTTGTTAAATAAAATAAATTAAACGATCTGTAGTTCTAATCATAATTTTTGTTCTTAAAAAAAATAGAATTCTTTTTTGATACTTGATAAAAATTGTTGTAGTAAATATTGAGATGCTCAAATATAACCTTGATATTATAGACTTTGATCATATGAAGAAATAATCATAACTCAAGGATACAAACTATTTTATATTATAAATGCTATTGATGTTTTAGTTAATATATATAATTTTTAATCACTGAATAACTATTGTAATTCAACTTTTCTGATTTATCCTAATATTTTATCGAAAAATTTATATTTAGACAATTAGTGAACAATAAACATTTATATAACTATACTTCGAGTATATCTTATTAATATTCTCTAAGCTTAATTTAAACAATTCCTTCAAAATCTCAGTATCAGCTATTTTTATATGGCAAGAAATAGTTAAATATTGCTATTACATCTATTCCAATTGAATTAGAAATATGGATTTGCTCATAAGTGGATGGCAATTTGAAATCATAAAACTAAAAAAGAGAGAGGATTGTTAATACAAAAATCTTCTTAATGTGGCTTAAATAATTATATGTATATTCTTGATTGAGTATATATTTATTTAATAAGACTAATTTCGTAACATATATAGATAAATTTATTATTAAACTTCAGATTTTTTTAACAATTTAAACAACATCTTCATCTAATAATTAATGATCCTTTCCTACTTTCTATGGATTATATTTCACACTAGCTCCCCACACAAGTGCATATCTAAAGTCTTTAATCATATTTTTGTGTAACTTATTACAAAAATCTGTGATTGTTGAAAACTTTCGTTGTAATATAACAGGAGCATTATAATCTATTAAAATTTATCACAATATAAATACCTGGCTCTAATCCTTTTGGTTTTGTGTAAATACGAATCAAATCTAAATAATCCCAAATTCTTTCCACCAATTCATCCAAGTTCCATTCTAAATAGGCAGATATAGGCACATAATGTGGAATTTTATCCAAGACATTCAGTTCTTCTAATGTGATATCGTCAATCTTATTCATAACATATAAACATGGAATGTATTTACGATTACCTTCAATAATATCAATCAAGTCTTCATCAGTAGCATCACATTTAAGATTGATATCACAATTATTAATCTTATATTCACGTAAGATGGCCTATTGAATATATTTTACATTATAAATACTTTTATTGTCTCATCATCTAATCTTGAAGCATCATGTGTTCTAGAAATAGTAATACCTCCTTTATCTCGTTTCTTAAATTCTATTTGTGGTGGTTATTTATTTAATCTAATTCCAAATCCTTCAAGTTCTCTTTCAATGATTTTTTTATGTACCATAGGTCTTGTGGCATCCAACACAATCAAAATTAAATTACAAGTACGTGCCACAGCAATAACTTATTTACCTCTACCTTTGCCATCTTTAGCACCCTCTATAATTCCTGGTAAATCTAGCAATTGTATTTTGGCACCTTTATGTTATAAGACCTATTAATTTATTGAATAATCTCTACTCCAGGTATGCATGTTAGAGTTGTAAATTCATAGGCTGCAATTTTAGAAAACACTCCTGTAAGTTTTGTAAGTAGTGTACTCTTACCAACCGATGGAAAACCTATCATACCTATACGAGAATCTCCACTCTTAGAAACTTCAAATCCTTCTTAAGTGCCACCACCCTTTTTAGAAGATGAATCTATCATTTCTCTTTTGAGTTTAGCCAATTTAGCCTTCAATAAACCTAAATGATATGATGTGGCCTTATTTTTTTGGGTCCTCATCATTTCAGTCTCAATTTCGGCAATCTTTTATGCTGTGGTCATTTTTAATTAAAATATGATTGTACAAAAATAAACTTCAGGTTTAGGTGGATTCAAGATGCCAGCTGAAATAGCAAGAGGAAAGAAATATTATCAATAAAATATCAATAATGATCTTCCCACTAAGGATGAGTTATTTAGTTAGTTGGGAATTATGCCTGATGATGACTCGGTTAAAGTGAATAATCATAAAGATGATCATCTGAGAATTTCTAAATAATTAATATNAAATCTAAATAATCCCAAATTCTTTCCACCAATTCATCCAAGTTCCATTCTAAATAGGCAGATATAGGCACATAATGTGGAATTTTATCCAAGACATTCAGTTCTTCTAATGTGATATCGTCAATCTTATTCATAACATATAAACATGGAATGTATTTACGATTACCTTCAATAATATCAATCAAGTCTTCATCAGTAGCATCACATTTAAGATTGATATCACAATTATTAATCTTATATTCACGTAAGATGGCCTATTGAATATATTTTACATTATAAATACTTTTATTGTCTCATCATCTAATCTTGAAGCATCATGTGTTCTAGAAATAGTAATACCTCCTTTATCTCGTTTCTTAAATTCTATTTGTGGTGGTTATTTATTTAATCTAATTCCAAATCCTTCAAGTTCTCTTTCAATGATTTTTTTATGTACCATAGGTCTTGTGGCATCCAACACAATCAAAATTAAATTACAAGTACGTGCCACAGCAATAACTTATTTACCTCTACCTTTGCCATCTTTAGCACCCTCTATAATTCCTGGTAAATCTAGCAATTGTATTTTGGCACCTTTATGTTATAAGACCTATTAATTTATTGAATAATCTCTACTCCAGGTATGCATGTTAGAGTTGTAAATTCATAGGCTGCAATTTTAGAAAACACTCCTGTAAGTTTTGTAAGTAGTGTACTCTTACCAACCGATGGAAAACCTATCATACCTATACGAGAATCTCCACTCTTAGAAACTTCAAATCCTTCTTAAGTGCCACCACCCTTTTTAGAAGATGAATCTATCATTTCTCTTTTGAGTTTAGCCAATTTAGCCTTCAATAAACCTAAATGATATGATGTGGCCTTATTTTTTTGGGTCCTCATCATTTCAGTCTCAATTTCGGCAATCTTTTATGCTGTGGTCATTTTTAATTAAAATATGATTGTACAAAAATAAACTTCAGGTTTAGGTGGATTCAAGATGCCAGCTGAAATAGCAAGAGGAAAGAAATATTATCAATAAAATATCAATAATGATCTTCCCACTAAGGATGAGTTATTTAGTTAGTTGGGAATTATGCCTGATGATGACTCGGTTAAAGTGAATAATCATAAAGATGATCATCTGAGAATTTCTAAATAATTAATATAGGAAAAATTAAAGAGACTATATTATATTAATATAGTAAGAGTAATTAAATTACTTGGCACCAAAACCTCCAACTCCATTAGTGATTAAATAGAAAGTAAATACTTAAAGATTGACTTCTTTAGAATTAGAGAAAATGTTAGAGGAGCATAAATAATAAATGCATCCTATTGCTGAATAATATGAGTAAATGAGGTTGAGTGATGTAAGAAGTAAAAGTTACAATCCAAAAAGATAACGATCCTAGAGTCCAAAAGTTAGAGTGACTTATCATGAAGAACCAATTAATACTTACGCTCTTAGCGATCATAGAAGGATATTGATGGCCCACATGGTGATTTTTTAAAAGTAGTGTTACCTAAATAAAAATTACAAAAATACAAATCTGAATCTAAATTGATATCTGATGATGATTTCTAAAAGAAATTTAAGAATTTTTTGAGAAATAAGCGAAAAAATGATTTGAGTAGAAATAGTTCTTAAGAGAAATTAGAATTTGATTTGTATTAAAGTACAATTCCAAATAGAGGAAGATGGAATTAAAAACATATATATAAAGCAGTATTTAAAGATAGAAGTGTTTTAAGAAATGATTCATCTATAAGTAAGAGTAAAAATAAAAGTTAGAAGAATAAGAAAATAGATTAATCAATTTGAGAATAATAATTATGTGAATAAATATTCAAGCAAATAGATAATGTATATTATAATAATATATTCTTAATAGAAACAAGTAGGTCTTATTGATAAAATATAAACTATTAAATATATGATTTCTAATCCAGAAATTATGGAAGCTTTTAATATTAATCCTAAAGATTTAAATCTATAAGTGAACAAATTTCCAACTAAACAGTAAGGTGTATTTACATAAAATGAATTTACAAAGTTTTTATAAAAGTACAAGAATCAATATGATCATGAAGCATTTGGTGGATTGAGTCATGTTTCATAATAATAATAAGTTTCAAGTTGTTTATTGAATGAAGATTAAATTCAGATTCTGAAGAAGATATTTGATTCTTTATAAAATGATATGATTGCTTAAAGAAAAGAACTTATTTAGGCAATTCGTAATGACATATAAGTTGTGAGAATTTTACATGTTTAAGCAGCATATGTAACAGCAATTGATAAAATACTGAATTTAGAAACTATCTTATCATAATTAGAAGCATAGATCTTTGAATTTCCTTATATATCTTGGAAACAATTTATGGATGCATTTGAATATGATATAATGGTGAGTAAATAACAATTGTCATTTGGTACTTTAAAGGAGTCTCAAAAATAAGTGGATGATTAAGATAGTGTTGATGTTCCTGAAGAATTATAATAGTTAATTAAAGATTAATTCAATAAGATTGTAATGGATGATTATGTTACAGCTTTTGATCTTATTGAATGTATTAGAAGAGCACCACTCTATTCATAACTAAGAAAATAAATAATCAGAAAACAATAAAAAAAAAGTGATATCAAAGAAGAAACCTTGGAGTAAGTATTGAAAAGAATTGAAGAAACAGCAGAAGAATATTTGACATTTCAAGAGTTTATAAGTTACTTTACAAGAAGAGGATAACCTAAATTCAATGAAGAAGTAGCAAGTCTGGCTAAAAGTGTTAATGTAACTGAGGCATTATAAAACGATGAAAATAGAATAGATGATTATGATTCAGATCCAGAATTACACACTTATTAGGATAAAATGTGAAAGTAAATTAGATATTATATTTTATTTCATCTAATTATAATAATATTCTTTTGAAATATTTTATAACAATTTAAAGAAAATTCAAAAATCAATGTTGTACCAAGAGAACGATTAATAAAATAGCATCTAAGTTAATAAGCATTATTAACATATTCTCATCATAAAAAATCATTGCCATCGAAAAAATCTAATACAAAAGAAGATTTCTTATCTGTCATATAACCTAACCATAATATGGAGCTTATTCAAAACCAAGTGATTATTAATTTAAAGTAACTTAACCATAATCATTTAATTTTGATAAAAGAGAAAAAGAACGTTCTATTTCAATTAGAGAAAGGAAATTATAAGAAATGTTAGATGAAAAGAAGAGAAATAATTCATTCAAGAGTTTCAAGGCTAAAGAAATACCCTAAATAGTTAAATAAGATGGTCTTTATGATAAAATTTTAAATGATAATGAAAAAAGAAGAGAAGAAGTTAAGAATAATATTGTATAAATTACTCTTAAAAATGAAAGACCATTTTCATTTTATAAAAGAGATTAGAATTCATCAAAAAAACCACGTAAAAAGTATTGGGAAGAAAAAGAAAAGTTTGTTTTTAAGGCAAAAGCAATACCTTGGCATGTTCATGTAGAATTACTTAAATAAATGGAATAAGATGAAGAAACCAAGAGAAAAGAACGGATTGCTAAACATGCTTAAGAATTAGCTATGACTTCAAGAATGCCTCCTAAAATGGAAATGCATGAGAGATAAAAGTTAGGGCATCCCTAATCTCCAAAATATATGTAAACTTAGCTTACTTACAAAGCTAAATTCATTCCAGATTTTGATAAATTACATTCATCTTTTCAAGATCAATTAAATCGAAAAAAACAATAAATGAGAACTACTGAACCTTTTAATTTTCAATAATCTCATAAAGGTGTTGATAGACCATATCTTGAAAGAGAAAATGAAATTAAAATCAATCCAATCAAATTAGATATAATTGAAGAAGAAGCCAAAAAAAAAATGAATATTAAACCAATTAAATAACCACCTTCTACTAAGAAATGGGAAAGTAATTGTGAGTTTTTGAAAAAAGAGAAAATAAAGAAAGCTGAAAAGTAAGAATAAATCAAAAAAGAAGAATAAGAAAGATTGGATAGAAAAGAGAAAGTATTTTATCATCCTTATTTCGAAGTTTAAATAAAGAGTATAATAATCAGAAGATATTTAAGATAATTCCAAGAAACTAGAATAATAGAGGAAAGATAGAATTGCATAATTAAAAAAAGAATCAAAAGAATAAGAAATAAAACAAAAACAAATAATTTAAAATTGTACTGAATAACCTTTACTAGTTAAAAGACGTAATAACCAATCACAAGTATGATTAGCCACTAAAAAGGATGTAGAATTAGAGAAAATGAAACAATTGAGTAAGATTGACAAAATGTTAAAATAAAATGGAGTCATGAATAGAGAAGAATATTTCAATAAAGAAGAAAAAGCTATGCTTGATGACATTAATTATTTAAAGAAACATGGATATGAAGATGATTTTGAAAAAGAATGATCATGTATTTGGATCAAATTGAATAAAATATATATATTTTATACTAATAATAGTTTTGTATAAAATAATAAATCTAATATAATGAACTCATTTATTTAATATATCATTTATATTTATTTTAATATGTATTTAGTAAAATAAAAATATCTTAATTTATAATATAAAATTAATGTATTTGATATAAAAATAAATTAACTTTAGTAATAATAATGTTTGATTATAATATTATAGAAGTCATTTATATAGTAATAAATTAAAGAAATTTGAAAATTTTAAATAAAGTAGTAAAATTCCACTTTAATCTCTTTTGAAATGAATTATTAAATTTATTAATAAATAATCTCATGGAAATTCTTTATTTGCCAACCTATTTTATTGAAAAGATTGATTATTATTTTACCTTTCATAACTTTATGGTCCATAAAATTCTTTCATTGTTGGAACTCTTATATTATATGAGGATACTATTGGTGTTGATTAGATTAGTTTTTTTGAATTAGGAAGTTATTTTTCATAATAAATTGTGGGTTAATTTAAAGAACTTATTTTTTCAGGTTTAAATTTCTTTTTAACTAAAAATTAATATTTATTAATACGTTGATGCCATATTTCCTTAATTTTTTCACATTAAGGGCAATTATTATAATCTCCCATTACACAACATGCTCCAATAACATGACTTATACAATTTATATCTTATTATAAATTAAATTCATCAAATGGAGAATTACAATAAGAACATTATTGTTATTAAGTAATTCTACTTGAATCTTAAAATGGCTATGATTATAATTCATCTTAGTGGCTCATCAAATCAAAATTCCTTGATATTCCTTCAGAAAAATGATTTTAAGTTTATATAGAATATGGCTAAAAAGTCTTATTAACCCTTTCTTGAGATTAAGTAGAATATAAGAAATTAATATTTTGTTAATTCCTATGTAATAAACATAATTTACTCAAAAGTATCGCATTCTGATTTCAGTAATCTTTGTTAAAAATTAATTTGTTAAAATCTTTCTGGAAATTTTTATTTTAACGTATTTGAACTGTTTATTATTTCTTAGGGATATACTTATCGTTAATATTTTTATTCTACTTTTTCATATTCTATTTTCATCTAATCTTTTTCTGTAATCTATTCATAATATTCTGTTATCAATAAATGATGAGCATATATAATTTAAAGATTTTAAGTTTCTTATATAGCATCTTCCAAGAATTTATTTTTTATAATTATTTGTCCACATTTACAAAAGAAGTAATCTTCTTCAGAATTCTATTTATTAGTTTATATGCAATTTAAGCAAATCTAATGTTTACAATTCATATTAATGCAATGTTAATCCTATTTACATTAAACACATTTATATAAAGGTAATTTTTGAATTTATTGAAGAGGAATAATAAAATAGAAATCATCATTACTTTTTGAGAGTAATATTAATTCCTATCCTCTTCCTAATTTTTCATTATTTTGCAAGAAATTAATTTCAATTTATAAAAATATTGCTATGCTATTTAAGTATGGTTTTTAGTTTTTTATTAAAAAATGTATTCTACACAATTGAATTAATAATTTTTCTATCTTATCAACATAATTATCTATTTATTATAAACTTCTAAAAAAATGTAAAATTGGATTTTTCTCTTCTAAACTTTGTATAATTAATTATTGTAATTAGTGAGAATCCTCTGATAAACTATTTTAACTAATATTCAAAAATTTTTAAATAGGCTAATAATTTTTCTAATTCAAGAAGTAGTGGATGATTGAACAGAAAATAGCAAAGTTTAAATTATTTCCTAAATTTTACCAATAAATTAGTTTATCTAATTTCTAATATTGAGATCTGATATTAATAGGAATTAAACTAATAACCAGCATATCAATTATAAAAAAAATTATATTTTATAATTTATTCTCAAAAAGTAATATATAATATTGTTAATATGCATAAATATTTAAGATTATAAGAATCAAATAAAAATTATAAAAATCTATAACGTTGTGAAACTACTTATTAAATTTCTTATTAAGAAATACTTTAATCAATTTAAGTTATTAATTTTCTTATAAAATGTTAGTGCAAAATTATATATCAATGTAATTATTAGATACTTCATTGTTTTTTTAACCATAATGAAATAAACAATAAATAAACTATTGCTTATTTCAATAAAATTTGAAACTATATAAACATTAAATTAATTAAGAATGATGCATTTAAATTAATTATTCATTAGAAAAAGATATATAAAATATATTTATAACTGATAACTTTTTTCAATTTTTAATATCCAATATTCTTTCTAATTATTCTCTCTATAAGATTCTAGATTATATATTTCTTTTAAGGTTAATTTATCCAATCTACTATGTGATTTCATTAATTTCCAAATAATTTTTATTTATTTAATTCTTACTAAAATATTAAAGAGCAATGCAAGCATAATAACCTGTAAGATTTTCATTATATTGATCTGATTAAATTGGAAATGTAGGACTAACATGTAATTAAAACTATATATTTTCTTTAAGAAGTTAACTAAATAAATAATTCAAACAAAGCTGAAGTTCATAATATTATTATGATGGTTTAGGAATAGAATTATAAATTATAACTAATAGATTTTTTAAATCTACTGTGATTACATAATAAAGTGAGCCTTCTTTAATTATAAATGCAATTTTTTAATAAATAATTTAAAATTGATATTAAATTGCTTGAAAATCTTCAAAATAATCTATAATTAATTTTATACAAAGATTTTTATTTTATTTAAAGTATTATCTAAATTCTTCTAAAAAACAACTAGGTAAAATACATAGTCTTGGATAGAATAATCTTAAATTACTTTTCAATTTAAAATAATATGCTTCATCTTTCATCTATAATTATTCAGCAAAACCATTAATCAAATCGCTTGTTAAAAAAAAAGAATTTTGTTAATTTTCTTCAAAAATTACTAAACTATTATTATTAAGTTAATCTAAAGATAAAAGTGATTCTTCAGTTATCCATTTTGTTTAATAAAGCGAATTTCTGATTTTAGAAGTTTTTTAAAAGGTTATTTTAAACAATTCTAATTTTAGTATTGTTTCATCTTCATTATTTATATTGATAATTTCATCATACGTTTATAGATCTTTTTCAAGACTATTATATTTATACAGCTCTATTAAATCATCTATTTTTATAGAATTTTGATCTAAATTATAAATTTTCACTAGATATTCAGTTTTAGAAGATTAGTAATTGATTTTTTCTAAATAAGCTAGATTTTTTATTTATTCTTTTATTTCAATTAATTATTTCTCAGAAATAGTTATTTGATTTTGATGTTATAGAATTATATTTTGAAATTCTTATTAGATCTATCGAATCTACTCTTCCGTATTAAATTATTTCTTTTCGCATTCTTACAATTATTGGGAGTAAATATTTAGTAAATTTAGTTTACTTGTAAGATTTTATTCAATTATTTTATTTTCATAAATTTCTTATTCTAAATCTTTTATGAGTCCTTTTATTTAATCCTATTAATTTAAGAAATATTTTTTTTGATCTTGATAAAATTTCTCTTTATCTGGATATTCTTATAAAAGTTTTTACTTCTCTTACTTATAAGTTTACGTTAATTCTTCAAGTTAAGAATTTGGCTATTATTTTCCATTTTATTATTTAAATTTTTCTAAATTATGTTGTCTGCTAATTACTTTTTTTGATTAATCATTAGATTGTTATAATGTACATTGCTTATTTGGATTGAGCTATTGATCTAAATTTATTAATTTATTGTTCAGATTTTTAACATATGCTTCGAAATTATCATCAACTTATACAATATTATATTCAATTCTTTCTATCTTGTTATTCAAAATATTTATTTTTTTTTAAAGAAATTCATTTTTTAGTTTGATATTGAAATCTGGATTTTATTCTTATATTTATTAATTCAACTATTCAATTTTTTCCCCTAGTATTCTTTAATATTCTATCATTTTTATATTTTTTAATTGTAATTCTTAGTTTTATGAATTAAAGATCGTACTTTCGTTTTCAATCTGCTTTTAAATTTATTCTTTTTCTTAATTTTTTTATTATTACAATAACTCTAATTATTATTATTCTTTTTATTATGTTTATTTTTTTTTTACTATTTTCCTAAATTATTTATCACTTTCACTTTTATTGATTCGGCTTCTAATAGTATTATAATTAATAGTACATATTTTATATTGAATATTCTTAACTTACATGAGACTTTTGAACTTTAGGTGAAGATAAATTAATTGAATCCTAATATTTTATTTGATACTTTTGTAGAATCATAGATTTGAATGATTCTATAAAAACTGAAGTATAATTCTCCAATTTATCCTGAAAATCTTCTCCATTCTTTTTCTAATAATTTTTATTTTCTTAAAGTTTTGTCTTATTTATATTAGTTTATAATCGATTTAAGCCTCCTTAAGATCTACCTTTGACTTTTGTTAATTCTTTTTTATTTGACTATATGATAAAATTATTCTACTTGTAACTTTTGAGATTCAGCATTCGCAAAATCCATCATTTCCTTTTTGTTTTTAAAATTGTTTATTTAATGAATACGTATTGACTCTTTCTGTTGTTATTTACTCATATTAGTATATAGATTAAATAATTAAGTAATAAAATAATATAAACCAAATTTTTCTTTTAGAATAGTATATTATTTTTATAACTATTTAGTATATAATAGAAAAATTCATAAATATTTTTGGATTTGTGAAGACAAACCTTTCTTTACTCGAATATCTTACAATATTTAATTAGCCTAAATTTATTATACATATATACTTCAGAATTATCTTCTAATGGATCACTATTAAGTAGAGACCAATGATCAAATGAACTTATACTATATGCTTTATTTTAAGTCATCCGACTTAATGAATCATGAAATTAAAATATATTAGGACCTTTTACATATGCTTTTATCTTGATTATAGAAAAATGTACTTTTTAAAAGGAAGTTTCAGAGAAACTCTTTTCCTCTATAACAATCCCTTTTGCATTATTTAAACATTTGTAAACTTAATCTATAACATATATATTCGAATGAATTTCCACAAGAAATACAGGTTCTTATAATCTTGGTTATGCTTATAATTAACATCCATAAAATAATCTTCTTGCTGTAGGTATAATTTGACCTGCTCCTCTATGAATATTATCAGCATGAGATAAATATTGTAAAATATTAATTTGTACTCCCCTTAATTCTTCATCACAAAGTGCCCCTTCTTTTGTAAACCATTACCATGTTGTATTCAGATGAACTTCAATTTCGGATAGATGTTAATAATCTTCATAATTTGATTTATTTACAAGAATATTAGGACCAATATTATTTGGACCAAAAGCCATAATTTTTAATTTTTCATTTTGGAACCAATTTTTTGAATTGATTTTTAAAGATTCCTTAAATGTAATAGATTAATTATCTGATTCAATTTAATTCAATAGATTATCACTTAATGGTATTGCTATTCCTTCTATCATATTATGTTTATTTGGAGTCTTAATTTAATTTTTATTTGATATATCTGTGATTGTCTCTCTGTAACTAATAAAGTAATTAGACTTTTTAATTTCAACATTACTTAAATATTTATTAATTAATTCTTCCATAAAAAATTGTAAATGGTGATATGTATTTCCAGTTAAAATCAAACAAGGATCTAATTATAAAGAAATAGTTGAATGTAATTTCATTAATTATTTAATTGCTTCAATTACAAGAGTCAAATGGATAGGATCCACAGGTGAAATTGTAATCCTTACTAAATTATCCTATTAATATTATATAGGTGTCATTTAAATAGAATGTTAGATATCAGTTATAGTACAAGTTCCTTTGATGAATTAATCAATTCCTTTTATTCCCACTATGTTTCCAGAAGGTATCTATTCTAAATAAGCAGGTTCACCTTAGGGGAAACAAAAAGTCTATCCTACTATTACTTAAAATAGATCTTAATTCTTCCCATCTTTTTATTAACATCCTAAAATCTTTATCTACTGTCCAGTATAGATTGTTCCTGAATAGACTCTTCCAATTGAGATGAACTCCTACTTATATGGTATCATTAAGCAAATTTAAATCACTAAAGGTCCTTTAGGATTACAATCTCTAATTGATTCAAATAATTTGTCATTCTTATCTAATTTACAAAGAGATGCTGCTTTGTAATTTTAAGCAGTCCTTGGAGAAGGTATTTGTAATATACATGATTACATAATTGCATCTGCTAAATTAATCCAAATACTGAGAATTGATTTCAATAATTCCTTACCATCTTATTGTTTTACATCTTCATTTAATTATATTCCAATTCTCTCTATCATTTAATAGACAACATCTTTTTGGCCATTCATTATAGCTTATGATAATTTTAGAATTGGATCTAAGATAAAGGCAACAAATGCTCTTTTTAAAGGTTAACTATCTTTAGACATAGTACTCCATTATTTTGTAGATGCATCAAAATAATGATCACCCCATAACTTTTCTGCTAACTTTCTATGTTCTATACCAAATTTATTTTCATAAAGTTAGGCAAATTATAAACAAGTAAAACCCCATTATTATTTTGCAGATCCAAATATTATTTAACCAAAGGCAGGATTTAATATTCTATCTGATTCATAGAGTTATATTATTTAAGTGATTTTTTCAATTATACGATTTAAATTTATGTAAATTTCTTCTCCATAAAGATTTTGTTACAAAAATGCTTTTTCAATTTTGTTTATGAAAAACACTATTTTGTTTTATTCTTTCAAAAATGTTCTTATTATTGTTTCAATTTCGTTATTTAAATAAAATTCAAAGTTAATTATAATAATTGCTCCATCTGATAATCTTGCTAAAATTTCTGTTTATTTATGATAGTTATTTTAAGATTTCATTAAGTTTATCAGATAACCATCTTCTACTTCTTCTTTTTTATTGATTTTTTTTTAATAATATAAGTTTTTAATATTACATTAAGATTAGAATTCTTAATCAAATTCTTATTGATTATCAGTAAGTATTAAATCTGTATTAGTTTATACTCCCCATTTTTTAATTAAAATGTTATATAAGTATTATTATCCATTATCAAAAGTACCAGATATTGCAATATTTCTAATTTAATCTTAAGATTTCATTGCCTTATTCATATTGGAAAAGAATTTCAAGTCTTTAGTCTGAATCATTAATAAAATTCTTTAATAATTATATTATTAATGTAAGTTTTGTCTTTTATATTGATAATATCTTTAATAATAATTTATTATAACTTAAATTTATGTAAATTTTTATGATATTTGAATGGAAATCACAGTGAATAGAATAATATTAAATTATATAAAATATTTGATTTAGAATGTATTGAATTCATAATTATATATTTTATATGAATCATCTAAACATAAATGTCATATTAATAGATTTATTTGTTTTATATATATATATCTAAGATTAATGTTAAAATCTTTTGATTAATTAAAAATAATTTTATGAATATAATTGATAATTTAATTAATTATATTTATATTGAGATTGGACATGAATTTAATCAACAAATTTATTTTAGAAAATACTCATTTTCTTGCATATTTCTCTGGGTTTTCAAATACATCATATAAGACTTTATTTGATTTAACAATAGCACCACCATCTAAGAATCTATGATCAGTACAAAAGTTCAATTAAAATGTAGGTGCAATAACAATTTATCCATTCTTAACAACTGCTTTTTCTACAATTTAATTAACAGTGACAATCAATAAATTTCTCATCATAGGAGTAAATGGAGCAATAACATTTCTAAATCCAAGTGTTCCAATAGAAGTCACTGTGGCAACTCCAAAACAATCTTTCTTCAAACCTAATGCTTTAATAGTAATTCCCAAATTATAGGTAAGAAAAGATGTCACTTAAATTAATAAGCTAATAACACTATAAATTGATAGAATGTAAAAATTACAATGGAGGAAGGTATTTAAGTAATCCTGATCTTTATTGATGTTCTTCATCCTTTCCCTATTTAGCTAGTTTAGCTTTACCATTTATGTATTCAGCAATATCTTCAAAGTTCTTTTAATCAGCATTTTAAACTAACAATGCAGCCAAATCATCACCCTCTCCTATGTTTACCAAACATGATATATCAACTGTAGGAAATTCAACAAATTTTCCAAACACAATTTTACCACATATTTTCTTTCTACTAACATTAATACATTCTGCTACAGCTCTAATACAGATATGGGTTAGAGTAACATGTGAATCTCTAAATAAATGATAATAATTATTACTTTGCTTATTTTGACTATAGATATTTCATAGTGTTGGTTAAATCAATTTCTACTAAGTTATGAATGACTCCTTCAGTTGGTGGAGTCCAAAGAGCCTAAGATAATCTTCTTCTACCAGATCCATAACCAATAGTAGGATAATAGATATAAGATAATGCCTGGTAAACAACTATTGGATGATAATGATTATTACCTATAATGCCAAGAAATATGTATAAAAGTCTAGCATCATAAAGGAATGAGTAAATTAATACTGACGCTATGAAAGCGTTGTTTACGATTGTCATATAATAAATTAATTAATCAAAAAAATTATATATATATATTATGGGAAACAGTAAGATTATAAAATAATACAGATTTATGTGGATTGGAGGAAGAGAAGAAACATGTTTTACATCCAGAATCCAAAATAATCACAACTAGAACAATCAAATAAACTACAATCTCAATTATTCAGGCTGATATAGCTGAAGATTTGTCAGATGTTATTGGTACAAATTGCAATTGATTTTAGTGAATGCTTCTCATGAACCAGCATGGTCTTATTTAGCAAAAAGGTATTCTTTTAAATATTACATTTTACAGAGATAAGAACAACAAAGTTAATGACCTCATACAATAAAGTATATATTAATAACCTATAAAAACAATTAGTGAAAATAGGAGAAATGATTAAAACTAAAAGTGAAAATGTTAATTCTCTAGAAATATATCATGTACGTTTACCATATTATTAAGTAATATTAAATATTTATTAATTAAGGATACTAGAGATCTATAATTAATATTTTAGAGTTATTAAGCATGTTTAAAATAAAAGGGATTCAATTCCATTTCATTTACTGAATAGAACTCTCCAAATTTTGTAATTCCAAAATAATTTCATGCTGAAGTTCTTATTAGAGCAATCTTATAGTTTAATAAAATTATTTATATCTTAGATCTATAACAGATGATGAAATTGCTTTTGAATAAATTAAATTTGTTAGTTTAGATTAAATTACTTTGAAATACTTTGCATATGAATTAATGAAATTATTAGATGAATACAGAATACCAGATTTATATAAATTTAGGTAACAATAATTTCTCGATTACTTATGTAATAATTATATATTACATTTTAGAAAATACTGAAGAATTAAAGCAGGAAGTATACTTATTCAGTACTGGTATTACTACTGAATTAGAATAGGTTGATAGATAATAATGAGTTTATTTACATCATAGTTATTATATTTATCATAATTAATGAAGATCAAAATATTATTAAGATAAATTATAATATTATGTTATTTTCTACTATTTTATTTGGATAATAATTAATTAATTATAAACTATCTTAATAATAAGATTATTAGAAATATAATTTATTTAAACTTGAATTATCAATAAAATGCATAAATAATCACACTCATTATCAAAGTCCACAATGGCAATTAAGTATTCTATTCTTTTTATTTATTTACAGCAGATTCAAATCCATATTATTATTTTATACTTTGTAATTAACTATCCTACAATGATATTGGAGGTAAGTAAACTGATTTCCAAATTCTTTTCCAAAAATTTCCAGTTTGTATCATCTCAGTGACATTTGTAAAATAATATAGATATTTATTAATTCTAATAAATTTTGGAGGTTTTTTTTAAAATGGATTATTAGAAACAAAAGCATTTATATTTTAACCATCCAACATTTTATAAACTAAATGAATCTAATTTATAATATAAATAATTTACTAAATATAGATCTGAAGGATGTTCTTATAAAGATGCAAACCATAATTACCAATCTAATCTAGGTTAATGAGGTACAACAAATGGTGATATTTCATTAATTTTTCCAGGTTTATAATGGAAATGATATTCTAACCATTTATTACCATCTTCACTACCTTCAAAAATAAGTTCAGGTCTGCCATTTACACCAGTCATTTTTCTGAATAAGCCATAACTATTAAATAAATGAAATGAATATGTATATTGTTAAACCTATTATAAATATTGTTATGGTATAATAGGACTATTAATTTGTCTGATGCCTATTCCTTATTGAAATGTCATATTAGACATACTAAACATAAATATAAACACAACAATTTTAATTAATGTTTGTAATATGGCAGCCATAGTACTTTTAGCTGAATTTTTCTAAAGATTGAAATATGTTATATAGAAAAAGAAGAATGTAAGTACATATAATAAAAAGTAAGTGAAATTATCTTCTGTAAGAAAGTATTTACCAATATCTTAAACAGTAAATGGAAGTTTCTTTCCTTACATTATAGTTTCATAAGGAAAGAAATTGAATATGAGTACTCCTGTCATATAAAGACAAATGACAATTTCAGAGTATTTGTAAATTCTATTGTTTTTTTTTAAATCAAATTCTTCAATAGTTTTTGGCATATTAATAAATTCTTTGATTTGACTAGGAAAGTATTTATAAATGAAATGATCATCTAATACTACCAAAGTAAGTACAATTGATAATAGATTAAAAAAGTTGTAATTTCCAGTTAGTATAATACCAATTTGCATTATAAATTATAAAATGAATCCAAATATTCTCATAAATCTTGTTGGGAAATAAAAATAAATAGCTCCAAAAATAAGTACATAGAAATTAGCAGCTACCATTAATTTTTTTAATTCTCCTGGTATTTAATGTGCCCACCAAGATAGAAAATGAGGTATACATTATGATGCAAAATGATGATGTAATGCAGTTAAATTCCACCAAGTTTCACATTAACTTAATAATTTCACTAATCCACTTGAAAAGTAGAGTCTAAATGCAAGCCAACGTAATAATTCTCTTCCTACAACAGGTGTAAGAGAGAAGATTATACAAATGAAACCACATTCCAAAAGCATTATGTCCCATTAGAATTGACTAAAATCTTAACCAACTGTATAGAGTGAGAGATACAATACCCACAATATTAAGAAGGTGTACCATTTAATAAATTTGGAAGAGGCAAATGCTAATAATCCTACTAGGGTACCAAAAATGGTTATAAGTGTAAGAGTGGAATCATTCTTACCTATTTATAGGAGAGTGGGCATTTTAGTTAGATCATACCATTCAATTTTAGATATTGGCATCAATCCATTTTGTGAATACAATGCTGGAATTTAATAATACCAACTGGAAAAGGCAAATGCATAGATTAGACCAACTAATCTTAATATTAATTGATGTAAGTATTCTATTTTCTCTCCTTGACAATTTTTGGAAGTAAGCATTAATAATAATTAAATTAATAAATGAGATTAAATACTTTACCGGATGTTCTATTTCCAAATCCTATTCAGCATCCAAATTACAAGATCTCTTTTTTAAAGAAAGTCAAAGAAGAAATTCTAAATGTAAATATATAATTTGAATGTAGAATCAATTCTAAAATGAACCTATGAGAATGAGTAGATAAAATATGACAATACGTTCACTAAAGAGAGGATCAATCAGAGTTGTTAGTGCATCTATTGTTACATCTCAAAACAATACATAAACTAATTTTAGATCTGGATCTTCAAAGTTCAAGATGATAAAGGAGCATTCTCAGATAGAAGAAATGGATGAAACATTTTCTCGAACAAGGACACCTTCTCAATTAGTAAGACGATTAAAAAGAGGATTATCAATGTTTGAAAAATAGTTGTGATTAAAGATTTTTTTAAAAGCATCTTTTTTATAAGTTTACTAAAAATGCATAAGATTTATCTAAATGCTTAAATCATTCTAACTTTTCATTATTTTTAATGAATTTATAGATATCAATTATATTTTTATTCAATCTTAATATAGTTGTGTATATTTATTGTATTTTTCTATTATATTAAAATTATTACAAAATTACCTTAAGAATAATTAGTTGATTTTTATTAGAATTATCTTTTTGAATTCAATGTATTATTTGATTATGTCCATTATTTAAAATCTGTATATTGTCTTAAAAATGATTTTTATTTACTTTCATCTACTTAATTAATTTGTATATACTTTTATCCTTATTTCTGACAGATTAAATTTAATATTTAAATCTTTCGTTTTTATTTTAGTAGTTTTAATCAAGTATAATAATGATTAAAGTAAATTAATAATTATTGTATTCAATTAAACATTATTATTAAACTTTTATTTAATAGTAGAAATTATTATAAATTTAGTTCTCTCTATCAAATTAACAAAACTTATGAATTTACTTTTTTTATAGAATTTAATAGATTCCGATAATTTAATCAATTATAAGTATTAAAAAAGAAACACTTCTAAGTTTCATCATATTGATATTGGAGTAAATCAAAAATCATTAAAAAATTCAATTTACTAATATGAATCTAGTATTTAGTGAATTTCAATAACTTTTAATCCAAATAAATGGAACTTTCTAAATTATTAGAATCTTAAATTAATAAATTTAGACAAAGTTCTTCTATGAATAATGATATTACTTCTTTATTCTAAATTCACTATTTATTTATAATAATTTGATATGTTAATTTTTAAACATCTCTTAAAATTCCTTCTTTTCTATATATTCAAATGCTACAATTATTTCATTATTGTATGTTCTACAATAATAATTCTCATTTTATCATTAGAACTATAAATATTATACTTTTGATAATTCAAATTATGATTGTTGACTAAGTTAGATCATAAATCCCATAATCTTATTATTAGTCTTATCTTAATATTGATTATGAATTCTTTAGCCAATTGTTTTAAAATCTATGTACTTATATTGAATATATAACTAATTTAGATAGTTATTTACATCATTAACATGATCAGTGATGTATAAATTACTCCAATAATCTTATATATGAGTCATGTTCAAATATATAATAGTATATATAATCTTGATATTTAATCCAATTAGGATATCTACTTTACAAAATTTTCATAAATAAATTCTTTCATTATTTCCTCTCTGTATTATGACAATATTCTTTGATTTATGATTCAATCTATTCTAGTTATGGACACTTCATAAATTGTTTTTACATCTCTTTTATTTCTTTCTTTATTTCTTAATCCCCTTACCAAAGAATTCCTATATGAAATAGCTATTATAATTATTTCTTCTAGATGATATTTTTCTTTTGTTTGCCCACTAATTTGCAATTTTAATATATAATTAACGTAACATGGAAGTAATTGAATCACTAAATAAACAAGCACTTGCATAAACAGATTCTCACTTAGCTCTTGAGATTTTAGATAGAGCTCTTGGTCTCTTATAATACAATGCTGATTGTGGCAAAATCATAGATCGCAATCTCATAGTTACTATTATCTATAATCTTGCTGGTGTTAATTAAGCGTACATTTACTTTAATCTATATTCAGATTATGCAATCTAGATAAAGCAGCCTAATACTTAGAAGGAACCGTTTTTAATTTACAAGAAATGATTCAACAAGAAAACAATCAAGTCTTTCTGATTAAACGAATGCATCTTTTAGCTGTTGTACAATTATAATATTGTGGAATATTATCACAATTGAATTAACATTAAGTGGCATCTAATGTTGCACACTCTACTGTCGTATTAATCAATAGACTTTTTGAGATCAGTTATTAATATTAAAGCAGTTAGTAGACAAACAATAAAAAAGTATAAAAATATTAAAAGGGATAATATATTTTTGAAGAATATGATTTTAAGAATCTATTACTAAAGAGATCTGAAGAATTACTTAAATTCATAAAACAATTTATAACTACTTAATTAATTGAATCAGAAGAATAGCCTAAATTATAAGAATTAGCAAATCATATTTTTACTTGGAAATTGAACTCTTTAAATAATGATAAATTGCCTAAACAATCTTTTACTAAACTCTATTAAAGATCAATGATTGGTTTACTTAATGAAAATGAATGGTTAATATCATTTAATGTTAGTAACATAATGTATATAAGATTACTGACTTATGAAGAAGTATGTCTTAAAGGAGAAATCCTATATGAATTTAGTTAAAAAGTCTTAATTGAAAAATTAATACTATTATCTATGGCCTATTTTTCACTTGCTTCAGAAACTAGATACTTGAAAAATGAAATCAAATCATAATTTTATCATCTAAAATCTATCTATATTGTAAGTAGTATATTGAATGAGAGTTCTCCATATTTAGATCATCTAATATAATCATTTTGCATACATTATCAATAACAATTAGAGACAATTGTATTTAATCTATTGTATTTTAGCTTGAAGAGTAGTCCTTTGTTGATTAGAGTACAAAAGTAAGTCTTAAAAGAAAAGAAAGTCTGATGGCTAATAAAGAAAATACTCATGATCATCTTAAATAATTGATTGAAAGTCTATCAAAGGATAAAAAATTTAAATAGGAATCTATACAAAAAACTTTAAATCAATTACAAAATCTAAAAGACAGTAAAATTAATATTAATACTTTTAGAATTGTATAAATAGAGATCTGAAACTATTTTAAAAAGATTTAAAACTGAACCAAGTTTACATTTTGATAAAAGTGATAGAAATTGTAAATAAATATTATAATAATTAATGAAATAATGATTGTTATATACTTAATAACAACTATACTTTTTATTTCTACTTAATTATTAAATTATATAAACTTAAAAGATCTCATTTTAATTGAATATTATCTCTAAAATTCATTTAAAGAATTAGAGTTTAGGTTCCAAATATTAAAAGTCTATTGTTGATATTATATTAATTAATACAATTATTTTTATTATTAATATTATTTATATTAAATTCTATGTAAGATTAATAGAGCATGTTTTCAGTATAGAGTAACCCTTGGAATAAGTTGAATACAATAAAAGAAAAAGGTTATATGTTGGCCAAGTCAATTGATAAACATCCAGAATTCAAAACAGAAATTTTAGATGCTGTAGGTTAATAATAAACTAAGAACATCTTTAAAGATCCCATAAGTATGTAAATATGTAAATACGATTCTACAATTGGTCCAAAATTAGAGAATAATAAAATTGTTATACGATCAATTGTAGGTAAACCAGATATTTTCAAAAGGAAATTGAGTTTATTAACTGGATAGGATCCAAAATCAAGTAGTAGAAGAACATTTGCTAAAGGAAATACTACAAACACTTTTAGAAATAATAATAACACAACAAAAACATAATAAGTATTTACAGGTGAAGATTTATTGGCTAAAGTAAATTTGATTGAGAAGAATTTGTTTGAATCAAGATTAAAGGAGGATCAAGAATTGATGAAAATGCCATTCCAAAAAAAATAGATTTTGTTTAAAGAAACTAGAGCTTTGGAAGAATATTTAAAATTAGAAAAGGAATAAAATAATTTATTAATTGGAGTGACTAAATAAGTAAATAAAGATCCAAACAAATCATTGATGGTAGATTGTTATAGATTTCGTAGAAAATAAGAGTATTGTAATACAAATGATTCATTAAATAGAAATAATGATGATAAGACAATGAAGATAGTGTAAATAACAATCTTTAATTAGGGAAATAGATGATGATAGTGGATATCCCTTATTTATGATGTCATAGAATGATTAAATGATACGAAAACCAAGTATCATCAATCAGGATGAGACTACTTAATCAATATTGAAATAATTGAATGATGAACCAGTCTATCGAAGTTTCTCAAGCAAAGATTATTTAAAATCTTAATCCAATAGATATGCAAAGATAGCTGCTGATAAAATCAATATAAATATAGATAATTTATTAATTTAAGGATAGAGTAAATTGGATTAAGAAATCAAATTTGATATAAATGGGAAATATTTACTATAAACTATTGATAAAGGTAATGGTGAAGAGACAATTACTGAAAACTATTAAGGTTATTATAAAATAAATTATAAATGATTATTTACAATATCAAATTTATTTAATACTTTGCAAATACTATTTATAGAGATGGATAGATATAAATTTATCAATAAAATTTTTATATAAATAATCAATTTAACCAAAGCACCTTTTTTTAAAATATCTCCTATTCTCTCATTCGATTTTCAATCGTTCCCATACTTCTAATTAATATGTTTCCTTGCATCCACCAATAATGAATTAATGATCCAATACTTAATCAATAGTCATTCTTTTTTTTGGATCTGGCTCCAACATACCTTAGATAAGTGAGCGAAATTCATCATTGTATTTGTTTTATTTATCTACTGCCTACCAATATTTAGCCCATTATCCAGTAGAAATTAATCTCCAATATGGACAAACTTTAGTACTCTATCTGAAAGGTGGATGGGCAAAAGCCAATATGAAGAGACACACTCCTAAAGAAAAGACTTCTGTTATAGGTAATGCTGTAGTATTGATTAATCCTTAATTTTATAACTCTGGTGCCAAATATCCCAAAGTACCAGAAGATCTGGTAACAAATTCTCCATTGATTGGTTCAGCAAATCCAAAGTCACAAATTTTGATATCCAATTTCTTATCCAAAAGTATATTTTCTAATTTGATGTCTCTATGCACAAAACCCAATTTATGAATATATTGGATTGCCGCTGTTAATTATAAAATAATGTATTTAATAGAAGTTATTGAAAATGGTTTCTATCCTTTGGCTAAAATGTCAAAGAGATCCATTTTTTCTAAAAGCTCGGTAATCATGTATCTTTCTTTATGATTTCCTTCTATTAAATGTACAACATTGTGATGGTCAATTTAAGAAAGAATGTGAATTTCTTTTTTTATTAATTATGTAGAGAAGTTATCCTTAAATAATTTGATAGCATATTCTTAGTCTTTGATCTATACTTTTCTGACTTCGCAAGTCAATCCAGAACCCAAGATTTCTTATGAGATATTCATCACTTAAATTTTTAGTATAAGTTAACAAGTTTAAATTTTTAAAATCAAATCCAATTTACTTTCATCGGGAATTATTAAATTCTTTTATAAAACTTATCAGAAATTATATTTCATCAGAATATAAATATAGAATTCATTAAATCAATGTATCCACAGCACAATACACAAAAAATAGTCTATTTTTAAAAAACCATTTTCTTATTCTCATTTCCCCACCTATAATTTATAATGAACATTTTTCATCTCATTGATATACTCTATTTCATTTATTTATCCAATTCTATAAAGAATTTCATCCAAAGTTAAACGTTTCTTTGGATCATAATTGATCATACCTTCGATTAATTCTAAACAAGAAATAGGAATCTTTTCACTTCTATTCCTCTAGGAATAATACCAAAATTTATCCCAATTATTTTTTAATATCAATATGTATAAAGAACATGATTTATTTGTAGTATTGAAAGGATATTTTCCAAAAAGTAAAATATAATATAAAACACCTAAAGCATGGATGTCACATTCTATCAAATTTTAGGCATCAATCTTTCCATAGAAATTAATTTCTGGAGACATATAACAAGATGTTCCAACTTAATTATGCACTTTTCCTGAATCTAAACTTTCACTTGCATCAAAATCACAAAGTTTGATTTAGTAATTCTATTCATCCACTAAAACATTTTCCAATTTTACATCCCTATGAGCAATTCTTAATTAATGCATATATTTTAAAGCATCAACTAACTACTTTAAAATATAGTTTGATGTATTAACTGACATAGAACCTGCAGTTTTTACAAAAAAATATAAATCAAATGGAATCATTAATTCAGTTACTATATAATTTTCATTTCCATTAATAAAATTCAAAATGTTTGGGTGTTTTAATAATTTATGAATTCTATATTCCTAATCTCCACCTTTATGCTTGAATTACTTAATAGCATATAATTTATTTCCAATTTGTACTTACTTAATAAATCCTAGTTTTCCATCATTTATTTATAACTCAATAATTTTCATATTAATTAATATATTTATATTCTTTTTCTATATAAAAAATTCTTTTAAATTCTTTCACTATTTTAATTTTTATTAATTTTATAAATATTAAATATGAAAACAATCTATATCATTAATTGTAAATTTATTATTCTAAATTTTTCTCCTCTTAATCCTATATTATCTCTTACTCATTTTATTTTTATAGATTATTATTTGGTTACTCTTCCTTAACTTTTTTATCGTCAGTTATTTAAAAATTTATGTGGCAAGATTTATTACTCTCTATTACTATTTATGTTTCAATATCGTTTGATATATCTTATTATTCAAATTTTTTTTATACTTACTCTTTTTCTTCTTCTTTTTCTTACTCTTAATCTTATATCTTATCTTCAATATGATTAGATTATGTATATGATTTTACTAATTGAACTTATTGAAATATTTTAGAGATCTATTAATTTGGAGCAGAGTTTATTGTTTATTTAATATCTATCTAATTAGAACATTAAAAGCATGAGATTTTCTTATGTATTTGGCTATTGGTATTAGTTTAAAGAAAAAACCAAAATTTACAATCTTAATTATCTATGCATCTTCCAATATTTTAAGAATAAGTTTTCTAAATTTAAAACAATTAATTCTCTAAAAATAATTCTGTATACTTTTTGCACTTATCCTATTCACCTAACATATTTATGATTTTTAAAGATAATTTACAACGACATAAACACTATAAAATAGTAAATGATAACTATAAAGTATTTTAAATATATTAATCTAAACATTCAAAATGAAAAAAATGTTAACATGGAGTTTATATCATATCCTTATCAATTTATTATAAACAGTGAATGCATGTGACTATTTTATCAATAATTTACGAAGAAAATTAATTTTAATATGAAATTTGACTACAAACTTCATTATGAACTCTTTCATTTTAATCTACTTGATTTATATTATCAAATTAGTTGAATTATTCTATTGTTTAACAAGCTACTTAAGATTTATTTTCTATTATAGAAAGGCGATTAAATATTTATGAATTTTTGATAGTTTATAATTCTTTTTAATCATCTATTAGTTTATTTATATTAAACAAATGAATTTCTAAAAGTTTATCATCTTTTAAATAATCATCAAAATTTTCATTAGAATCACATATCTTTTCATTAATTTTTACAGCTGTTTCTTTTTCAGGAAGTGAAAAATATTTGCACAAATACTATTTGATCATATCATACCTCTTAACAGTTATACCAATAATTTTCTCATCATATAAAATTCCAATTTGTATATTTTCTTATTCAGAAACAATCATTAAATTATTTCTATTAATTTTAATGCTTAATTAATACATAATTAAAGAGTAATTATTAATATTAATAGCAATACTCTATAAAATAAAATAAAATTTTATGATAAGCTTCACAAAATAATTGAAACTATGGAAGAATGAAAATTAATAAATATTTTTCTTTATAAAGAATACAAGTAAGCAATAGATATATAAAAATTAATTAATAACAAAATGATAATGAATAGAAGGGTCATTATGAATCATTAAATAGACAAGTAAAAAAAGATGGAATTATCAATATTACTGTAGATAAATTATATAATAAAATATTTAATATGTTTTAGTTATAATATCAAAATTATATATTACTAATTATAATTAATATAAAAAAAAAATAATGAATTAATAATCATTGTTAGTAGATAAGAGTTTAATTTATCGTTTGTTTGAAAAGGACAACATAATAGGAAAGGGCAAAGATATCATTTATGGAACAACTTCTAGCATTTACAAATTGAAAAAAAATAATAATGTAACTCCAGATTTTGATGAAGATTGGGGATGGCATGCTCTCTAAATTTATGAAAATCTTAATCAAGAAGTATTTGAAGCAAAGGTACTTCAATTATAGAAAGCTATGACTACATATTTAAATCCATATTCAACAAGAATTATTTTAATTGGAAAAGAATAAGTACATTAAATGTCATTTAATTTGCATGTTGTCTATGAAATTGGATAGATTAATGATGACCTTAAAAGCATAAGGGATTAGAAAGAAGGTCTAAATTATGAAGAAGCAGAAAATTTATTAATATTCTTATGTCACAATTACATGTTGGGTGCACAATTTACAAATGAATTTTTAGATATTAGTCCTTAAAACATTTATAAAACTAATTAATCCTATATAGTATCTAATTTTGGAATAACATATGCTGGAACCAAATTTCATAGAATATATTTACCTACTACAGATCCAATTATAAAAGAGAAAAAGCCAACTTAAATTAATATATTGTATTCTTATGCTTTTAGATCAGGATTGTTATTATTGACTTAAATGACATAAATAGATCCTAAAGATTTCTTTTTTGGAGATGGCTAATTTAAAGAACAACTTTTAGATAATTTATTATACCTAATATAAGATGGAGATGAGAAAGATAAAAGAAAAGATAAAAAATTTATTACACAAATCCCTTAGTTTTTTGATACTTTGAGTCATACTAGAGAGTAAGATTATAATGAATAAAAGAATTAAAATAATGGAAGACCATTCCAATATGTAAAATCTTAAAGATATCTTTAATATAAATACCCTAAAGAATTCTTAGATATTCTTAAGAAATTACTTAATGTTACTAATATATAAAGTAGATCAATTTTTTAACTTTTAATTTCTAAAGAAGAAAACCTACTCAAAGTTCCTTATCCTTATACTGAGAACTAGGTAGACAAATACAATTACAAGAATGGGACAATGGATGATTAATAATTAAATGGATGTGGAATCATATCAATAGATAAACGAGATGAAAAAATTAAATAGAAAAATATATAATTAATTTTAATTTGTGGGAGTTTTTAAAGTGGAGAAGTTTCTGAGGTATTTAATATAATTAGTATTCACAACATAAAATATGAATGCAAAATGTATTCCTTGTAATGTTCTTTAGAATTTCGTTATATCTATAATGAAATGTTATATTTGACAAATTCTATTGTATCTCCTATCAATCCAATAGGAAAACCCAAAAAAGAATCAATATATTACTTTTAAGGCCAAGTTGAAGATTAATAATTCAAAAAAGGAATCTCTTATCAAATTGATAATACTATATTTGAAGGTGAGTTTAAGAATAATCAACCATATGAAGGTAAGATGACATATCCTAATTCTGATATATTTGAAGGAAGTATGGATGGTTTTAATAAAAAGGTCGGTAGATTTAATATAAATGGGAGAATTTATGATGGATAATTTTAAAATGATTAATTTTATAAAGGACATATAGAATATGAAGATGGGGGAGTATTTTATGGAAATTTTAAAAATGGATAAAAAGGTATTCATAAATCTTGATTATTAGTCAAGGCTGGTATCTATCATTATCCAAACTCATCAATTTATTATTAAGGATTTTATGCTGAAGATGTAAGACATGGAAAAGGATAATTTATTGATAAATCAAAGGAAAACTGTATTTAAGAAGTTGTTTACAATTATGGAATGTGTGAAACTAAACTTATTGAACATTTTGAGAATGCCTTAAAAGAAATTAAAGAAAAATAACAATAATAAAAGAATCTGAAAAACAAAAAATAATAAGATAATAATAATGATAATGATAATGATGAAGAAATCTAAGAAGATATTGAAGAGAATCCAGGTGATGATAATGAAGATGGAGATGAGGGCTGATTATTATAAATATTTATAATATTAATGTTGCAATAATATAATTCATTAGTATTAGATGTAGATACCAGTTTCATAAATAAGAACTTTGTTCAAGTTAGTTAGTGTAATTAGAAGGGGCTATGATTTCTATTTAGGAATTGTTTACTTGATGCATCATTGAAAAGAATCAGGCAAATATATCTTATAAATCTATGAAAACTTAGGATATGATCTTTTTAGAACCAAGGCCATTTAATTACAGAAAGCAATTTTGATGATACCAAATAGTCTAATTTATAAGTACTTAACTTATTAAATGAACTTTATTAGAGTTTAAATCAATAAAAATAATTGATATCTTAATAAACATAACAGCTCTAAAATATTTTCTGTTAAAATTTCCACATCACCGGTTTATTATCCATTAATTGACATTACGTGTAACTCATCAATTTTTAGACTTAACTCCTTAGAATGTCTATGTTTATCAAAATGGTCCATCTTTGGATTCATAGAAAGAGAACTATATTTTCCTTATTAATATGTCATCCAGAGAATCAAATTAAAAAAGAGAATTCATTTTTCCAATAACCAATAGATTTTGAATAAAAATATGTAGTAAAAATAATACCTCATGGATATGGATATGGAAAATTTGATAATTAGTTATCATTATGGAATGTTTTCAAATGGAGAATAACTAATAATGGTACTATTGAGATTAAACAATTATAAGGAATTATTTATTTCCTTAAAGATATTCGAATACCATAATCATTTATGATTTATAAAGAATTTAAGGAATGTTATTTTACAAGAATCAAATTTTTTAGGGTGATTTGATAGAATCAAGAATGGATTAATAAAATAATCTAATGGCAGACTTTTAAGTAGCTAATGTAAAAGAGATAGATATTAGAGATAGAGAAATATAGTGATAATAAAAACAAATAAAAATTAGTAGAAAAACAATAATGATGAAGAATTAATAGAGAACATTTAGGTAGATGAAATGTTGAGATTTTATAATAAAATTTTTAATGATAAATAAGTAAACAGAATAAATATTCTCATAACTGTAAGGGGCATTTTCATGGGTTGAGAAGATGAGAAAGAAGAAGCCAATGACTTCGGATATGTAAATTAAAGAATTGTTATACTTTTTAAATATTGATGCTACGAATGAAGAGATTGAAGCATTGAATGAATTGGCAAATCCTGAAGGAGAATAAGATATTTAATATGAGAAATTGTATAAAGTGTTTATGAATGATTAATAACAAGAGTAAAGAGAGGTTTTGGAAGCATTTAGATTGTTATCAGGTTCAAATAGGATTGAAGTAGATAAATTAGAGAATTGGCTTTATATTTATGATAAAAAGTATCGAAATAATGTAATTTGAATTTAATAAAAAAAGACTAAACAATTTATAGCATAATTGAAGTAGTCCCCAAGTTATAAGTAAGGATATTTGGATTTTGAGAAATATGTGAAAGAAGGTTGATAGTTATAAATAAATTAAATGTAAAAAACAAATATAAAATCTGTTACAGCTAGAAATGAGTAAGCGAAAGCCAAACTTACAAAGTATGAATACAATTGAATCATTAGAGAATAATTTCTGACTCTAGCAAAAATGTGTTAGAGTTCTAGTACTCAATAATTGCTAAATAAGAAATTGCCATCTTAATAAAAACCTATGTTAGCAAATTAATTGAATATCACTCCAAGAAATAATACTCCCAAAAGTTGTAGAACTGCATAAGAAGTATAATCATTAATTTTAAGGATAGATGAAATATTTTCTATATCAAAAGAATCTAGTTAAAGACTCAATCAACAAACCTTAAAATCATTCTTAATTGCTTCCTAAGACTAAGAACAGCTTACATCGAAATTTCTCTTAATTGGAAAAATCATCAAATAGCCAATAAAATAATGGATAATCAACAGCACCAAATACAGTAAAAAAAAAATATAATTTGTTATCAACTGATTCAGCAAATAAATTAGACTATCGTTTTTCTTCTGTTTAATTTGCATAACAAATAGCTCAATAATTAAAGAAGAAATTTGAACCATAATAACCATAATAAAAAAAAGAAAATTTACATGTGAGCTTAGATGATTTTGTGACTTAAATAAATAGACCCTAATCTATTATTTCTCCATTCAAATAAACCAAATCATTATCCCCTTCTACCAGAGTCAATATTGTTCCTTCTAAAAGTATTTATCAATCTTTTAAAATTTAGAATCCCTTTATTATGTTTCATCCTTAGTTTAATCCTTTAGACATATTCTACCATAAAATTAAGAACAATAAATCTTTAGGGATCATGCTGTATAAACATTTAATTGTGTTTCATTTTGTGTAAAATTACAAGAACCAACAAAAATGATTTTGGAATAAAAACGAATGGAAATTCCAATAAAATCAAATTATAAATGTATAATCAATTCAATACATATTTAGTCAAGAAAACTGTTGTATTTGATTTAGATGAAACTCTTATACATTGTAATGAAAATCAAAATCTTAAGGCAGATGTCTATTTACCAATTACATTTCCTTCTGGTGATACAGCCTAAGCTGGTATTAATATTCGTCCTTATGCTAAATGGATCTTGTAAGAATTGAGTCAACTTTGTGAAGTAATAGTTTTCACTGCATCTCATTAATGCTATGCTAGTTAAGTGATTAAATATTTGGATCCCCATACAACATTTCTATCTGGTTAATTATTTAGAGATCGATGTGTATTGTCCTAAGATGGTGTACATATCAAAGACTTGAGAGTTTTGAATAGAGATTTAAAGGATATAGTCTTGATTGATAATGCAGCTTATAGTTTTGGTGTACATTTGGAAAATGGAATTCCTATAATTCCATATTATGATAATAAGGATGATAAAGAATTGAAAATGTTGTATGATTTCCTGGTTGACCAGGTTTTACCTGCACCAGACTGTAGAATAGTGTTATAATCAGTTTTTAGATTGAGGGAGTATTACAACTATGGGGAACCAAAATAAGCAATAGAGAAATTATATTGATTTTATATATTGTTTGATGAATTACATTTAATAGGGATTTCTGAATTTGGTGTATAATATTAGGAAATTAAAATTATTATTAATTTTTACCACAATTAATGACTCTTTCTATAACCATTTCTCAATAGATTAAAGCTTATAATTTAGCAGCATGTCCAACTCTACCTGAATTTTTGGAAACAGCTTACAAAACTTAGAAGTCTTTAAAAAAGAATGAGCAATTTCGCAAGCGTATTGAGGTTATTTAAGGGTTTGAATTCAATACTGCATCAACTCAAATTGAAGAGAGCAAAGATCAATAGTATATTGTTGCAGCAGGACTCTATGCTCCATCAATAAAGATATTTGAAACATCACAATTGTCAATGAAATGTAGTAGAGGTCTTGATTCAGAAATAGTAAAATTTTGCTTATTGGGAGATGATTATAAGAAAATTGCTATGGTATGTGAGGATCGTAATATTGAATTACATGCCTAATATGGAAAGCATTTCAAACTGAGAGTTCCTAAATAACCAACTGACATGGTATTATTTATAAGTACTAATTTAGATTTATAATCCTTACAATTGTAATTTGTTGGTGTCTTCTTAGAATGAAGATATAACTAGATTAAATCTAGAACTTGGATCATTTGTAGAATCATACAATATATAATAAGAGACAGGAGTAAATTGTTTAAGTATGCATGACTAATTGTAATTGGGATTTGTGGGAGGCAATAAATAACTTAGTATCATAGATTTTAGAAGTGATTAAATTGTTTAATAATTGGGAGTGAATGATGTTACTAGTATAGCTACTTAGAATCTTTAGGTTGCTTTGGGAACAAAGGAAGGTTAAATTAAATTATTCGATTTAAGAAAACATATACCAATTCATATATATTAACATTAATATCGATTACCTATAAAAAAGATAGTAATGAATGATGATATGATTGTATCTTGTGATGCTAAGATATTAAAATTTTGGTAGGGAAATCGTTTATTCACTAACATTGAACCATAAAGTGAAATAAATTCATTTACTTGGGTGAAGAATTCAGGAATGTTTTTATTAGCATTAGAATAACCAAGAATGGGTATATATTTTATTCCATAATTGAATGCTGCTCCAAAATGGTGTCCATTTTTAGATAATTTGACTGAAGAAATGGAGGAAGAAGAATAATAAACAGTTTATGATGAATATAAGTTTTTATCTTATGAAGAATTGGAAAGATTGGATGCATTACATTTATTAGAAACTGCAATGTTGAAACCATATTCACATGGATATCTTATTCATTTGAAATTGTATTTGAAACTAAGATAATAAAAAGGTTTAGATTTTGAAGATTACAAATAAAAAAGAATATAATAAAATTATGAAAAATAATTGGAAGCTGAAAGAGTTAGTAAAGGTTATGTAATACCTGAAGAACCAGAAATTGAATAACCTGTAAAATAGATTGATCCAAGATTTTAAAAATTACTTAAAGATAATGATTTTACAGTAGATAAGAAATCTGAAGCATGGAAAAGAGCACATCCAAGTGAAGTAAAAGTTAGGAAATAAATAAATAAAAACAAGAGATGATAAATTTTTAATCTATTTCAGTTTGTTTATATTTTTAAATATAAATATTATAAATATCAATTAATTAAAAAAACTAATTAAATTATGTCATGATAATTGAATAAATCTCTAGAAATATAACTATACTACTAGATTCTGTTTTATTTGCAATCATGTATCTTAATTTATTCCAGTTATTTAAAGTAGATTTACATCATTTAAATTCAAATCAATTAGCTTAGATGTATCAAATATATTTGTTAGAAAGAAAATGTTATATAGGAAGATTAAGATATTAAGTCTGTTTTTCAATTGTGTTCTGATGATATAAGACATAATAATGTAATTATTTATAATTTTTGTCTTTATTTAATCAAAATTCCAATCAGAAATTCCTCAATTCTTAATATGTGAATTAGTTAATAGGAATGGAACATCTTAATATGATCAAATAGATTCTAGAATATCTTATGAATCTCATCTGTAATTAAACAAAAACATAAGTTGAATATTAAAACAATTATGAATGAGAAATTTCATTATAATTATTGGTTATCAAATTGAGTACATAATTATAATGATTAAATGTGTTAAATTGATAAATTGAAATGTTATGTTATTGAGAGAATAGCTGATCTTGAGCATTGTCTTTTCATTTGTTGTAATGATTATATTTAATTACTTTCTTTGTATGGTATTTTCCATTAGGTTCTTTTGTCATAAAAAATTATTTTAAATTAAAATAAATCCTTATTTAAATATGGCAGAAGAATAAGTTGTCACTGTGAAATTTGCCAATTAACCAAAACTTTTTGGAAAATGGGATTATGATGAAGTTTAAGTAACAGACTAATGTTTCAAAGACTATATTGCAGTTTAAACTTCTAAATCAAGAGTCTTTGTTCCACATACAGCTGGAAGGTATTAGATCTAAAATATATATTTAGATATTAACGCAAGAAGTTTAGAAAGGCTTAATGTCCAATTGTTGAGAGATTAGCTGGTGCTCTTATGTTCCATGGTCGTAATACTGGAAAAAAGGTTAAGGCTGTAGCAATTATCAGACATGCTTTTGAAATTGTTCACTTACTTACAGGCAAGAATCCTCTTTCAGTTTTATCTTTGGCTGTCCAAAGAGGAGGAGCAAGAGAAGATTTTACCAAAGTTGGAACAGGTGGTGTTGCTAAATAATAAGCTGTTGATGTTGCTCCTATTAGAAGAGTCAATGAAGTATTAAGACATAATATTTAAGGCTGTTCATAATTTGGCTAAGGGAGTTAGAGAATCAGTGTTTAAAAAGATGAAGACAATTGCAGAAGCACTTGCTGATGAACTTATTGCTGCTGCCAATGAAGATGGATAAAAATCATACACAATTAAAAAGAGAGATGAACTTGAAAAAGTAGCAAAAACAAATCGTTGATTTATTTTTAGTATAATATATATCTATATTTAATATGCAATTCAAAAAATATAATTATTTAGGATTTCTAATATTAACCATGCATTCAATCAAGCATTTTCAATTCCATTTCTGTACTATTTTGTGATATCACATATTTTTTGTTGTTAAAATATTTAGAATCTCTGTAGTATAACAGATAATTCATAGAGGCTCCCAAGAAGGATATTAAGAGTAGAATTCCTAACATATTGGAATAAGAAGCTTATGTTTCATCTTAAACTACTTTTCCAATAAAAATGGATGCAAAAGAAATTCCAAAGCTTATACTAGAATACACAAAGCCAAAGGCAGTTCCTGATAATTAAGAGGACACAACCATTTGAATGCATGGCCATAAAGTTACAACATAAGAAGCAAAAAATATTCCATTCAATAATTAGCTAATGGCTGGAATAACAAAACAAGTAGTCTCACAACTTGGCATGAGATACATTAATGAAAAAACACTCATTTAAATGAGACTTGTTATTTATAATCCTTGCATTCTATATCCATGTTTGTCAACCAAATGACCTAAATATGGAGCTATAAAAATAGCCATGTAACAAGGAAGTCCATAAAGAGTAGCTGCAGTATAAGATGATAAATGATACCTAAACATAAATGAATTAAAATAATACATTGTCTTAAACATTTCTGCATTATTATAGGAATATATGTAATAGCTTGTATAACAAAAAATAGAACTTAAAGCAATAATGTAGAAGTCAAGATTGAATTGTTTTAATAAAGAGAATGAAAAGTGAGGAAGGGTTTCTTGTTTGGATTCGACTTAATAAATTTTATCAATTGTAGTAACTGTATTCAAACCTATAAAAGAAACCAAACAACACAATAGACATGATAGCATTGCAGTATCCAAACTATAATTATTGATTAAATAGGGTAACATAATTGTTGATGCAATAGTACCTCCACAAATGAATGCTGTATCAACGCTAAAAATAAGGTTACTGTTACCTATAAGCAAATGACGCCTCTTTAAACCATTTAGATAAAATTTTATAAACTCCTACATAGCAACTTTCTAAAAATAATCCCATAAAGAATCTTCCAATAAGCATCAGTGTGAAGCAATTCAAAATAATTGACAAGTAGCAAAGAACTAATATATTATTATTCTTAACATGTGCCAAAAATAATGAATAACATGAATCCAAATAGACCTTTTCTTGTTCCATATTTATCCAATAACATTCCTCCAACAAAAGGCATAACAATATTTGGAAAGGATCTAAATGAAAATAGTAGGTTTATTTAGAATTGATTCACTATGAAATGATCCTTGATTTCAGTAGCCAATAGTGATGGGTAATCCACAAAGACTCGAAATGAGAATTAAGACAAGCTTGTTAGAAAGAGGATGACCCATTTGGTTTATGGTTTCATATAATATTTAATTGACGTATTACTATAAATTTTAACATAGGTCTATTGTAGAATTATGTTTGCTATACATGTGTAGATATTATTTTCACAAATATAAACCAATAAACAATTGATTTAGTTCTGAATTTTGCAACGCTTACTTACATTTGAGGATCAGATAAATTTAAAAGGAAAGGAAACTTAACTGATTCAACTTATATTTGTAGATGGAATTCAATATCACACTTCAAATTCAGTATTTTCATCTTAAGTGTATATGAATAGAAAGTAAAATAAATTTAAAATTCTGAAATTGCATATTTTATAATTTATATTAAATTCAGAAATTTTAATCTTCACTCCTTTATAATTCTTTCAATGCAAAAAGAGAGGCTAGAAATATATTGAATTCTAAATTTTAATTCTTCCATTGAGTATGTGACACTATGTTTAGGATGGCCTATTGAAACCCCCTCCCCCCAATATTAAATAATTCGAAAATAAAATAATAATGATTATAATAAATGTTAAAAAGTTAATCAACAGAACTATTTGTCAGTCCTGAAGAATTACAAAGAATCACATTCTTTGCCACTCAGAATCAAAGAAACAGTCATAAACCAAACATTCCAAGTGCTAAATAAGAGGAATATACTTTTAAACCTTCGGTAAGAAATAATAAGATAATTAATTTTAGATCAATAAGAAATCTGTTAACATTTAAAGAACAGTTGATGATCTCTTAAGATGGAATGAAAGAAAATCATAAAGATTATAACAATGCTATGAGGATGCTGTAAATGTGAATTTCCAATTAGATAGACATAAGAATTATAATAAAATGCCAACCGCTTAACTCATGAAGTTGATACCAATTAACCAAGTGTTTTTGAGAGATTGTATGTAGTAAGAAAGAGCAATGAAACTATTTAATGTAAATGTTCTTTTACAATTTCATTTATAATTAGAAACCACAAAGCGTAATACATCTGATTCACATCCCTACTTTACTAAGAATATGTCAAATACATTATACTCTGAATACAAAAAGTAAATTAGTGGTACTCCAGAATAATAAGAGAGTGAATATCAATAAGTTTAAGAATAAGAAGAACCAACTCCTTAAAAAGTATGTCTACCTAATAGATTTTATTTTGATCAATCAGAATAGTAACCAAATACTGAACCTGAAGTATGATAATTCATATTATTATATAGCCAAAAGTCACAATACCATAACATATGTTTGTTGATTTTAGATAACAAATAAAATAAATTAATGAGGAACCAGAACCAGTTCCTTCCAAGAAACCTTTACAAAAGAAAGAGATAGATTTGATGGTAGAGAGGTAAAGTATATTAAATATTCATAACTAGAATGAATAATTGGCTTCAAAAAAGAAATTATAAAATTTAAGAATAATAGGATAGACAAATGCAAAATGAATCCAACGAATGTACTTTCTATCCAAAACTTAGCAGCATTAAACAACCTAAGGTATAACAATCAATTCAAAATTCACAAAGAGTTTCATAACAATCCTCATATTCCAATTTATTTAGAAGCAAAAACAATTGATATTTTATTTATTTTCATTATATATATATAGTATTATAAATAATCTGTTCATCACAAATCTTCCATCTCTGATTCTGTTATAACACTATTTAATATATTATTAATACTTTTTTAAATTCTCTTTAACTTAATTCACTAATAAATCATAATCTTATAATGCCACTCCCCAAACTTTACAAAAAGACTTCACTACTTCCTCAACATTATCATTCTTTCTCAATGCCAATCTGCCAACTTTACTAGGTCCTATTTTTATATCTATATAAAGTATAGGAATCTCTTTCTAAACTTTACTTCTCTATAACATATCTGGTGGAATAAAAGCCATTCTTTTTACTTTTTCATATTTCTCTCCACTTGGTTTATGATTTAATTAAATTTCTCTTAAATATCTTTGATCATTCGCTCTTCTCAATCTCTCAACTGCTTAACCATATCCATTTACACCAACTTATTCCATATCAGGCATACAACCATTTATTTAAGGTTAAAATGAACATTTACTAAATTCCTAATCTAATTTCTCTATTTCATTTTATTTAATTTATTCTTCAACTTCCTATCTTGTCTTCACTTTATATAATCTATCTACTACATTAGGTAATTCCTTTTTTGATATTATTTATGGTTTAAAAGTGCATTCTTTCATTTCTTAAGTTTCTTATTCTAATTTTAGCTAATTTATTTTTTAATTTGATTATTATTTCTTCTTATAGAGTTAGCTCACTTTACTATCTGAAGATCTTTATGAATGTTAAGATTCTTAATTTTCTCTCTTGTAAGATTATCTTAACAATGCTTCACTTATTGGATTGATACTTGGTTTAAATGTATGTGTTTTCTCATATGAATCTATTAAATTTTATGCTAAATTTGCTTTTAAATATCCTGTTTTAGCTCCTGATAGTCTTGTTTTTTGATAATGTTAAAATTCTTAGCAGAATCTCAAAATAGATTCCTTATCAACTTCTTTCTCTAAAATCTTTTCTAAATAATCTATCATAAGAGATGCAGACTTTGTTGCTTCCAAATTATTTGGGTCTTAGATAATCCTAAAAAAACAGAATGCTGCTTGAATATCAGCACTTTCTTTTCCCTATGATATAATTGCAAATGCCTTCTCATGTAAATCAATTTCTAATTACCTAAAAGTAACAACTAATTTAAAAACCTTTATGATTGACTGTTGAGTCCCTAAACTTCCATTTCATAATTTTAATCATATGATATAGTTTAAAATATATCTAATAAAGTAAATATTCTTCCCATTTATTACATATTTACAGAACCTTCATTTTTTTCATCTATTTCTTACATTATCTAAATTAACAATTTTCAAATACTTCATTTAATTTTTACTCCAAACGAGTTGCTAATAGCTTTGTACTTGATTAACTTATTAATTTTTATTAACAAAGTACTTGCTTACTATTTTTGTTTTATTTATTGTTTTTTGAACATATTTATTCTATAAGTTCTTGTTCTCTTACCGATAAATTTATCATTAATGTTATTTATTTATTTTAAATTCTTTAGTAAAAATAATCAAAATTAAGTAATGACGCCCTTTAAATAGAAATATCCATTAATCATAAAAAATGTTTGATTCAAAATACAAATCAATTACAAAATCATAACATATTGTTATTTCTTAAAATTCTTTTATTTTTTATAATAGCAATTTGTTATCCTTTAAAACACTTATTTATAAAATAAAACAAAATTGTAATTGAATATAAGATGTTAAGTTGCACTACATCATAAAATAATATAAAGAAGATTGAAATTAAATTATTTAATAAACAGAATGGCATTTACATTTTTCTAAGAATAAAAACTCAAATGTCTAATATTGATAATAATAAATTCTAAATAATAAATGAAAAATCTTATTGTTTAAAATTAACAGTATCGTGATAGTTATGATAAGAATCTTAAAAAATTATATAATAAATATTTAAACATTTTTTTCATTAATATTCCCTTTCTTATAGGCTCTTATTAGAATGATACTAATATATATATATAAAGGATGAATACCATTTCACTAATTGATTTTTATGATCCCATTGATTTTGTTTATTTTTACATCATTTTACCTGTTTTATCATATTGATCTATAAATTCTTAGTTCTCATTCTCATCTTCAGTTTCTGGTTCAATTAACTATCATATTAATAAATATTATTTATTTACTTCAGAAATATGAATTCTTCTGTCTATAAATTCTTCATCTGGCAAGACTTCTTTAAATATTCTCTTTCTATCTTCTAAATCCATTCCATAAAGATTTTCTGCCTTAACGATATCCTCTGGAGGAACTTATACTCCATCTAGATTTCTTAAACCTGGTAATTTATATAAGACTTGCCATCTATAATATCTTCTATTTTAGATTGGATTGTAACAAAGATCAAGAACACTTAGAAATACTAGATTTTCAAGATATGATAATTCTTTTATCCTTGATATTTTATTGTTTGCCATTCTCAATTCTCTAACTGAGATTAGATCTACAATTCCATTTAAACTCTTAATTTAATTTTAAGAGAGTTCAAGTTTCCTCAATTTTGGTAATTAAGTCAAACCATCTAAGATAGTAATTTCATTTCCAAATAAATCCAATTCAGTCAAATTCATTCCATCTAAATTTTCAATATGATCAATATGGTTGTTAGCCAATTTCAAAACTTATAAATATTTATTTTTTTGAACTCCTTCAATTTGCCTTATCTTATTGTAAGACAGATTCAAATAACGAAGAAAACGATGGCAACTAAGGTCTGGAATAATTTCAATTTCATTATTACTGCAATCTACATCCATAATTTACAATGGAATATGCCTAATTTATAACAATCTAATACTTTAAGTCTAATAATTTTGTCAATCTGTTATTACTAGCCTTTAATGTAATTATATATTTCAATCCATTCAATGGTTTGAGTGACTTAATAGAGTTATTGCTAACATCAATATGTTAAAGATGTTTGAATTTCTCAATCCCCTAATCATAATAAATATGTATGTAATACATGTAAACTGGTTAAGTCTAAATTATTTGCCATGAAACTCAAATATGCATAATGTTATCCTTCAGCAGTTTTACCATATGTAGTTAGTGCCTTCTTTAACACATCTTCTGAAATTGGTTGTTTAGCTTCTTTTTGTTTACCAGCCTATTCTTAGGCAAATGAAAAGGAAGAAAGGGAGACCTAATAAAGTTTCTCCTTATAAAAGGTGTCCTTAATTAAATGTGTCATTTTTATAATACTTTATTGAAAATATAAGAAAAAAACAAAATAATCAATGATTTAATATTTAATACATCTATTCAAAGTAGATTCCAATTCTGTAATTCAAATATAATTATAGAAATCAAAACGTGGATTTGAATATAAAAAATTGAAATCATTTATTGTCTGAGATTTCTCTTGTATCTATAAGAATGAGATCATCCTCACTAATATATTATAATTATTTATTAAATACAAAGATTCTTAAATTTAAACGTAATTTGATTACAATAATTTACAGATATATTACAATGATTAAACTGAAAATGAATCACATCCATAATGTCTTTTTAAACGTTATAGTTAAATGAATTTGAAGATTATTATTGAATAAATTATAAATTGAGTTATTTGTTATTGATTAGTCTTCATTTACAATTTTATGTTATATTAAAGGTTATTAAAATAGATTGAATTATAATAGATAATATTATATGGGACTATTAAGAATTAGTTTTTTATATTTATGCTAAAGGATTCTCTAAGGGAGTATACTATTGTAAGGGTATTTACTTATGATTTATTTGTAAATTTCCAAAGTTAATTTTTTGCATTATCAACACTTTTTATTCTCTCTCTTTTTTGTAGATTTAGATATATTTAAGTCATTTATATTCATCATTAAATTATGATTTATATAATGATATTTTTTTTGTATATTTGGATTTACTCAATTATGTGGAAATATAAACTATTTCTTTAATTTCAGTTTTAATTTGGATAAGTTAAAAAACCTATTTTTCTTTATTACTATCTTGGTATGTCACTAAATTTTGATTAATTTTCTTGTTTAAAAATAATAGTTCAATTAATTATAATTTCTTTATGAAGGGTGTAAGATATTATTATAATATATCATTTGTTTTAACAAAGTTAATCTGATTTATGTTTTGATTAATTATGTCTAAGACACTTAGGAAATAAGTTAATTATAAGGATTTTTTAAAATTCAAGGTTCTCCTTCAATCTTTTCAAGAGATATATAAATAAAATTTTTAAATTAATATATAACTTTATATCTTTATTATTATTTATTTATATAACTCAATCTTATTTTTAATTTTATTAACTCTTTGATTTAAACAATCTATATCCTGCATACAAGATAGCTGAACCTGCCAAAGCTGCAAATAAACCTTCTTTTGACTTAATTCCATTTTTTAAAATAAATTAAGAAGCACCAGCAGCTGCAGCAACAGACAAACCCAATGCACTAATTTCTTGAGGCATTTATGTCATTATTTATGAAGTGGGTGGATTAGTATTATGATGAGATCTATTTAATTGTTATTATTCGCCATCATTTTATGGTAATAAAGGTTGTTAATCTTCAATTTATTAAGTTTAATTTTAAGCAGATTCAAGAACTTATTATTATTATTATTATTATTATTATTATTATTATTATTATTATTATTATTATTATTAGATTTATACATTATTACTCTAATCTATAGGATATTCTTCAACTTTAACAATAGTGTCATTTTGACTTGCTCCTTCAAGATTAGTATTTTATTCAATTTATAGTTCTTGTTTTTGTTCAATAACCTCACTTTTCTCTATATTAATTATTTCATTAGTTGGTTGATTCTCAATATGAGTTTGATCTTATTAATAAACCTGGACTTTCACATCTTCTTGAACTAATTATGTTTATTATTGCTAGGATTCCACTTTTTAAATTTATTAAGGTTTTGTATTAGTTTCAATCTTATTAACTTAATTTTCTGTTTAAGGAGCTGTCACAGTTAATTAAACCTATTCTTATTACTCAATAATTGCTTATGGCTTATTTTCAATAGAGTGTGTTTATTAAGTTTAAACTGTTTTAACATCTGGACTAGGTTATACTTGTTGGATGAATTGATTAACCTCTAAATTAACAACAGGATGTTCAAGAAGAGTTGTAGTTTATGAATTAATTGGAATTTCAATTAAAGGAGATTTCTCTATTTGTGTTTCTAAGTTTTATGATATCAAATTGATTTCTTCGTTTTCAATTTCTTATTGAGGTTTCAATTAAACAGCTGGCATTTCTTATATGTAAACATCTTCATTAACCATCTCTGTTTACACTTTTGTACTTTCTTCTGATACAATTTTAATTTAATTATTTTAAGTTTCAACTTAGTTTTGATTTTCTGTTCTTTGTATAATTACTGCTTATTCAGTTTATGGTTATTTCTCTACTTCAATTTATTAATGTTATTCAATATGTATTTTTGGTTATATTTCAATATTAGTTTATTAATCTTAATTTTCCATTTTTTATTCTTAGACTCTCTCTAAAATGACTTCATCATTTTATTTCTTCAAATAAGTTTATGGAGCACCTTCAATCATAACTGAATCATTCTATTTTTCCACAATAATAGGAGTTTAAGCGTTAATAACAACTTCATTTTATTAAATGTTAACGACATCAACTTCCTTCACAGGTTCCTAGATTGGAGTCTCTTAAGGTAATTCAACATCTTTTTATTATTTTACACTTTAGAATATAGGTTTTGAAGAGGGTTTCGATATATCATCATTAACAGAATCATGTGCAGGTTGACTTTGGAATTTGGGTTCTTCAAATTATTAGGATGGTTCATTTTTATTTTATCCATGAATTGAATTTTCTTATTAAACTTATTGATTTGTAACACTGTCTACTTATAAATTAGAAGTTCCAGTATTAATAAGTTCTACTTTTTCCTCTTATGATGATTACTAATTCTCTTCTATTGTCTATTGAACTAAAGTTGTAGATTTGTTATCTTAAGACTCTTCTTAATTTATCTATTCTTATTCTTAAGGTTATTAAACTTCTTCTTATGTATGGATTGTCTATTATTATGTTTAGGTTATGCAATTCTATTATTATTATTGTTAAATATTGTTAAACTAGTTGTGCTCATTATTATCTTGTTGTATTGTTGCTTAATTAGAATTATCAATTTATTCTTAGTTATCCTTTTATTCTTATTCAACATTATTTTCAACTTATTCTTGTGTTTATTCATTATTTGAAACTTGCACTATTTATTATTGAACCTAATCATTACTTTAATCTGAAATATAATAAAATTACTACTTTTTTCTTCTTTAATTTCTTAACCCTATATATTTTTATCAATATCTTTAGCTGATTCTATTTGCTCTTCTTATTCATTTTGATCTAGATTTTTTTCTGATTTATTTTTTGTATTTTATCTCTTATTTTTTCCAGGCATAAAAATTAAATTTATTTCTAATCACTTAATTCCCATTGATAAAATTTATAGTAAAATATGTAATAGAAAATAAGTAGGTTAATTAAAACATAATTAATTAATATGAATGTATCCTAAATAATATTAACTTCATAATTTTGACCTATTATATTCATTGATTATCTTTTTATCCGATTTATTCATAAACCCATCTCAAAATTCATAAAATTCTCTTGAAAATCATCATTATTCATATATTTTAGTAAACCATTAGCCCATTGAAATTAAATTTCCAAATTCATACAATCACACATATCTAAATGCTTAATTGCTTCAATCATTCTAGAGTTAGTAGCTAAAGATAAAATTTTAATTTCTTATAAATCTTTTCATTGATTACTACAAGAAAATCCAATTATGACACATTTATATGTTGCATGATTAACTTAGCAAAAATAATAAGGAACTAATAATGTTTAAGTTCTTAAATAACAATAAATTACTATAAATAAAATTAATTCTACTATCTTAAAATTATTATATATAATATATATTAATTGTAATAATTTATGATTAAATCATAATAATTGAAGAATTGAATTCAAGAGGTATACAAATTATTATCAAGATCCATGTATAATTTATTTATTATATATAACAAAAGATTTAAGCAAAATATATATTTGAAATATGTATTCATTTTTGATCAATTTAATTTTTTGAAAGAATCTAATTTAGTTTAACTCTTAATCTAATCAATTCTTCCTAAGACTCCAAGAGTAACATAATCTTATTTGTTTGACATCCAACCAGCAGTCATAATAGTCATTTTGTTGATATGCTTTAAGACATTTTTAGCCTTTTAATTATTAATTGTCTTTGTAGTTTAAGATTCACACCCAACTTCATCCATATGTTGTTCTGTTATATTATTCATTGTAGTTTAAATAGAAGCCAAAGGGATGTCAGTTGGACTAGTTTGAATACTACATATTTGAGATTGTAATTCATCAATTATCATAATCTATTTTGATAATTTATCTTAATAATCCTAATTGATTATATCTATTTCTTTATTTTTACTTTCTTCCACATCTACTAATTATTATTTTAATTAAGTAATTTGAATTATTAATTATTCCTGTTCTTCCTTCAATTTTCTATTTTATTCAGTTGTATCATCAAGAATTTTCTTTAATTCTAAGATTTCATCACTATATTTCAACATGAGTGATGTTAATTAGTCTTAGATATTTACATCATTCTCTAATTATCTATTCAATTCATCAACCTTCCAATGATCACTATCTTTAGATGAATTTAAATCCTATTAACCAACTTCAATATCACTCTCTTTATTAAAAATCTTATAGAAATCACTTAATTATTATTACATATCAGTAATAATACGTGTTTTAGTTTCTAACATTTCATCTCTTAATTGTAATTCTAAATATATAAGATTTATACCTTATTCTAAGAAAGTTATTTGATCATCACTATTAATTTAATTATTTTTATTTTTTTGATTAGCAGATGTTTGACATCTACTTCTATTTCTAATATTCTTTGGAATTTCATCATCTAAAATTAGACTTACTTGATTATGAGATTCATCATATTAACATCCAAAATCAATTTAATTATGTATTTTATTTTCTTGATTAATTTAACAAATTTAATTAATTTATTAATTATCAACTTATTACTTGATTTCAGTATTAAATTAACATGAAAAGTCTTGTTTAATAGACTATTCTTTTTATAGTAGGAGACTCAATTAAATCTACTAGCATATTGTATTCTATTGAGTGTGTTTACTGCTCAATAATTTAATTTCATCAATAACAGAGTTACTAGATTCATTATGATCTTAAACAGACTCATTTAAACCTTAAATAATCATTTATTTTTTCTATGGTTCAGTTTGACAATACTAATTCATAAATGTACAATGTAGTTTTGATTGCTATAATTATGACATATATTGAGATAGTCCCACTCCTGTTAATTATTGTTCTTTGTCATCATTCTCTGTGTTCTCTCTTGGAAAACTCATCTTACTTGAATAAGCTGTTTGACTATCATTTAATTTTTGTTGCACTTTGATATTATTTGTATTTTAAATAGACTAAGCAATGGAAATATTATTTTCATCTTGCAATTATTTTCTTTCTAAAATGTTATTCTTTAATACATTAATACTTTTCCAAATACCGCTCCAACTTGTTTTTGCTTGTACTGGATTCTAGATTGCTTTTAATAACAGAACAAGGTTTCTATAGTATTTTAGAATGCTTTTAATTCTCCTATTGATGATTATTTTTTATGAAGACATCTTGGAGAGTTCCCAAAACATCTTATTTAGAAACATGATATTGCATATTGAAATCACAAATTATAAAATTAATATCATAAATATATTCTTTAATACATTGAACTTGTATTGAGATTATTAAACAAGATTCAAGAATATATAAAATTAATTCATTCTTTATCAAATTTCAGTATAACTTTAGATTTAAGATTTATTATGTAATTTATCTAATTCATAATTCTGATTATATGTCCCTTATCCATCTTTTATATGTATTTGAACTTAAATTCTATCCTCCTGATTTCTTATAATTTTTGATTCATAATCCCAATATTTCCTATTCCATTTTAGATTAATCCAAATTATTCTCATTTCTATTATTACTTTATTTACAGACAGAATACATAAACCTCTTTCAAAATGTTAGATTTTCCTAAGCTTGTTTGTCTAATGGTAAATTTATATTTATAAACGACTTTCAAAAAAGACCATAGAATTTACAAGAAATATATAGTTCTAAGAAAGGAACAAATATATTTCTATCATTTATAATAATGTTCTTTTAACTCTTATAATTGCATTCGTCTTATCATATCTATTTGTTTCTTGATGAAAGCCTGTTTCTAAGTATTTTTAGAATTATAAGGTGACTGGAGGAGTTGGAGAAGTTTATTTGATTATAGAGGTCTTGTCTTGGAAGGACTCCCTGAAAAATTTTGATTTGTAGCTCTCTTTTGTACTTGAATTCGACCAACTCTAGGACTACCTGGTCGAGTAGATAAAGGAGTCATATACATAAAACCCTTTTAAACTTCTGGCAATGTGTCTCTACTGGGCTTGCTTGTCTCCTAGAATGTAGAGATTCCAATTATACTTTGGTCGAACCGGACATAAGTAAGGAAACTTTCTTCTTTTTATTCTCACCATAAAATTAAAGACTCAATTTCTTATAAAATTGATCGATATCATTATCAATATTGTTATCTGGATCAAAGCTATGAAGGGAAAAATGTTCATCGTCTGACATTTTATGTAATATAAATTATTAATCATTACTTTAGTTTATTAACCTAGTACAGTTGTGCATTGTCTAACTGATTTAAAACATTAGTACTTTCTTAAGGAAACTGTTCTAATGAATGTAACATAATGCTTTTTATCTCGTTCAGTAATTATTTTTATCCTTTTTGAGATCTCAAAACCTAAATCCAAAACTTCATGTATTCTTCGTTGTCTTATAAATTCATATACAATCTCTCGATAGTTCCAAGTAAAGAGGAATATATACTTTTGCAATCTATAATTATATCTCTATATTCATTTGCATATCTTCTCCAGATTTCTATTTTGTTATCTTAAATAAATTCAAATAGTCTATCATCTTGGAGTTCAGCATTTAATTCATGAATAATTTTATAAATTTCATTTAAATTTCTAAACATTCCTCTATGATATTCTAGAAAATCAATATTTAAAAATATATGAGCATCATTTAGTTTTTCAACTTCTAAAGTGTTTTTGTTTTATTCTTCTTCTATTTAAGTGATGGAAACTTTCAAATAATTAGGATCAATCTTTTTTGTATCAAAATGCTTTAGAATAAAGGAGTTGGTTTCATATAATTACCATTTTTCTAATTTTTCTTTTTAAAGTTAATAACCATATTTTTATAAATCATATTTTGATGAATATATTTTAAGTTTCAATCCTTAGATAGATTAATCTCTCTTTTAACCAATCAATAAATAATTTGTAAATAGTTTTTAACTTAATGCTGTAATGGAAATTACACAAGATGTCCATTATTTGATATCTGAAAAACTTAACTGTAGGTCCAAGATTTGATTCATGAGGGTAATAAGTGACATAAATATTTTGTTAAAAATAGGAGATGAGTACTTATAGAAGAGTAATGTATCCATAAGTGTTAGAATGGCATATTATTTTACGTCAGAGTTCTCAAGAGCTTAAAATTAATGAAACAGAACAATGCTTTATTCTTGTATATGATCTATATTCTAATTGACTAATTTTAATTGCTCAGACAATCTCAAAGGTATAAAAACGGTGTATGATGAATTATTTTGCATTATTGATTAAATGAATTTTAATAATGTATTATTTAAATTTATAATTAAGTTTAAAAAAATTAATTAAAAATCATAATTTGTCTAAATATTCGTTTAGATCTGGTAGCTAAACCCTAATTCCCTTTCTCTTTCTTATACTCAATATCAACTCATTAACCTTAGAACCAACTTCCAAAGGATCACTATTGAGTACAGCCCAATGATCAAACACACATTAAGGGAAAGCTTAACCTTAAGTAAGACCTCTAAGATGTGCTGTGAATCCAAAAGATTCAGCAACAGGCAAATATGCTCTAATCTAAAAATATTTAATTGATATAATTACTAATGATAATGGTGTTCCTGCAACTTGTTCTTCTTCAATAATAACTCCTCTTCTTGTATTCAAACAATTATAAACACCTCCACTTGAATCAACAGGAACATTAATTTCAGCTAGAAAGACAGGTTCTTATAGTCTAGGTTATGCTGTCAATTCACAAGCATAATACAATCTTCTGGCTGTGGGTATAATTTATCCACCTCCTCTATGAATGGCATCAGCATGTAATACACAATCTAAGACATTCACTCTAACTCCCCTTTGATTCTCTTCACAAAGAGGACCTTCTTTTGTTGACCATTACCAAGCAGATTCCATTGATTCTCTTATTTCATTCATATATTAAACACCTGATGTTTTTTCCATCACAATATTTGGACCTGCATTGTCAGGACCAAAAGTCCATATTTTAAGAGCCTCATCTTTATCCCAATCAAATTATTCTGATAATATTTTAGCTCTTCCTTTAATATCATCTTTTGCTTTTACTTCACCTTTTTCGATTGCATTTTAAAGACCTTCATGAAGTGGTTCAGCTTAAGCATAAATTCTATTATGACCATTAGGTGATTTAGCCATGCATACAATTTTAGATGTTGCTGAAACAGTCTCCTTATAAGATACAACTGGATCTGATCTAATTATTTCAATATTAGCAAAATCTTTCTCTAAATCATTCAAACATATTTCTACATGCAATTCTCCACATCCTGCTACTATATGTTATCCTGATTCCTCTGTTGTACAAAGTACTAAAGGATCTGATTTGGCTAATCTCTTTAATCCCTCAACTAATTTTGGTAGTTCTCCTGGATTCTTAGGTTTGACTGCTACTCTAACCACAGGTGAAACTGAATATTTCATAGATCTGATCAAATGACATTCTGGATGATCTGAGATGGTACCTGTCTTTAATATAACATCATCCACACCAACTAAACCTACAGTATTACCACAAGGAACATCAGGCATGTATTCTACTTTACTTGCCATCATCAATACTGTTCTTTAAACAGTCTTTTCAAATAAGTCTTCTTTCTTTCCAGGCTTATAATTTGGACCCATAATTCTAACCTTTTGTCCTGTTCCTATAGTACCTGAAAACACTCGACCAAAAGCAAAGAATCTACTTCTATCTGAGGTTGGTACCATCTTTGATACATACATAATCAAAGGTCCCTTAGGATTACATTCTCTCATTGATTAGGCTATAGCATCATCTTAAGGACCTTCATACAAATAAGCTGTTCTATATTTCTATGCTTCTCTAGGTGAAGGTAAATGAGTAATAATCATCTCAATCAAAGTGTCAGCAGCATTAATCCACTTAGACATAACAGTTTTTAAAAGATGTTTACCAACTAATTTCTATTCCTCTTATGTAAGTTTCAACCCTAAGACATTGAACATCTTATTAGCCATTTCTAAATTACCTTCCATGACTGCATTGGCCAATTTACATATAGGATCCATAATGAAAGCAACAAAAGCTCTCTTTAATTATTTTCCTGAAGATCCTTCACTCTCTTTTCTCCAACATTTAGTCTCATCATCAAAATAATTATCACCCCATAATCTTTCTTATAGTTTCTTTGGTTCAACCTTGAATTTAGCAGCATAGATCATGGCGAATTTTGTACATGAAAATGCCCAGCATTCCTTACCTGATCCAAAGGATACTGATCCAAGTTCTGGTTGTACTTATAGTTCTCCCATGTCTTCTTATTGATAGGTTGAAATTATCACATTCACATTATCAATAACTTTAACAAAGTTTTGATACATGGTTTCACCATCATGTTTTAATTCCAGTATTGCTCTATCAATCTTATTGATCATCACAACTGGTTTTATTTTCTCTTACATAGCTTGTCTCAATACTGTTTCTGTCTATACACAAACTCCTTCAACACAATCTACAACAACTAAGGCTCCATCGGTAACTCTAAGAGCAGCTGTAACTTCTGAACTAAAGTCTACATGTCCTGGAGAATCAATTAAATTTATCAAAAACTATTCCTTTACGTTGTTGTAGTTAATATCATATTCATAATATAAAGACACACCTGTAGACTTTATTGTAATTCCTCTTAACTGTTCGTCTTCTCTTGTGTCAGTCATTCTTTTGTCTCCACTTTCCTTTGCTGACAAGATTCCAGCTTTACAGAGTAGAGAATCTGTTAGGGTTGACTTTCCGTGATCAACATGAGCGATGACTGATATGTTTCTGATGTTTTATTGTTTATTCATAATCTCTCTGATTTGATCCACAGTAAAGTTAACCATAATTTTTAATTTTTATTTATATTATTAAAAATCAAATGATCCTAAATTGCGCTATTTAAACCAAGATTTTCTGATAAATTCTGGTAAAAAGATAATTCTTTATTAAATTTAAAGGATATTATTTATAAATTAATATGAATCACTAATTTATTAAGTAAATTATTTGGAATTTATATTTTATTACAATATTTTTTTTAATTTTCAAAATTTTCATCTTTAAACATCACCATCTAATACTTCCCAAATCTTTGAAAATTATATAATTATTAAATAATGAACATAAATAAAAATTCTCTTTCTTATCTACAAATAATCATATTTTTTTATTCTCTTTGTCAATGATCTCATTCCTTTTGAATTCATTACATCTTAGAAGTATTAACAATAAATTACCTAGATTATATAAATATCTATCATATCTATCTTTTATTCTTTAATTTATATTTCCTCTATAGAATAACTCATATTATATTCATGGTTATTTTTTCTATTTTTCAAAACTATATGAATTTGATTAAATATAATGGATTATTTCTTGAAATTAAATGATTTTGTAAAGCCAAACCCAAATTTCTGTAAAATATTTAAATCTATAGTTTTGTTGTTATATTTTTTCTTTCTTCTCTATTAAGTATTAATTGGGAAACTTATATTGATGACTATGTATATGAGATTGGTATTTCTATTCTTAAAATTTTCTTATTTATTGTAGTAGTACAATATAAATAAAAATAATGAAGAAAGCAATCAAATAGAAAGTAAAGATGTTAGGAGCATTGGAATTGGATCGTCAGATGAAACGCAAATTAGAATCCACTAATTACTCAATTTTATAGAATTTTGATGTATAAAAACTCTCCCATATTGCAGTATTTTCGATCTCTTTTAGGAAGACCTCATAAACACTATTCTGATGTAGAGTAATTGAAGAAATTCCTATAGCACATACCATATCTTAAAGTAATAACTGAAGGAATGTCAATGAGATTGATTGAGAAGATCATACATTAATTATCATTAAAATTCTTAGCTGCAAATAGTTAATGTGATTCACAATTTCAGATAATGTTAAGTGGAGAAATACAAATAGGTTAAAGAACATTTGTTTAGACTGACACTGTGAATGAAGTGGGAACAGTTATAAGAGATGCTTGGGTTATTGTATTAAGTCATGATGGATACAATGATCTTATTAGAGAATATCATGAGAATTTATTGGCTTAGAAATTACATCTAATTCAACAATATTCAGTTTTCAGCAAAATAAGTATTTAAAGATTGAAAAATCAATTGGATTAATTTAAATAAGAATAAGCTACCAACAATACAATTTTATATTAAGAGAAATAAGCAGCTGATTCATTCTATTTAATAGTGTAAGGGGAAATAAAATTAATACAAGAAGATATAGAATTATAATTATTGGGACCTAAATGTGTTTTTGGAGAAATGGAATTAGTAGAATCAAATGAATTAAGATAACATAAAGCAGTTGTTACTCAACATACTACATATTATAGAATAGGATATCATTAATTAAAAATTTTATTGAATTCAAGTTGTTTATATGAAACATTTTGTTAGAATTATCATATAAGAGCATAGTTTTGGAAGTTAAGAAAGTAATAATGTAAAAAAGAAGTAATTATACCAATTGATTATTCTGAATTTAAAAATGAGATACCTAAGACATATCATAATTATCTCTCTGCTTCTAAATTATTAAAGTATGCAAAATAAAATACAACTAATACAGAAGATGATTAAAAAGAAACTAAAGAAGATAGAATACTTGAATATTACAAATAGTTTAATCATCAAATCAAATAAAATTTTAAGTAAAATCATTTATTAAGAAAAGTATTGATTTAAGCTAAATAAACAAATCATGATTTACCTATTATGAAAGGATTGCAATTAGAAAGATACTTACCAAAAAATCATTTTACTCATAAAAAGTCACTTAAAATTATTAGTCAATTTAATGAAACTATATATTAAAGATTTGTATCAGATGTAGAATCATATCCAACAACAACTACATTTGTAAAAGGATCAAGATTATTTAGTGCTGCAAGTAGATTATAATCTGCTGCAAGTAGATTATAAACAGCAGTACCAAAATTATTTACAAGTTCTTCAAAATAATAATAATAATAATTTAGACCAATGACTGCAGTAAAAAGATCATTAACAAATGAAGCTCAATGATTTATGAATATATTAAAGATTTTATATACTGAAAACACATTATATATAATCAATTTTTATGTTTTTTTACATTAATAATTTTAGATTATTTTTTTATTTTTTTAGATTTTGTTTAATTTGTTTTAATCTATTTTTATGGATATTCTTTACTTGATCTTAATCTGAAATCTAAATTATATTTATATAATTTACTATTTAATTTTGGAGTTACTTCAAATCCAAAAGATTTACATAATCTCATGGGATTCAATTTTAAGACATCATAATTATTTTGATCTAATTTATGTTAATAATTCTATAATTAATTCAATATTTATACATAGACAAAATCTTTATATGCCTTATCAGCTAAACAATTAAGATTATAATTGCTAGAAACCAGTTTCATAACTTCTTAGTTTGCAAATTATTCTTATTTATTTTTTTCTAATTTGCTTTCAGTACAATTAGGTATCTTCTCTTCAGGTAAAACAAACACTAAACCACTCTTAACTTCTGTCATAGGAGGATCATAATAAATTTATAATGTTTGATCAGCTGGTTATTATTATGTTCTGAATTTAGTTTTTATTCCCATTAATATAAATAGCTCTTACAAAAACTAAATGATGTGAATTATGTTACATTAATTTAATTTTCAGAGAATACTACAACAGTATTGGATTTTATTCTCTTAACAATACTTATCAATAGTTAAAGTCTTTCATCTTACTCAACTAAAATGTAATTCATAAATTAAATTATAATTAAAAAATGTCCCTTATATTAAGTCAAATCAATAAGGATAATGTAAAAGTTGGTAAAGGATGTTGTATAGCTTTGGGAGTACAAATAATATCAGAAATAGGTGAAATCATTATAGGAGATTATACTATAATAGAAGAAGGATGCATCATAAGAAATAATCATTTTAAGAAAATGTTGATAGGTTCTTATAATGTATTTGAAATTGGATGCAAGGTTGAAAATACTAATATTGGTGATTGCAATGTATTTGAAATGAGATGTATAATTATATTATAAATATAAGGTATGATTGAAAGTGGTTGTACCATTGAAAATAATTGTAGATTCGGTATTAATTCTAGAGTTCCACCAAAACAGAATTTCCCTAATTTCTCTAGAGTTTATTACCCATTTAATGTTTTAAAAGTGCCACCATATGATTCATCATAACATAAAGAAGAAATAACAGAATTATGTGCTGCATTATTTTAAATTGGATCAAAGAAATGATATTATACATTTAAGATGTTTACTTAATTGTAATTTAAATAAACATAATGTTGTGTTTTAATCAACTTAATAAGTATACTTCCATTTCTATTAACTTGGATGATTCATTTATTATAGATTCTCCCTTCTCCTTATAATATTCATAAGTATATCCAATTTTACTATAACATTAGTCAAATGTAGATCCTTATAAACTTAAATCAGGACCTTATCCAAATTATGGTCCTAACATATATTAAGAATATAAAGTATGTTTATAATCTCTTAATTTATATATCCTCTTATTTGTATATGAAAATAGAAATGATTATTTTGTAAAATCTGCCCAGTAATCTCCAAAAACTAAAGGTTAAAAGGAAGGTATTGTGACAGCCCCAACTATTTCTAAGTTTTGAAATTTAGCTATTAGTAAAGTGGAACCTTATTTTTTCATAGATTTCCAAAATGCTTCCATAGTTAATCCATCCCTTTTACTTTTGTATATCAATTCACCTTATTTGAAATTCAATTACTATTTAACTATTAAGTTATCAATAATATATTATTAATTAAGAATTTCTGATTATTAATTAATTAGAAAGCGTTCTATTTAATTATTGGTTTCAAAATTTAATTGAATTTTTGAAATATTCTATTTTACTTCGTTTAAGAGATTATGAGTATTATTAAATTCTTCTTTTGTCTTATTTAATAATTAAATAACTTTTAGAGTTAATTTAGAATTATTATTGATTAAAATATTTTTGATATTATTATTCGCTTAATTAGTTTCATTTTATTAATTAATTATAAATTCACTTTAATTATCTTATTATTATCTTAATAGTTAAATTTCTTATATTAGTAGTTTTTATAAATCAAATATAGACTAAGATTGTTATTATATAGTTATTTAAAGTCTACAATTAAATATTTATAATACTTTTAAAGCTAATAATCTTATTGATACATTAAAAAGATTAATAATGGTAATGTAATCATTATAATAAATGCTATTATTTTTAAAAGTTAATCATTATTTAACATAATATTAACTCCTTTTAAATAATTAATTGTTTTGCCCTTTTCCTCGATGTCGATATTCCTTTATTAACAATCATATCTTACTTAATTAGTAAAGAATCTTGTTCTTCATAATCAATTTCATCTTAAAAATTCTTCTTGACTGTTTCCAAATATTCCTTTAAACAATCTTCAAAGATTTAATCATTCGATAAGTACTATTCAATTTAAAATTAAAGGTTCCCTATTTACAATAATAAACCTCCTCTTAATTATGAAATTTAATCATTTATTTCTTTAGGGACTGCTTCAGCATATTAATCAAACTTTTTGAAAATCTGATTCTAATATTCTGAACTCTTATCTGTAAATGATTCTAATTTATTATAAATTTGTAGATAAATACTTAATGTGCTCAACTCTTTGAATTTATCTTTTTTTAGTTGATTTACATTGATCTTCGCTTGATTAAATAAATCAATCTTTTTGTTATTTCTACTCAGCACATCATTAGCTATGAATTCAAAAGAAATAAATTGATCAATATGTTTTAAATTTTTTTCATTTTTATTATGTAATTTCGCTAAACATTCATGACAATGCAATCTTAAACCTTTTTATGAATAACATTCTTTATTGAGACAAATATATTTCTCTTAATTTTAAGTTTATTTGCATATATCAAATGTTTATTATTCCATTTCTATTATAATTTAAATATTATTATTGATAATATATATTTATGTTTAATATATATATATATCTAATATTGTTAAATTTATATCTAATATAATTTCAACATTTATCATCTATGTTGATTTAAATAATAATATCATCAATATTAGTTATAATGATTAATCAAATACAAGAGACTTTGTTTTAATCTCTTTTAGAATCTGAACCATCTATCTAATAAGTCAAATCAATCTAGATATAAAGCAACAAATACAAAACATAAAGAAATGTGAGTTAATTTGAATCAGAAAGTTTCGATAGTATTAAAAGTGTTTTCAATTCTGATTATGATCAAAAACCTATCTTTGATTCTTAATCTCGTATAAGCACATCCAATACAATCTATAAGAAAAATAAAAGAATATAAGGATTTTACAATTCTCAAAATGTCAATTAAAAATTAGCATAACGAAAAAGAATTCAATCATTTCGATTAGATTAAGAAGTATAAAGTTATGATGAAGAAGAAAGTCTACCAGAAAATTTAATGGATGTCAATCTCTACTTTAGATAAGATGCTATTGTTTCAGTCTAAAAAATTCTTGAAACCTAAAGAAAACTTTCATGATTCAACTTTTCACATTTATCAATAGTATATATTGTATATATAAAGTATGCAATTACAATATTATATTTTATGGGCTATAACATTTCAATGACTTATGATAATATTTCTAAATTTCATACTGAACTCATTATTTGTTGTTATTGATCTCAATTTTAATAAACCCAATTATTTTTATTATACGAATTTTCCAAAATTTAATAGAACATTCCTATTTATGAAGTATATAAAACATTATCAAAATTATGTTATATTTAATCTCTTTATCCTAATCAATATCTTAAATTAATTCATTTTTATATATAACATTTAACAAAATATTTTTGATATAAATTCTATTTTAGTATAAATTCAATCAAATTTAGTTTATTCACAAAAATGATTATATTTTTAGGCATGAACTTAATTCTATTATTACAATCTACAATTTATGCCATAGTAACAATCCTCTCTCATGAAAAGAGGTTCATCATATTTCATACATTAAACATATCTAAATATAATAAAATTGATTAATTTCCTATGGCATAACCAGCATATTGGCTAAATATATATATTATATATAATTACTGAATTTTGAGATATTTTAACATTAATTTCTTAAATTGGATTATTGAATGTTAATTTATTTTATTAAAAATAGAAATAACCTTTACTAATGTAATTATCCATCATAAAATTAAAGATTACAGTTTAAGGTCTTCCTCCAAGATGTTTAAGTAATCTGTTATATTCAGTGCTATTTACATAATTATAAGGAATCACCATTTAATGTTAAATATTTTTTACAAGCATAAACTTTTAAAGTGCAGCATTATTACAATCACCATAATAAAATGTACAATGATATGCTTTACATATACAACATTACATTTACAACACTTCATTATCATCATCACCTATATATATTAATAATATAATTACTAGGATCTAATTTAGGCATTAATCTGGCACAAGAAGCACAACCTACATGTTGTTATTATGGAGGACATTAAAAGTTCTTCCAAATTTTTCCATTACAACTTTTACATACTTTATTTTGTTAAATGAATTATTATTAAAACAAATTTTAACCATGAGCTAATTAAAAGTGATTTTAAGGAAATAAACCATTAAGGTTATTTTAAGGAAATAAATTATTAAAACCCTGAAAACCATTATTTTAAAATTACAATGGAATATATTATTACTATTATTAAATTTATTAATTCTGCTTATTATCATCAAAGTTATCATCATTACTTAAATATTCATCATCATCATTAGAATCATTTTCATCATTTTCTTCTTAATTTTCTTCATCATTTTCTTCATCACTATAAATATCTTATTCATCTTCAAAATTTCTATTTAATTATATTTTCTTTTATTATTAATCTTAATTGAATTTAGCACTTAAATTGATATATTCTTAAGGATTTTTATAAATGAGATTTTCTTCTTTCATTTTATTTAATAATTATTCTGTTCTTTTTTCATGAGGATTAATCTTTAACCATTTCTCAACTAAATTATTAATGGTTCTTGCCTACATTACTCCAGTTAATTTCGATCTGCAATTAGGACATTCATATGTTTATTTTTTAAACCAATTAGATAAACAAGAACCACAGAAATGATGATTACAAGGATTTGCTGCAACAGCTTCAAACAAATAATCATTGCAAATAGTGCATTATAATTCATCTTCTAATCCATCAATTTTAGGAACAGGAGGAGGTGATTATTCTTTCTTCTATTTAGATGGTTCATTAATTATTTAAGATTCAACTTGATTTTCAACTAATTTTGTGTTCAATATATTCTCATTTTTTACTTCTCTTTTTCCATCAGAAACTTATCGGTCTATTGATTCTATTGATAATTTAGAAGCTTATTGTTCAGTATTTATACACACAACAAATTCAAAACCAATAACTTCATGGTCCTTAACCTTTTATATAGGGAGTAAATGAATCTTATCTCCATTTAAAATTGTTACTGTGTTTCCTTTACCAATCTTATTTTCATTGATATATGTTCCATTACTAGAGTAATCCGTCACAGTAAATTAGGAATCCTTATACTCAATTGTCAAATGGTTAGCACTTACCTTGATATCAGAAAACACTTTATCATTCTTCTAATCTCTTCCTATTGAAAATATCGGTTTTGATATTTCAATTGATGATGATGTATTAGTATTTAGAGAGAGTAGCTTCGCAAACATATCTAGAATAATTTAATTATAAATTATGAGGCATTTATTTATCAATTTGAAAATAGTATTTCTAAATATATACCTTATATTTTAATGGATTCCCTCTTTAAATACGAAATTAACAATTAATTAATTTTCATTCTAATATTTTATATGTCTAATTTAAATTATGCCATTTCTTACAGTCTAATACATTGTTAATAAATTTAATTCCTTTCATTTAGAAATTAAATGCATTCTCATAAATATAATAATAATGAAAGATTATATTCTTTAAATTTAATCATTTCTAATAGCCAATTAATACTAGTTATCCATTTTACATTATTAATATATTACAAATAAAAAAAGACTTTTTTATCTATTGTTTTATAAGAATATTTAATTTTTCTATAGAATAACCTATTATTATTATATTGACTTGTAATTTAAATTAACTAATATAATGCTAGTGCAGCCTCATCCAAATATTCAATAAGGTTCTTGTTCAAGATCTATGTCTATCTCAATGGATGATTCAATACACACATATATCCAACCTATTGTCTAAAAAATGACCGTCGTTAATAAACATTAGCTATAAGTAAGAAAACCATCTGATGGTGCTTAAGAAATGATCCAATCCCCTCCAACTGTAACACCTCATATTGCTTCAGACAGACCACCATAATGTGAGATAAAGGATTTGCTTCTAATAAACGAGGAACCTAGCAACAAAGAACACTCTATATAAATTACTGATCGATATAAGAAGACTCATAAAGTAACTCAGAACAATTTAAGTTAATAAAGTATATTGATCGATGAAAAACCTTTACATTCATATAGTGATGTTTAATGGAGTGGATTAATATCATTAAATACTATAAATTCTAATTCCTCCTTTCAGCATAACCTTATATAAGATAAAGCTGCTGATTTTAATCCAAATAATTCAAATGGAATTATTTTCCATCCAAAAAAATAAAATCTATTTTATCATTTTAGTAATGCTACATATTGTATGTATATCTGTTTCTTTATTACTTACATGTTGATTCATTTATAAGACAGTTTTTAAAAGCAATATACTTATTAGATTTTATTAATTGTCATTTAAATAATATACATTTTTAATCAAATTCTATTCGAATAGTATGATAATGGTGATATAATTAATACATTTGAACAATTAACTTAATTGTATTTTAGAAAGTAATCAATTTTTGATTTAATCACAATAATTCCTGTAATTTTTGCATTATCATCAGAACAATGTCATTTCATATAGATTTTACATATTATTCGACTTTGGAAATTAAGATAATTAATAAAAGAATTAGAATTATTATTTGGTAAAGTTATTAAATTTACATATTATATTATGGAATTTCATTTTATCTAATTTATTGCCTTGTCTATACTATAATATAATCATGATAAGTAGATTAACTTTTATGATGAATTCCTTGTATTGTTGTATAAATAAGAGAATAGTAATGCAATAACTTATATTATTAGAATGCTCATTCTTATATATTATTGTTTTTGTATTTTTAGATTGACTTTCTAAGATAATTTGGAATTATTAAATAAATTATAATTAACATGCTCTACTAAGTAGTTAATAAAAGCTTATATAAATAAATTAAATTCTTAAAAATCTATTGATATGAATTTTTTATCTCAATTACCTTAGACATTTGTTGATGATGTGAAATCTTAGCGTTATTATCATCTCCTCTCAAAAATTCCTATATTTAAATCTTCTTTCTCAGAAAACACTTTAAAATAGATATGTAGTCTCATCCAAGAGTATACTTACATTCCAAATTAAATTGTGTTAATGTAATAAACATCTAATTAACATTTATTCATAATATTATCAGGTGATGTGTAGATCTCTTAGAAGAAGGCAGGTATTGATTTTAAAATTAAGATACTTGGAAAGGATTCTATTTTCAATAATCAAGCCTTCTTCAAAAATGCTTATTCTAACATAAATGCAACATCAATAGGATATTCTCAAATAGCTCAATTAGATTTAGATCTCTTTTTAGATTTTATAAAATCTCATTATTAGGAGCGATAAAAATATAAGATGATGGTTGATCAAATTGTTCTTTATGAAATTAATAGTTTATGTTAATTGTCTTGTTTTGTATGTGGTAAATCTCATGACATTGATGAATGTGATCATGTACATTATGTTCCAAAAAAATCTATATTAGTGTAATATATCTAATAAAACGATTTATAAATTCGTAGAAATTATTTGAGAAGTAAAGCTAGACGAAAATAAAAAAGATTAAAATCAAACATTCTGAAAATAGAAGAGGCTGCTCTTTAGTATTAATAATAGAACATCGAATCAGATATAACAGATGATAACAAAAAATACTAAGATGAAGTGATTAGTATTCAATAAGCTTACATGGGAGAAGCTAGTCATCGTTATACAGATAGATAAAATTCATTTTAATAATCTTAATAGACCCCAAGAAGAGGATCATTATACTCTATGCGTGAGTCATTACACTCACTTTAATAATAATAATAATAATAATAATAATAATAATAATAATAATAATAATAATAATAATAATAATAATAATAATAATAATAATAATAATAATAATAATAATAATAATAATAATAATAATAATAATAATAATAATAATAATAATAATAATAATAATAATAATAATAATAATAATAATAATAATAATAATAATAATAATAATAATAATAATAATAATAATAATAATAATAATAATAATAATAATAATAATAATAATAATAATAATAATAATAATAATAATAATAATAATAATAATAATAATAATAATAATAATAATAATAATAATAATAATAATAATAATAATAATAATAATAATAATAATAATAATAATAATAATAATAATAATAATAATAATAATAATAATAATAATAATAATAATAATAATAATAATAATAATAATAATAATAATAATAATAATAATAATAATAATAATAATAATAATAATAATAATAATAATAATAATAATAATAATAATAATAATAATAATAATAATAATAATAATAATAATAATAATAATAATAATAATAATAATAATAATAATAATAATAATAATAATAATAATAATAATAATAATAATAATAATAATAATAATAATATTAAATAATCGATATTCCAAACATTAGTCCAGTCTAGTATGTTCAATAACCACAAAGTGGAATGTCTCACAGTTCATATGGTTAATTATTTAAGGATGTCTCAGTTAATCGAAAGAACATTAATGGATCTTCAGATAAAAATTCGAGTGGTAATGTATTCTCTTTACCTTACAGCAGTAATGGTAGTAAGAATACTCCAAATAATATTATTTCGATATAAGAAAAAGAGGAATTAATTAATATTCAAATGAAAAGACTCAAATTACAAGATAGTGTATTTTATCATTAAAAGAGAATATAGAATCAAATGGATAATTGTAGTTAAAATACACTTTCAAAATATTAGAAGTATCACACAACCCAACCGTAATAGTAATAAAAATAAACAATCCGTTCAGATAGAAAGTCTAATTCTTGTATTTCTGAATCAGAATAAGGGGAATATCAATTATAATAGTAATAAGATTTGCAACCATCTAGATATGGAATTTAATCATCCAAATTTACAGGGGAAACAGCTAAGTAATTTATGAAAAACCCTTTAGAAATGCCTAATTTAGAATTTTATCAATCTTTTGAGAATAGTAAACAATTCAGTGATTATTTTCCTCAATATAATATAGATTAAGCTATATAGTGTTACATAAATTATTAATAAGTTAGATCGAGTGCATATTAATGAATATATTATAATATTTTTGATAATAAATATGATATCCTGGTAATATTTTAAATAAGTAATAATAGTTTGATGAAAATAATAATATATTCTATTTTTTTTTTAAATATATTTGAATATAATCAAATGAGTACTCTTAAAGCAAGAGGTAGAAAATTGTTTGAAATTCCAATATGCACAATTTGTTTAGAGCCAATGATAAAGGATCTTTGCGTTTTTACAGTATGTGGACATGTGTTTCACTATAATTGTGGTGTAAATTGCCATTAAAATTCAAGAAAATGCCCTAATTGTCGTATGAGATCTACAGAAATATAGTCATTACATTATGCAGTTGAAGAAATTACAGGTATTGATGAATAGATGAGTAAACTATTAAATGATTTGAGTGTTGATTAGAAATAACATATGGCTAAATTATTATCAGATCATGAAGAATTAATGCATGAAAATTAAAGAATTATGTAAAGAAATAAATTTGTTGAAGAAAAGAATGAATCCATATAGTGTGAAGTTTAACATATATAGGCAGAACTTAAAAGATATTTGGAAAAGAACACAGAATTAGAAATAAAAGAAAAATAGCAAGATTAATAAATAAAAACGCTAGAAATTTGTTTTTAATCATTAGAAGAAGAAAATAAAAAGTTAAATTAAAATATTGAAAAGTATGAGATTTAATTGAAAGGTTATGATTATTTGGAAAATTTAGCTAAAGTAATAAACAATCCACATGAAGATATGTATTTAAAATTAATACGACAAAAGAGTCCAAATGAATAAGCTAAATAGATTTATGATTTATATGTAATTAAAGTAGGACAATTTAAAACTGTATAAAAAGAAATGGCTTTATTATAAGAGTAAAGAGAATAGCAATAAAAGAAATATGAATAATTATAGTAAAAATATGAAAGAATGAAAGATTTATATGAAGAACTTTAAAAGGAGAATCTATCAATTAAAGAACTTTCAAGAAATTAGAATTATAAACCTATATAGAAGATTATAGAACATTATGAGGATAAATAAGAGAATGAATTTAAAAGGAAACCTATTAATATATAAAAATAAGTATCATTTGGATGCTCTTAATTAAGAAAACAACCATTGAGTTAAAGTTTATTGAAAAAATGATATTAATTTATTTATGTCTAAATTACCTGAATTCAAGATTCCAAATGTTGTGGATCCTAAATTATGGCCAAATCCTCGTACAATGACACCATAGTAATTGTAAACATATACATCGTTGGATATGGTCAAATTGAACTACACATTCAAAACATTAAAGAAATCAGCACCATACATTGCTGGTGTATTAGCTGGATGCTTTTTTACAAAGCTTGTTGTTGATGGAGTTGTGAAAGGATTCATTTTTGGAGAGAATGGTACTCTTTTTATGTTATCTATAGGAAATGGTGGAAAAATCTTGGAAATGAAGACATACAATAGCATTGGAGATTATACTTATAATAGATAATTCTAAAGAATGAGATATCTCACTGAATTACCAGCAGGTATTCTATAATGTTATATATATTTTTATAGGCGATGATCCTCTTGTTAAGACCAGCGATTATTTATTACATGACTTAGGTGTCACAACTTAATAATGTGGAATTTAACATGGTGTTGTTAAGAAAGTACCACATGATAAGTATCTATTGTGAGTAATAGGGCAAAATATAATATATACAATAAATTAATTCAAAATATACTACAATTTATACATGTTTCAGAAGATTTCTCTTTGATTTCATTTGTTATTTCTTTCAAAATGTTGATCCTCTATTGTTCACATAATTCATATGTTTAAGTTTTAGTTCTAGTGAAATGTTCTATAAATTATATTATAGTAATTTACTTTCATTTGTTGATGAATTCCTTGAGTTTTCAAAGTTAGTTGATTGGGACTCGAATTCTTCATATTAAATGAGTTTTTATTTCAAATTTTCAAGATCATCAATCATCTAATACAAATTTTAAAACTATATATATATGTTTCACATTATTACATATTGTGTAATGACGATGATATTGTCATCAAGAAGCATTTCTTAATAGGATTTATTTAATATATCTAAGGAATGAGTATTTGAATTATTGGGATTGTTTTCAATCCTGTTAAAATATTCATTCACATATTCCATCTCATTTTAATAGATTTAGACTAATCTCATAATATCTAAATGTTCAAATTGATCATCATCTTTATAATCTTGGTCTTAATGTTATATCAATAGAAATTTAGAATGTATTTCCTGATGTAATTTAAAACTTTCTTTGATTGATTGTTCTAATTTAATAATGGAACCCTTTAAAAGCATAAGATCAACTTTTATGTCAAAGATGATTCTACTCTTTTTAGTCTTGCTTTATTGTCTCTTTGGACTATGAATAAGTTCTTCTTTGCATAATAAATCATTAATTATTTTTGAAAGAAGACGAAGCTAAGATGATTGGATAAGAGTTTTACTTCTTTAATCTTCTTTATCAAATAAGTCTTATGTGTTTAATTAGATTTCATTTATTCTAAGGTGGCAACCAATCCTGAGATGCACTTGATTTTGTCGCCATAATCTAGAGTATCAAGCACTGATTCGATTGGTAAGTCTTATTACATCTTCGATTTCAACAGTACGATTAATTATAAAATAAAAAAATCTTTGCTTTTTAAAGAAAACAAATTTTGAATATGAGTCATTTAGATATTAGTAAGAATTACTTCATTTAAGTAAGTGATTTATTTTATAATTAATATTAAATATGTTTATATGTTGTAAGAGCAACAAGAAGCCAAAAGTTGTATAAACTTAAACATAAATACCTCCTTTATAAGCTCAAACTAAATAATCAAAATATCAAATAAGAACATCGAATGATTAAGATCAACATTCAACTAATTTAACCAACATGGAAGGAACAAACGATAAGATTAATTTGAGTTTATAAGAAATTGAGAAGTTCATTTTGCATGATAAGAAAACCTTAGAGCAAGAAAGGGAATTAGTTACAAAATTGATTGAATTACCTGAAAAGACTCATTTAATTGAATTTAACTGGGCCATTGCATATACTAATTATATCAAAGAAGTAGGATTACATCCTGGAGAGATTACAAATAAAATTCTTTATGATAAATACAAAGGGAAAGAAGAATTAGTATTAGATAAAGATTACGTATTAGTAAATGATTAGGTTTGGAATGTGTTAATAAATATCTATAAAGGAGGACCTATGATTACAATAAATGATTTGGATAGAAAAAGTGAAAATAATATCTTAGATTAATCACTTAAAGTATTTGCCTCACCATCAATGAATGATCTTGATAAAAAATAAGGCAAAATTAGAAATATAAAATAAATGCCAATAAAAGAATTATAAATAGTTGGATTAGAGAATGAAATCTACTTTTGTTATTTGAATAGTGTATTGTAATGTTTAATGGGTATTCCTTAATTAAATTACCATTTCCTATATACTTATTAATCTGAATATAAATTATTTAGTTATGCTTATGCATTACTTTTAAGAAAAGCCTCTAAAGTACATTATAAAGCTCGTATAGTAGCTAAGGAATTAATAAAAGTATTACAAAAACATTTCTCAATTTATGAAATGCATGATAGTTCTGAATTATTACTCTTTATTTTAGATAAATTTAAAGAAGAATTATTTATAAATAATGCACCTTAATTAAATTAACCTTAATAATAATAATTTAAGTAATCTCTTACATTTATTGATGAATTATTTCATGGATAACTTACTTCATTCATTAAATGTTCAAATTGTGATAAAATTAGTTAGCATTAAGATCCATTTTATGATTTAAGTCTACCACTTGTAGGTAAAAATTTTATGTAGAGAAAATTATCAATATAAGAATGTTTAAGTAATTATTTCAAAGAAGAAATGATAGAAGGTGGATGGACTTGCTCTTTTTGCAATTAAAAATTTAGAAGTATAAAACGGCGTGTTAAAATTACATTTACACCAAACATTTTAGTTTTGTAATTAAAAAGATTTCAAAGTTATCCATTAAAGAAAAAAATAAAAGAACCAGTTAATGCTGATATGGAATTGAATATTAAAAAGTAAAATATTAAATTTATTCATATAGTTTTTGTGTACCAGAAATAATTGATACTAAATATGAATTACAAGCTATGATTGTGCATTCAGGAACTATCGATTAAGGTCATTATGTAGCTGTAGTCAAGCGTAATCAAAATGTATGTTTATCTTAATGATTTGTGAAGTTTTATCTCTTCAATGATGATGAAATTGAGCGTCTCTCCCTTAACCAAATCAATCGAATTGATTCTGCTTATCTATTCATGTATCGTAGAAAAAGTGATTGATTAATTAACTTTTTTTATTATATTTTCTGTTGTAATTTAAATGAGTTCAAATACTCTATAAACTTATCTTCAAAATTAAATCACTTCAATAACTCTCAACATAGAACATATACAAAAAGATATTTCTCTACTTCACAACTAATTTGAACAGAAAATATTTACAGCAAAAAGAGAATGTACTATCATTAAACATAAATTATAGTAAATAATAGAGATGATTCAACATAAATATAAATTGAACAATTTAAATAATAATTTGATAATACAATCAAAGTTTTAGAATAGAAAATGTTACATATAGATGAAAATAAAATGGATCAAAATGAAGCTTATTAAATGATGGAATCTAATAGAAAAAACATATAAGAAGATATAGATTTACTTAAAAATGAAATGGCTTATTAAAAAAAATATTTTGATGATTAAATTAATGAAAAAATAAGACATTTATAAATTTCTAATTTGACTGAATAAGTTCATTAAACCAAAAATCAACTCTAATAATATTATTAAGAGGAATAGAGATAATTAAATGAACATTAAATACTTACTAAATCTTTACTTAATGCAAATACAAAAGCATTTTTTTAAGAAATAGAAAGAATAGTTTAATAAATAGATTCAATAAAAATAGAAATAAATGATTAATAATAATTATTTATTAAAAAACCTGAACTAGAAACTAAAATTAATTAGATTCATTTATAATTTGAATTAAAATCAGATTTAATTGAAGTATAGAATGCTTTAAATACATAATAAATTGATATTGCCTAAAGATTTTAAGAATTTAAAGATGAAGTACGTACTGTTTTAGAATTACAAGGAAATGAATTTTATTAATTGATTAATAAGAAAGTATAAATATTATTTTAACTCATTAATAGGCAAATCATACTGAAATCATGTCCATTTTATAAAATAAAATAGATATGGAAATACTTGTATAACATACACATGATAAAGTACCTCTCAAAGATTTTCATTAACATATGTCATTAATCGAAAACATTGCTGTTGATCTAGGAAAAAAATAAGACGCCATTACATTTGTTGAATACAAAGATGCCAATAATTTGTAAATAGCAGAAATTTAAAAGGATCTCCAAAAAAAATTATCTAAAAGAGATTTCAAAGATATTCTTGAAAAAAAAGCTAATCATGAAGATGTTTCTAAGGCCTTCAAAGAAATTTAATCTATTTTTTCAACAAAATTTAGTTATGAAGAGTTTAATAAATTTTAATAAAATCAAAATACTCTGAATGAATAATTATGTAGTTAAAATATAATAGGAAGATGGTTATTTAAAGGAAACTTTCTAAGTCCTGGAAGTCTAATCCCATGGAATATATAAGCAATTAATACATTGACTGAAAATTTCTTATGGGATAAAGATAAACCAAATATAATTGTAGTGGCTCCTGGTATTTATGAAATAACACTTGGATTCTTTGCTAAAAGAAAACCTAAGATTGATATTATGGTTAATGGTGAGACTATAATCAATGCTGTAAACAATAGCAGGTACTAAATATTGTTAAATTAGTTATGTAGTGCATCATTCCTCAGGTAAATTAAAGGATACAAAGAACTCTGTAACTGGTTTAACAATGATTGATTTTATCTCTTTATCTTCTCGAGCAAAAATCAATATTGCCTATTAAGGGGATTTAGGAGAAGGCTTTTTAAGCTTACGAAAAGTATGATACTATTCAACTTTATAATAATTTATTAAATTTAAATATCTCTATCTTTTTTATTATTTATTATAGATTTGACTATTTAACCAAATCTAATTATTTTAATTAATAAATTCCATTATTAAAATCTCACTTTTATAAATCTAATTTTTAGTATTTTTATATTAATATTTAGATTATATCTATATAGTTTTGTGTTGAATATTTTACATTCTTTAATAAAAACATAATCTTTTTAATTTATATTGAAATGAATTAGAAATTAATAAATAAACTAATATCAACTTTTATCTGTTGATATTAGTTTATGAATTACTCAATTATTATATATAAATATAGTATTTAATCTTGATAAGATCAATTAATAGATGATTTTGTAACGTTTTCACTTACTTTCTTCCCTGCTATTGTTCCAAAAGCTAAACCAAAGGCTGCTCCAATTTTACCCCCCAAACATCCAACAGCTGTAAATAAACCTTAAAAGAATAATTTAACCTTTGTCCTTCTTCTCATTTATACATATTAAAATGCTTAGTTATATTATTAAGCATTTTGTTCTTAATTACTTTATAAAGTTCCTTATTTGTTTTCTATTTCACTAAAATTTTCATTATCTTTTTAGAGTTATAAATCTAATTCTCTCTATAAATTTTTAAGGTTTTCCATTTCTACTGCAATTTTAAGTAATTCTTCTTCTTCTTCATCTTTTATTCTTTTTTATACATATATTGTCTTTAAAACTTAATTCATTTATTCTCTTTAATCTGTAAATTAAGTATTATCTTTTGAATTTAAAACATTTTAAATCAATCTCATAATATCAGATATTTGACTATTCATTTCAATCCATTTTTTATCATTTTTATTTTTATTTTTTTCATAAATTCTCTACAGTTCCACTTTAATGATATTCAATTTTTCTTCAATATCTTTTCTCTTTTCTATAATCACTTAAGTTTTATAATTATTTATTAATTCATTTACCTTCTAAACATCCTCTAAAGCCTCAAAAATATATTGTAAATAATACTAATTTCAATTCCACTTCTGAAATATAATTATCTTCATATGTAAATAAACGATTTTCCATCTCCACTAGTTTTTTCTTATATTATCTTCTCTCTAAAAAATTCAATTTAGTAATTGCCTCTTTAATAACTGTGAGTTATTTCCAGCCATGTCCTATTTAAATACCTTTTAATCTTAAATCCTACTCAATTAGGATATGAGCTAAAATCTTATCAAGATTCACAATTGCCTCATCTAAGGAGTTCATTTGAATTTATTATGGAATAAATCAATAAAAATATATAAAAAGTTATTAAATCCTAATAAATACTTTTATTAACTGTCATATAATTTATTCCATTTCAAACTAAATATGAGAAATATTTATTGAATAATAACTCTAGAAGTCTAATAAGAATTTATATCTTAAAGTTCATGTTAAATCTCAGTATTTATTATAAGTGAAGTTATAACATCATTAATCAGGTTAATTAACTATTAATTTATGATTACAATCTAATTATTTTAGATCAAATTCATATGTACTTATTCAAACTTACTTGAGTTATAATTTTATAGCATTGGATGTCTAAAATAATAATAAAATTTCTATATTAAAATTACTAATTCATAGATTAAATCATTGAAATATAGAGTAGAAACTTGAGATTTAAGATTAAATTGAATATATGATCAAGTTGATTTGAATATATACTTTAAGAATAAGATAATTATATATTTTTAATGACTTGAGAAGGCAATTTCTAAAGTTAATTTTGATAAATATATAAATAATACATGAATCAATATATTTAGAATTAAATGATGGAAATTTTTATTTGAAAAGGATAAGAGAGAAAATTGTTAATTAATTTTTTCTTGATTTATTCTTTTTTATGAATTTTAATAGAATTAATTTCAATATTAATAATCATTAACCTCCTCTCAATCTCAAAACTAAGTGAAGGGTTGATTCCTTTTAAATATTATAATCTGAAAGTGTTCTTCCATCTTCTAATTACTTTCCTGCAAAAATAAGTCTTTATTAATCAGGTGGGATTCCTTCCTTATCTTAGATTTTAGCTTTAACTTAATCGATTGTGTGATCTGGTTCAACATCAAGAGTAATTGTTTTTCCTGTGAGTGTCTTTACAAAAATTTACATTATTTCTTATTATTATTATATCTCTTTAAACTTCAAGCAGGTTTTAAAGGAAAAAAAAAATTTTAATTCTATTATATAAATTTTGGTATCAATAAAATTATTTCTATTAGCATTTAATAGAAAAATGGCATTGTTACATTAAGAGAGATACTTTGTATCAGTACATCTTATTAAATAAGGAAATTAGAATATATATGAAATGAAGTGTTGATGATTGATATTTTAATATTTATTTATATTTATTTTTTAATAAGGTCACATTATATATATGGGTAGTATTTAAATCTCATAATCATAAGCTAATAACTCTTTCTGATTTTGTTTCAAACTCTAATTTCATTTTATTACTTCAGATAAATATTTTAACATTAATCCTCCTTATTTATCATCTCTATTTGTTATCTAAATATTTTAAAGAAAATTTAAGAAAAAGCAAGTTTACAATGTATATTAATTGATATTCTATTTAATTTCCTTAATTATGATATATATTATATGAATCTCAAACTTTAATTTCTTTTTGATTTAAAGTTTAATCATTATTGAATTAGAAGTCTAGATTTATGTATTAATGTATGAAGATTATGAATATTTAATCGACTTTTAATTGATGATGGAATTAAAATATTGAAAGAAGGTGTTGATAAATGCTATAAGTGATTAATTATATAATTTAAATATACTTTTTGGTTAATTCTGATGTCACAAGTAATGCTAGTTTTAGGTCCAAGTAGAGTTGGAAAAAGTAGTTTAATTGATGCGCTCACTTATGGACAATTTCATAGGGAATTTTATCCTTAAGATATAGATTTCTAAGTTAAATTAGCAAAAGTAGCATAACACAGAGTTTATGAAGTATAATCAATAGAATGGGATGGAAAACCTTTTGGATTAGTTTAATTCTATTCAAATGTTGCTGATTTAATATTGATAGTTGTTAATATTTGCGGTTGTTATGATTAAATGGACTAAATTCATGATATATACTAAGCTTTACCAATTGCAAATAATAAATAATAAATAGTATTAATCGGTAATTTAAATGGATAAAATAAAAGAAATGAAAAATTGTGTTAGAGTCTGAGTACATTTGCAAAATTAAATGATCTTAAATTGTATGAATTAGATAGCACAAATATAATGAATGTTTAAATGGAATTTAGTTTTATTACTCAACCTTATTCATTATTTGATGATATTTGGAATAGAAATTAAAATTATGTTACATAATTTGTGTCATAAGCTGTATCCTTATTCATTTGATAACTTATAATTTATCCGAATAAAATAATCATAAGATAATTCCTAAATATAATAAAATTGAATAATCATCTTATAATTTATATATATATAATATAGTCCAAATTAATCAAAATAAGATGTATATTTAATAAAATAATATTTGTTATGATAATAATGTATTTGAATATTAATAATTGATGAAGAAAATTTATAAATAATAATTTATTTTCAACTCTTAATTTTTTGAATTTTAAATCAATTATAATTCTTAAAAATAATCAACTTTAAGAATTTTTTTCTTTTTGTTATAAAATGTGTTAAATTTGATAAAATATTATTACTTTTTAGTTCTATATAATACAATTCTGAATATTTGCATATTAATTGAATATAAAATAAATTAGTGCTAAGAATGCTTTATTTAATATTTATATTAAATATAATAGACAAAATGGTGATATATATCAATTCACAAATTCTGATATTAATTATATCATAAGAATGCTTAATTCAAATTTGAAGTAAAATTATACAATAATTAAATATTTTATTACTCTTTCTCTTATTAGTGAAGTATGAAATAGGAACTTAGTATTTGTCAAAATGTATATTATGAAATATTTATATTGAAATATAAGTTTGAATTAGTTTAAAGAAAGATCAACTAAAAACTGTCAAATTTTCAAGTTTAGTCCTTTGTCTTCTCTTATTTCTTGAAAATAATTTAATTTCTTTTTAGGAAACTTGACCATCCATATCCTTAACTGTAACTACATTGTTGAAATGAACAGATTTTTTAAGATTAAAATCATTATTGAAATCATGATTCTTCTGACATTTTGGTCTTTAAGTATTTAGATTATATAAAAGATCATCAAATTTATCTTAATATTTTTTTTCTTATTTTGTATGTTCTGTATAAATTTCTTTTCTTGTTGTAAGAGCAATATCAGGAAAGAATCCCCATTATTTAAGAATTTGCTCTCCCATTTTACTCAATTAAGGTGATTTCTCTTTCATCGGACTTAGTTGTTAAGGAAGTAATAAAGGTAAACTTGAAGTGTGTGAGTGATGAACATTCAGTTTTAAATCTGAATGTTTTTAATGAGACTTAGGTTCATAAGTTTCTAAATGATATCTCATATACATCTTGAATTATTATAATATTAAATGATTCATAAATTAAACTTGTGTATTAAATATTAAGACATGGATAAAACTATTCATTAATTTCAGCAACAGATTTTCTTTATACTAAATAGATACCATCTTCTAATAAATATATATTGATTTTTATAATTAAAAAAAAAAGTATTTTTAATTCCATTATTATATTAGAAATATCAGATAATATGTTTATATATAAGTATAAGTGATTATATAATAAGATTTTGTGTATTATTTGTTATATTTTTTTGAATTATTTTTATTTATAATTATTTGGTTTAAAGGATGAGTGAAAAAAAGTTTTAAGAGTTAAGTGATAAAAGGTAAAGTCTTGAGAATGAACTAAAAATCTTAGAGAAACAAATTTTTGATTTGGAGACAAAATATTTAGAAGAAACAGCTGCTACAGGAAATGTAATAAAAGGATGGGAAGGTTATACTACAATAAAAAGTGGAAAACTTAATGGGAATGTTCTAAGAAAGACTAAAGCCAATGCTAATGATCGTATTTTTTCATAAAGCAGCAAAACATCTCCATTTGTAATATTTATATTAATATGAGTATTAAATTACAGAGACTGTAGTTGAAGAGCCAAAAAGTCCTAAGAGTCCATAATTTAGACCTAGAAGAATGAAGAAAAAGAAGCATTATGGATACAAAAAAGAGTAATTATGGGAGTTATGTTAGTGATGTTGTAGAAAATTCATAGGGTAGTTCTTCAGAAGATTTTTAATAGGATTAAGTAAAGAAAGTTAAAGGGTCTAAGAAAATATGAAATAATATATATTATTTGTGTTATTTTTACATAATATATTGCCAATAAATTTTGGTATAAAAATAAATATGTAATAGGAGATTAAATAATTAAAAATTTTGATTTAGTTCCTTCTTTAAATGAAATAAATTTAAAGAATTGATCAAGATGTTAAAAGATTATTAAATAAAAAAATAAATATTAAAATATTCTTTGAAATAGTAAATGAATAATAATATAAATCAAGTAGTATCAATATGGAATATTAGAATCAATAATGATTCATTTAGAGAATAAATTCAAGTTCTGGATTACTTTTTTAAGAAAATATAATGAATTAGATTATTTTGATATCAATAATTATTTCAATTACATAAGCTTGTTCATTGAAATAATTAAGATGTGAAGACCTATTTGACTAGGTTTCTTGTGAATCAGTTGCATCTCGAGTTGCTACATGTTTTTGGAATACAGAAACTAATTAATGTATAGTATTGAAAGCAAATTGCAATTATTACAATAATAAAGAAGAATGTAGTAGATAGTATGAGTGTGGCTGGAATGAAACAAATTGTGAGAAAAAGATGATGTATATAGATAACCTTATTAATTTAAAGGGAAAAATAAGAATTTAATTGTGAAGATATTACATCTTATGAATCATGTGTTAGATTATATGATAATACTAATTCATGTACTTGGGAACATAATAAATGTATATCAATATCTAAATGCAGTGAGATTAATGATTTTATGTAATGTAGAAATTCAAGACTAAAAGAAAAGTAATTATATAATATATATTCTGTAGATGTTAATTAGTTATTAATGGTAAATCATCATCTATGGAAAAGTAATATTTTTATTATGGAGATTTATTTGATGAATATGAATGTAGAGCAAAAGATTGCAAATATAATTTACTTTCATTATAATGTCCAAATTTTGTTAATGGAAGAAGATGTTTCTAATATTTTGGTGAATGTACTTAATGTTCATATTTCACAAATAAAAAAACTTGTTTAGAACCTAATTAATGTACTTGGGAAAATGGTAATTGTAGAAACATATTGTATAATATTATCATAATATTTTAGATGTTCTGATCTAAAAGGAAAAGAATAATGTTAATCAAAACCATTTTGTTAATTTAATGATAAGAATTTATTATGTGAAACAAGAATAGACAACAAATTATATTGTTATGCTTACGATATTTCATCAGATCCAATTAAATCAAAAAAAAAACTTGATATTTGATTATTATTTATTTAATCTATATATTAATTATCAGAATTATTCTTCTATTAAAATACTAATAATAGAGTTTAATAGTTATATAATTAAACATTAATATTTATATCACATTGCTTTTAGACATTTTACAATCTATTTATTTAATATTGACACCAATTTGCATAATTTTACATTTAATAATAATCTTTTATATGTTCTCTTATACCATTTGAATAAAATACTTTTCTTTTTTCTTTTCTATATCTAAAATATTTTATATAAAGTGAATATCACTCTATAATTATTTCTGTAAATTTTCATTAAAGCATTACAAACTTTCTTAGTTCTCATAGGTAATTATTTTTTTGTTGTAGAAGTAGTCTTAAATTCATTTAATCGATTATTTTTTGGTGATTTAAATCCATTGCTAAAAGTAGGAGAAGAAATTAACGACTAACTCATTTTATTATATTTGTATTATCTTATCCAATTAGATAAAGCTTTCATTAAGATTTTCTAATTTTTATTATTCTAAATAAGCTTCATTTTCTATATTTCAATTTCAAGTTTCTTATGAATTTATGTAAATGCAAATTGTTGTAATTACTTTCTTATCTTGTTAAAAGTAGTGTCTAATTAATAGAAAAATTCTTTTTTATAGAGGGTTTGTCTTTATTCTTTAACTTTGAAATAGGATATATGGGAAGTTCTTGGAATTTAACGAACAGGTGATTTTGATCTTGAACGTATAATTTGATTAAAATTCATATATATTCATATAAATTTAGATTTCTCAACAAAATACCATCTAATTATTGTACTATTTCAATAATTCTAAATTATTGAATTCTTATGAAGCATTAATAAGGATAGTTGAATATAGATTATTATTTTGTTATAAAAACCATATTATTTATAATAACTTAATTAAACATAATAACAAATTAGATAAATATATCAATTTTAAATTAAGATTATGCATTTATTAGTGAAAAATGAAAATGAATTAATATATTATGGTATAATAATCAAGCAATAATCGATGATAATTATTTATCTAATATTTAACTTATTTATTATATAATTTATTTATTTTTTTGGAATATAAAAAAGAGTCAATTACCAATTTCTTGATTTTATTCTTATTATTATCCATAATTATTAACTTTATATAAATCAAATCCAAGTCAAAGTTATCATAATAAAGTTAATATTTAAGTATTTAAATTCCTTTTATTCTTTTTCAATTAATTAATACTTATATCTATCAATTATTGTTAAATATTAAAGATTACCTTAAGCAAACTAAAATTCTATTTAGTAAATCAATAAAATCTCAATTTTTTACAATCAGTTATGTCACATTATTATAATATAACAGTTTTAGTTATTTATAGATTTATAAATATAAATAAAGTATTCAGACTTAGATTTTTATTTGAGTGTAAATTGAAATTATTCACTTGAATATATGTAATAATATGTATTTATTGTTAATATAAATAAAAACATTGCAAAACACATTCATTTATTTAATTATTATTATTATTCTTATTGTTAATTCCAGCTTAATGCAAATCTTATATTATTTCCTTAATGTAATTCAGTTTTTTCATTAATATCTTGAAATGAATTTAGACTAGATTTTCTACCAAGCATAGTTGTATATATGCAATTTTTGTTTGAATTTTGAATCATTTTTTTTACAAATGAGACTTCTCCTCCTTCTACAAATGTTTCCTAATTTTAAATAACTCTATTATATTCTCTTTCCTCTTGGTCATCATAAAAAGGAGGATTGCATACTGTTACCATACCATCTTATAAGAATTAAAATAGATCTCCTACTTTAAATTCACATTCAATATGATTTAATTAGGCAATAGATTAAGCATGATTAATTGCTTATTCTGATGTATCTACTCCAATACCTTTCCAACCATATAATCGATATGCTAAGAAAATCAACACTCCTGAGAAACCTGTTCCAACATCATAGATTTTAATGATGGGAAATTTAGATTTATCAACTTATTCTTTAACCCATTCAATATAATTTAAGCGACATCCTAATGCAGGTATCATTTAAGTTAATGGAACAGTAAATTCACGGATTCCAAAATAATAATCCATAATAGATTTATTCAATTCATTAAGTGCATTTTGATTTTTATAATCAATAATGGTCTCACCTTTATTACTTATTTGAATGTATTTTCTAAATTGAGGGTAATGTTAAGCTAGAGTACGATTGTTGAATTTGTGTTTAAGTTTTTTAATTTACTTTTTTTAGATCATAGCGCAAAAATGAAGTAGTATTTGTATTTAAATATTAAATTAAGCAAAGAATGTAAGTTGTTAATGTGTCTAATAAACAAATCAAGAACTTTAACTTGGACACCATAGTAAGGAATATATGGTTATGTATTAGAATGCTGTATATGATACACACTTAAATTATGCAAAAACTAGATCAATAAATTGTAGTCATAATTAATTGGGATCAACAGATGGTTTCTCTTAATTTCAATGTCTATACAATTTAGATCTAAGTCATAATCGTATTAATTAGTTCTTCTAATTGACTTCATCTTTAGTTGAAATAAATTTGGCTCACAATTTATTGGGAAGTGTGTTTGATGATTTTTAGAAATCTTTAAAATCATAAGGTACTCGTTTATATGTAGGTTCATTCTTATCAAATTTGAAGAACCTAAAAATAATTGATCTTAGTTATAATAATATATCATAAATAAGTTCCAATATATTTGATGGTAACACTCAACTTCGTAAAATAAATATGAGTAATAATTAATTATAAGGTCCATTGTGGTGTTTTACAAAATTAGAAAATTTAGAGATGTAATATATATATTATAATAGAATTGATATAGGACATAATTAATTAAATATAAATGATTTAAAACCATTAGAGAAACTCAGATTAGAAAGTTTAAATCTTAGATTTAATCCATTAGAAAATATGGATAAATGTGAAGATAAACTAATTAAACTCTTACTTTACACAAGAAAGATAGAATTGTCATATACTTAATTGGAATAATAAATAATGATGAATTCTAAATAGAGTTCTAAATTGGATCACAGTATTAATAGCAATGATTCTATTCAATAATAAACAACTGATAGATCAACTATAAGTCGTTTAAGTAAAGTTAGTAATAGACTTACAAGACCTAAGACACCTCAAAACACTAATACAAATTAAATTAATAGAACTCCAGTTAAAGTTTAGAATTAATAAGAAGTAAAGAAATCAAAGGGTGAATTAAAAAAGAATATAAGTATAACTCCAAAGAAAAATAATGGAAATAAAACACCTAAATAATAAAGATAGGTATGTATGAAAACAGTAGATTAACATGATGAATAAATTAAACATAGAGATTCATATTAATAATAAAAATCAACAACTAAAATACCTGCTTTGAATTTACAAATGTTAAAAGTTACTCCATTTTAATTAAGTGAAATTGATTCTGAAAGAGAAGATTTTCCTATGTTATTTGAAGAAGATGATGAAAAATAATTACTTGAAGAATTGAAATTATTAGGTGAGACTATGAAATAGAAGAAACAACATGAAATTAGTATTGAAAGGCAAATTACAATGAATAAAAATATGATTTCATTAATGAAAATCATGATCAAAGGAAGTATCTATATTTATATATAAATAAGTTTATCTTTACAATGTAAATGAATATAATTAAGGATTCGATGATGTGATGACTGAATTGCATAAAGAATTAGAATCAAAAAATCCAGAATTCAAAGATATTAAACTTAAATTAATGAGATTCAACAAAGAACATTACGAATTAAATAAAATGTATTAAAGTTTAGAGTAATCTGAAAGAGTAGTTGATAATATCAAATAATAATTTATTTGAATTACTAATAATTATTGTTATTTCTGTAATCATCTCAATTACTATATTATTTTTTAAGATTTCTATATACTCATTTTTTTATATTTATCAAATTATCAATAATATAGTAATTTATTAGGGAATATAAAATTATATAAGATAACTCTTATAATTATCTTACTGTTTATGGTTTTACTCTAATTTAGATAATTATTTAAGAAGTTTGAATATTTCTAATTACTTAGATATCTATTTAATTCAATTATTAATTATTAACAAAATCGAATAGTATATCTATTATTCTTAATCCAAATTCACTTTGAATCTAAATAATAATATTTAATCTATTATTTATATTATTATTTATTAATGCATTAACATCAATCACAGCCATCATTCAATCCTAAACATTTATTTACAATGAAAAAGTATTTCAATGGATATGTGCAATAAAACAGATTTTTTCATAAAAAAACTGAAACCAAATCAGATAGTGGAAGTGAAGTTTTTAAAGAAATTTAGTAACTTCCTCAAATAGTATAAAGAATTGATAGAAGAATTGAGAATGTTAATTATAAATATAAAAGTGCTCCTATGATTGAAAAGAAGAAATAAAACTTACGTAAACTCTCTTTTCCAGTACTCAAATATTCTCCAAGTGAAAATAAAATGTAATTGCAAAAGATAAAAGACTTGATAGAATAACATACCTCACGAGTTATTGTTAAAGATGACATGCTTAAACATATGGTTGGTTATAGCAAAATTTCACAGATGATTATTTGATTATGAATGATAATACTCTAATCCACTGTTTTCTATTCCTTTCTTTTTCTTTATTATCTCTTATACAATTGACATTAAACAAATACTAATAAGGATATAAATCATTTTTATCCATTAAAAATAGGTCATTGAATATAATTTTATCTAAAAAATTTTTGGCTATTCCTCTCATAAATAGTAATCAATAAATTAATATAAATATTATTCTAAAGATAACGAATAATAAAAACTAAAGGTTCTTTTTATATATAGTACAAAGACATCAAGAATGTTACTTAATTTAATAAACATAATAATAATATTGAGAAAATAGAATTGATTGATTTTCAATATAGTTCTTAGAACTTAAATCATCAACTCACATGAAATATAGGATTGATTGAGAATTCATAAAAATTGATAAGTTAGTAACACAAAAAAAAAAAGATTTTCAATAATCCTAATGGCGTAATAATCAACTTAATAATTATATTTAGAATGAACTTGTTTAATGAATTATTAGCTGATATATAAATTAACAAAATTATCAACTTTTTAAGTAAACAGAAGCTTGTTATATTTATTTATCATTAATAATTATTTTATATTCATAATTATTTTATTAGCATCGGAAAGAGGAATTTTTAGTTTTTGAAATATAAAATTAAATTATTATATTTGAACATAATGTCCTAATAGAGATAGCTTAAATGAATAAAAATTGGAAAATTAAATTTTTGTAATTAAGATTTTGTCAAATAGAAACAAACTAATCATACTATTTATAATATTTATGAGATATGATAAATCAATTTTTACTTATATTTATTACTTTTTGCCTATCATTTAATATGATACAAGTATAATTGAATTCTGTTAAAAGTATTTACTTGATTAAAATTATTATATATATAATGTTTTCAGAAATAATACCTTCATTAATGGAATATTCTCAACATCTGGATCGTACCATTAAGGAATTACAACAATAAATCTTATAAATGGAAACTATAACGAATAAAACAAATTCACATAAAAGACCTCTTGAAATGAAATATTTATAACATAAATCTTCACTTCCATCAACTCTCCCTGATGTTAATAATGATATAGATAAAATTCTTTAAACAGCTGAATAATTTTTATCTGATCCCAACAAGACATAAATTGAACCTAAGAAATAAGAAAAGCAAGATTTTGAATAACCAAAAAGAAAATTAGAATCCATCAAGTAGTCAAATAACAAGAAGTAAATTCTGTCTCGTAAAGTGAGTCAAAAAAAGTTATCACCTTCTAAAGTATCAATGCATAAAAGATCTGGATCATTGTATAAATAAGAAGTGACACCAAAAGTTACTTAAGTTTAACCTAAATTTCCAATGTAATAAAGAGAATCAACTAAATCATTTAAGGATTAAAGCAGATTAATAAAATAATCACCAACTAAATCAATTCATGAGAAAAATTCAATTTTTATTGAAGATTAAAGTAAAGCTAAACCACCTATTCCTGTTGTTTAGCCAGTTAGAAAATAAGCATCATAACCATATTTATAATTATAACCCATTCCATAATAATAATAATAATAATAACAATAATAATAAAATTTGAATTCATCTTACTCATAACCATAAAACAATAACAAAATTGAGAACACCTAACAATAATAATAAAATGTATTGAAGAAATTTGATTTTAATGGTTACAAGGAATTGAGTAGATTGAAAAGAATGAAAGATGCCATTTTTGTTGAATATTAACAAAGTTATACATATTTTAGAGAAAAAGAATAAAAGTCTAGAGCTAGATTTCTAACTAAATTTCATCAACATATGAATGAAAGAAAGAAATTGCTATAATAATCTGCTTACGGAGATAAATAAACATTTTTTTTCCTTAGTGATTAAATCCATCCATAATACTTCTCATTTANGATTTTGTCAAATAGAAACAAACTAATCATACTATTTATAATATTTATGAGATATGATAAATCAATTTTTACTTATATTTATTACTTTTTGCCTATCATTTAATATGATACAAGTATAATTGAATTCTGTTAAAAGTATTTACTTGATTAAAATTATTATATATATAATGTTTTCAGAAATAATACCTTCATTAATGGAATATTCTCAACATCTGGATCGTACCATTAAGGAATTACAACAATAAATCTTATAAATGGAAACTATAACGAATAAAACAAATTCACATAAAAGACCTCTTGAAATGAAATATTTATAACATAAATCTTCACTTCCATCAACTCTCCCTGATGTTAATAATGATATAGATAAAATTCTTTAAACAGCTGAATAATTTTTATCTGATCCCAACAAGACATAAATTGAACCTAAGAAATAAGAAAAGCAAGATTTTGAATAACCAAAAAGAAAATTAGAATCCATCAAGTAGTCAAATAACAAGAAGTAAATTCTGTCTCGTAAAGTGAGTCAAAAAAAGTTATCACCTTCTAAAGTATCAATGCATAAAAGATCTGGATCATTGTATAAATAAGAAGTGACACCAAAAGTTACTTAAGTTTAACCTAAATTTCCAATGTAATAAAGAGAATCAACTAAATCATTTAAGGATTAAAGCAGATTAATAAAATAATCACCAACTAAATCAATTCATGAGAAAAATTCAATTTTTATTGAAGATTAAAGTAAAGCTAAACCACCTATTCCTGTTGTTTAGCCAGTTAGAAAATAAGCATCATAACCATATTTATAATTATAACCCATTCCATAATAATAATAATAATAATAACAATAATAATAAAATTTGAATTCATCTTACTCATAACCATAAAACAATAACAAAATTGAGAACACCTAACAATAATAATAAAATGTATTGAAGAAATTTGATTTTAATGGTTACAAGGAATTGAGTAGATTGAAAAGAATGAAAGATGCCATTTTTGTTGAATATTAACAAAGTTATACATATTTTAGAGAAAAAGAATAAAAGTCTAGAGCTAGATTTCTAACTAAATTTCATCAACATATGAATGAAAGAAAGAAATTGCTATAATAATCTGCTTACGGAGATAAATAAACATTTTTTTTCCTTAGTGATTAAATCCATCCATAATACTTCTCATTTATTGAAGAACAATTAACTATTGGATAGCCGAAAACTCTTTTAATCCTTAAATATTGCGAATAAGTCTAAAAAACTATTGATTCAATTGAAGTAAGTCTCTATTCTCTATTTTCAGTTTGATGACGAATTATTAAAGAATCTTAAAAGAGCCAATAAATAAAATATTTCTAAGATATCATTAACAGAATTAATTGAAGTTTTTAAATTATGGAGTCAAGTCTAAATTATTAGATAAAATTATCAATAGCTCACATAATTTATATAGCCCATACCAGAATTGACCTACGATTTGATATAGTGGATTTGTTTAAGACCTAAAATTATCAAGAAAGAAAAAGTCTAAATGTAATTAAGTCAAAAAGTTATTCGTTCTAATTAATTTGCATCATCTTAGGAAGAAGCTCTTGAAACAAATAAACTTATTATAAAAGAAGAGATCTTTCGATTTTTATGGGATATCATTTAAAAATTAGTATTCTCATAATAATAACTTGAAACTTCAATGACTTTATTCAAATCCATTCTCAAATTCCTCACTAAAAACAATTGCAGTATCTATGTGTATAAGAAATCAGATTTATTTATATGACATTAATATAAAATGCATAATTAATTACTAACTAATAGATCTAATATCAAATCTGATCGTATTTCCAAGATCTTATCAGCCTACACTGTTGAAAATGATAAGAATAACCAATAGAGTTTTAGAATGCTAAGTTAAAAAATCAAAAAGAAAGTACAAATTTTAGATATAAAAAGATAGGAAATCAAATAAATGATCATCAAACTCTATATCCTAAACAAGATATCAAACTGAATAAAATTGAAATCTCGAAGTTGTTTAATGAATATAAAAAGACTCAAATCTAAATCAGTGTTAAAGATTTACTCATCCATAAAAGTTAAATGCAAAAATCATTATCCAAAAAATCTAGAAATTCTAATCAACGCTAAAATGAAATCATTGAAAAATTGAATAAGACATAAAATGAAATCTACAAGAATTACATTGCAAAAAGAGATTCTAATGGATCAAAAACCTATAGAGACTCAAGTAATTTCAGCCTCTCTACTTAGGGGATTTGGATATCCGTATCAAGTTGAATAACAAAAGTACTTCAACCCAATAAGCCTTACTCTAAACATTTATCAATAAAAGTAATGAAAAAAAGTCATTTGAACCAGGAGATTCCCCAAATTTATGTAGTACACCATAACATACAATGCTACAATCTGTAATCTAAAATAGTCTACTTTTACGCTCAGGTAGCCAAGGAAATGTTGCTTGCACTTCTAAATTAAACACTAAATTATCAGAATCTAAACTTAATAAAATAAAAAACTATCTTGAATAAGCTAAAACTCATCGACCAATTACTGATTCTTATAAATTAAGTTAAGATATTAATCAAATTAAAAATACCAAACTAGTCTCAGTAGAAAGAAATAAGCTTCTATCTATCTTAAAAATAGCCCATAGAGCTAAAACTAAAATAGATCAATTTAATGAATATTTAAAATAATAAGAAAAAATTTCATCTGTAATATAGAGTTTAAAATTGAATGAATGTATTTATTCTGTTTTAAGTTAGTATCATATGAAAATAGTGTTGAATCAATCTTATCTTTAGAATGAATATTATATTTATATTTATTCTTTATCATAAATACCTAACTTTTATTAAAATTACCATAATAATTTATATTTTGAGACAATAAATTTAAATAAAACAGAAAAATATAATTATAATATAACATTGCAATATTATTTATATATATATTAAAACTTTAAAATTTTGAAATTATATCATTATAAAATAATTATGTTTTCAATAATAACCTGTATGTTTTGAAATAAAATTAAAACATTGAATACTATTAACAAAAATTATCATTAATTAGACAAATTTAATGTAATCAATTAATTTTCATACATCTTTCTAATTTTTATCTTTCATTTGGAAAAATAAATCAAGGTTTCCAACAATTTCTTAGTCATTAGACTAAGATTTAATCTTATTATGGAATATTGAAGATTTTCTTAAAAAATTTAAATTTGAAACTTATTGAAATAATAGAAAGTTATAATTATTTATTCTTAGTAGAAACTTTCTTTATTTAATATACCAATAATTAATTTTTAATGAATTTATTAAAGAATTAATGTTATAAAAATAAAACAAGTTCTTCCTATCAAGTTTTATATTCATAACATACTAATATCTTTGGCTATCAATTAGCCTTTATATGCGAAGAATCAAAATTATTTGGGTATACAGAGTAGGAAAATATTTGGCTTTAGGAATTTTAAATTAAGGAATCATTATTTAACAAAAATCAATACTATACATCCTTCAATTAAAAACTTGAAGGTCATAACTATGAAATCAATGTTTTAGAATATAATTCATCTCTTAAGCTATTAGTTTCTGCAAATTTTGAAGAAATGAAATTATGGTAAAAAGATAATTAAAAATAATGGAAGAATAAATAAACATTAATGATATCACTTACAAAAAGATTAATTATAATAAGCGATAAATTAAACTAAATTATTTATTCGCCTTGTAGAAAAATATCTGTATTATAAAACATAGATAAAGAAAATATTAAATTTTCTTAAATTTAATTAATAAAATTATAGGAAAATTTAATTAAATCATTTAATCTCAATGAATAATAGGATCTATTGTTTGTAGAGTAATATGATTTTGAAATTCTTATTTTAAGAGTTTAAGAATAAAAATGGCATAAAATACAGCTCCTAACAAATATAAAAGATTGTATATTTATTGGAGTAAAAAAGTTCTTCTTTAATTATTATTCGCAAGATATAGTAAATCAATAATATAAAGTTTTTGCACTTAATAAAAAAAATAACTAATTCGAAATAATTCATGAGAAAGAAATTGACTCTAATGAATAGACTTTGGATGAAACATCATTTTTTACAGCTTTTTAGACAACAAAATGTTGTAAAGTGTACCATTCATCATCCAAAGGTATTATCACTTATAGAAATACAATATAAAATTTTGAAAGGGTTTTGGCAGTATCATCAAAAGGATTGTTTATAGTAAGATTGAATTTTTAAGCAAGTTAAATAAATATATATATCAATACATAAAATACTTGATTTAAATTATTTCATATTCAATTAAATATAATTTATTTAAACTATAAATGTTGTTGTTATTTTCTGTTTGACTCTATGAATTGATTTTTTGTCATATTTCTAAATCTTACAAAAATATTTTTAAAATAAAAAAGGATCTATCAAATGATATTAAGTAAAATTATATCAATAAATTTAATTTATAAAATTAAATAATCTTCAATACATAATGCATAAAATTCTCTACTAAAATAAAATATTTTTAGACTTATTTAATTTTACTTGCCTTTAGAGAAAAAAAAAGCTTGAAATTCTAGTTAGATTTTATCTTCAATTTTTATTCAGATAAATATTCTGGTAATCAATTAAATGTATTCATCTCCACCTCCAATAAATCTTTATGTTAATATTTAATTTTTTACTAATTTAATTCCATTATTTTTGAAATTGATATATTATTTTTTGGTGGCATTTTTAGAAATTTGATAAGACTCAAAAAAATATACTTCCATTATTCTCAAATTATCAGTTGAGGTGCAAATTAAATTATTTTCAAAGAAATATCTAATAAACCATCATTTCTCCTACCAAAGTTTGTAAAGGGTTTAGTTATATTCCTAAATCTATATCAACTTCACCAAAGGTAAAAGGATTATTGTAATATAAAATAGGATACTCTTTTTCTCTTTTTCTCTTTTATTTTTCTACTAAAAATGATTTAAACTTATTTATAAGTTTATTAAAGATTTCCACAATAAATTTAAATTCAAACTATAAATACTCTATTCCTTAACTTGCCATCATCAATTATTTAGTATTATGAAATTTATTAAATAGTAGAATAATCTCATCTATTACCTTCTTTGCTATACTTATTATTAATTTTATAGGTTATATCTATTACTACAAGAGCATGTACTTACTATAATTAATAATTATTTAAATCAACAATCATAAATAATAATTTCAAAATAGATTTGAGTATGGATTACTATATATATTTAAGAGAATTTTTTGTTTTTCAAATTGATTTTTCAATAATTAATTCATGGTAAACAGAATACAAAACTTTTTTTTAATTATAAAAATATTAAATTAAGATATGGGAACTTGCTTTTGACGTTCATTTTGTACTTTTAGATTGTGGTAAAACAAATATCTTAATTCGTGTAAATTTCTTTTTTTAAATTATTATAAATAATCAAACTATTAAAAAAGAAGAAATTTTTTATTATTGATATTCAACTCTAAAATAGATTATTAGTATAAAATTAAAATTGAATTTTATTGATATCTAAATAAAAAAAGACTATCAAATTCTTGTGAATTCTTCAAATATTTCTTCTAAACTATTATGCATTACAAAAAAATGCATTAAATGATAGACAGAATTCAGTTCCATATTTTTTATACTGGATGCTATCAATCTATAAATAATGATTCTAGCAAAAATTGTAAGTGGCTCTATAAGAATTTGTGATATAAAACTGTTCCCTAAAACTATTATGGCAACTTAATATTATTCTTATTAAATTTATATTCTACAATAGTATAATAAATTACTTTAATATATAAAAAATAAGTAAGACAAGATTTGGCATCATTAATAAAATTATTAGAATAAAATTACTAATATAAGCGGCTATTCTTCTGAATCTATAAATAGCTTCAATTATCTTATAAAATATTCTTAATATCAATATTACGATAGGGTTTGCAATTATAAAAAGGCAAATAAATAGAATTTAATTAATTGAATTATAACATTCAAGAATTGATAAAGATAATAACAAATTGAATTAAGAGAGTAATTCTAAAATTCTATAACTAAGTTTAATATCTTAGTCACTGTAATAAAATAATGAAACTGTTTAATGGATTACTTTAAATTTTTCTTTGAATATTAAAGAATTTCCCTTATAAATAAGGGACGTTTTATTTTTATGGATTGATGGACTCAAGTTACTTTATTGAGTTATCATTTTTTGTTCAATTCTACAATCTTTTATTAAATAAAATATATAGATTGTAAATTGTAAAAGTGTCAATGAACCAGTACAAATTACTAAGACCAAAAATTATTCTAATAAGAAAAAATTATCAGTTTCCAATTCTTATTATTAAGTATTGTTTACAATAACTTTACTAATATTAGTAGAGGTTGTAAGAAATATATCTCCAAATTTATTACATTCGCAACTTTGCTCCATTGTTTCATTATTTAATATCCTATTTAGATTGCACTTATGCAACTTTCCAGAAATTGTTCTTATAACACACTACATCTCATATACTTTTAATATTTAAGTATCATTTGCACATATTTAATAGTTTCCAAACTTTGTACTGTATTTAGAAGGTAATGATATTATTTTCCTGAGTTTCTAAAAATAAAAGCGAATGAGAATAGAAAAGATATTTTGTTTTAGGTTTACTTATCATCTGATTTTAAATTTACAATTTTTATATGCCAAAATTTTAAAGAAATCTGCTTAATTAATTGATTGGATCATAAATAGATTGAAATCTAATAAGTAAAATATAATAGATATGCTAAGATAAATATAGTAAAATAAGCAAAAATGATATTTATTTTGACTATTAAATAATTTGATGTTTATTAATTTGTTATTTATAATGTAATTGCTAATGTTAAATCAAGAAAACTTAATTAAATTGTTTTTAATAAATTGGCTATGAAACATTCATCAAATTAAACACAATTTTTATAAATAGATTTTAAAATATTAGGTATTTTTATTTATTATTATTATTATTATTATTATTATTATTATTATTATTATTATTATTATTATTATTATTATTATTATTATTATTGATTATTTAGTTAAAAAAATGAATTTTATAATTTATTTATAACAAATGAAGTAGTTGATTTTATATCCCAAATTTCATCACTTACTGAATTTTAGTATTCATCCCTAGGTCAATCCTCCTACTTCTAAAATATAAATTCTGTAATCTCCAAATGGATGCAAATTATTTAGCTATTGTACAACAACTAAATCTGATTTATTTTTTAATTCATCACCTGTTCATTTAAATTTAGATATTATAAAAATCTTCTTCTATAAAAAAAGTATAAATATTTATTTAAAACTTTTTAATATAATCTGTAAATAGTAAATCTTTCTACATTTAGCACAATCATTCAATTTAGCATAGTTTGATATTTAGCTTCTCTTTTTTAAATATCTCTAATGATTAATATTATTAATATCAGATCATCCTTAATCAATAACCAGTATCAAAGAGTTTTCTGTTAACTTGGTGATCGATTCAATTTCATAAGATTTCCAAAATTAATTCTTCGAAATTGAACTCCTTTTATGAATTTGTATTTTTTAATAAGATTTATTTTCTTAAATATAACTATTACAATTACAATTAGGAGATATTTGGGATTAAGGAGATTGAATTTGAAATAAATCAAGCCATTTGCATCACCAAATGGATAATATTAAAAGCACCATGATAAATGCATAATAATAATTCCAATCAATAAGTAAATTAATTTCATTGCAAATAAGTTTTAATAGGACCTTATACTTAAATTTTCAACAGAGTATTTAAGTTTTTTATGTGGTATTTCTGATTTTTCATAAGGATTTTAACCAGCTGATAGCAATAATTCAAAATGGTTGTGTATATTTTTGAAATTTCTAAGAAAAAATTCAATAAAGGGCTCCAGAGTTGACTGGTAGTAGCAAACATAGCCAAAAATGAAAATATTGTAACTATCTATTAAAGCTACCTTGTGTTTTTTGTTCATGACCTTACATAAGAATTTTTAGGCTTAGAAGTAACATGATATAATTTTGATATGCCAAAAATACATAGAAATATGGTTTATTTTTTTGCAAAAATGTTTATGATATTCTAAAATTTAATACATAAACTTTAAAGTATATTTAAAATTTTTATTCAATTCTAAAAATTTAAATTCTTTAATTTATAAATTATTCTAAATGAGATTTTTAATTTGATTGGCTGGAAAAGATTTGTTATTAATTTAATTTTTGATATTGCAGTAAAATGAATAAAAACAAAAATAAATAATTCATAATGATTTCTGATTTTCAGAAAATTTAGTCACATAATTTATCGAATCTATGTGTTATGGATTGGTCTTTGGTGGATATTATTTGTTTGCAATTCACTCTTCAAACTTAAAGTATAATATTTTCTAAATGTTGCTATTTAAGAATTTATAAGCTTAAAATTAAAATGTATTAATAGAATAAATTGTTAAAGATCAGCAGTAGGGAATGCTCTTTAAAATATCGAAGTAGAGATTCAATACTTATTATAATTACATCGAAGAAATTGAGCTATTATAAAAAAAGTTATATTAAATAGAATATAATAATAAAAATGATAATTTTTATGTTCTATTCATTTTTGTTGACTCGATACCATATCTTTAAATGTGAGGCTCCCACTTACTCTGCAATAATGTTCTAGGGGCTAATTTCCAACTCCAGAAGGTTTTTTTACAAATTGTATAAACAGTTATATTGTAGTTCCATTGTTGATTGGATAAACTATCATAAGAAATGGGGAACATAAATCTAAAAAATATTTTTTTGATCATCCCCTATGGTAAACGTCTGTTTTCCATCCTTAGTCACACTTTCATTTTGACCACCATAATTTATTTATCTTGGGGTAGGTTTAAGTCAAAGGAAACTAAAAATGTTTTAGAATAAAGGTACTCTATAAAAAAAATGAACGATATTAAGTGTAAGGGAAAACTTTAAAAAGATAAACAATTAAATATTTTAAATTAGAATTTTAGATCAGTGAACAATGATGCTTACAAAGAATTTAAAAAGGAATAGTACCATATGATATATTTATAAGATAAAAGAAAATAAATGAAATCCCTACTTTAATTCACTTCTAAAAATTTTTAAAAGCTGAAAGGCAAGGAGTAGTGGCTATTGGATGTAATAAATAGATTAAATTAGTCTGAAATAGATGAAAAAATTCTCCTATTTCATAAAATAAAGATGCTTATTCATAATAATGATATTGACTATGCTAAAATAGTTTTAACTCGCTTTATGGAATTGAAAGAAAAAATATAATTAAATATAATAAAGTGAAGTCTTATATTGAAATAAAATGTTTGCAAAAGATCAGCATAAAATAAATTGAGTTGAACTTTTAAATAAAAGATGAAGAAGACAGAAAAATAATTAGTTGTGGAGGAAAAATTAAGAATTTTAGAAAGAAAATGGAAAGATTTATGGAAAAAATTGCATTTATGAATTATTTGAGAAATTAAAAGCTTAAAATAAATGAAGATTTATGATTTTAATATATATGTGTTTATAGTAAATTGATAATATTAGAAGAGAAATAACTTGAAAAAAATTATAATAATATGATATTTCAAATTGTTTATTAAATATAATATTTTGCTTATTTTATAAATATTTTTCAATTCAATTAGAATAATATTATTTTAAAAATAAAAAAGTGAAAAAACCACTAGAAAAAGTTGTTGGAAAATAATTTTAGACAAAATATATAAAAGAAGTTTTATCTTTAAAGAAATAGATAAGCACATTAAAATTATATTACAATATATTGTTTTCTAATCAGAATTATAAAATTCGGAATAAAAGAAAGATGTATAATTTCAGTATTTATATGTTATCACATACCATCTGCTTTTAATGCATTTCATAATTTTAAACTTAAATATCATACCAAAAATTAGTTTAGAAGAGAATTAAGTCACAACTCAGATCACTGTAAAAGCAATCTATATTTTTCTTATTTATTTGTATAAGTAATTGCTTTATGATAATTAGGTTGGCATACACATTATAAGATAATTGATTCCTAGTTGCTTTTATTGAAAAGAAAATATCCATTTATGCATTCTTAATTAAAATCAAATTAAATAATTCTATATTTATTTCATATAATCTATTTATGATTAAATCGAGTCTTGGTTGTCTTATAAGTTATTTAAGCTAAATGAATTTCTTTCCTTTTATAAGTTACAGGTCCCAGTTTCAGTTGATATGTTTTTCCTTAAAGATATTTTATTTAAGCTATACTATCTTTTTATTAAAAAAAATAATAAAAGTTAGTACTCTAAAGAAAAATTAAACATAACTTATTTGAGGATGAAATTTAATTTCCCAATACCTATGTACCTTCCAAGTTGTAATTGATTAAAAATTTATTAATTTAAATATGAGTTCTTCATATTTAATGGGTAATGTAATGATTCTTTTCAAAATCTTCAATTCTATGTTTAAGAAAAGTTTTCTACATTAATTCATTTTTCTAAGCTTTGTGTTTATTTTAACATAAATTTTCAATAAAAATATTTGTAGATATCAAAAAATTTTACACAATTTTCTAAGGAAGAATGATAATTTATGAATAATATATTTTTCAAAAATTTATCTTATTTTAAATATAACTTGAATCCTAAAATTCCTTTGGTCAGTTGACTTCCATAATTATTAAAATAAGGAAAAAAGCTCCTTTATACATTTAATTTATTATTATTACTTTTTATTTATGACAACATACATAATTATTAATAAATATTATTGTTACAATCAATTTTCTGTTTTAATTAAATTGTGCTCTTCTTTTTCTCAAAATCTCACATTAAGGGGTTATCATGCAAAGTTCTCGTTATTAATTTGAAATGGATGGATGAGATGATATTTGAATATTTATTTCATTTTCATTTTTTATAACCTTCATCAATTCTAAATGGCTATGAATTTAGTAATTAAGTTCCAGAATAATTCGATATTAGTAACTCAATCTACTTATTAAAGGCTAACTGCTTGATTTTTATGGAAATTTATGTCATTATTTATAAATTATTTAATTATAAAGGTTTATAGTTTAATCAAAATTTGATTCATTATCTATTACTAAACTTGATAATTACTTCTATAAATAAACTTATGAATAAATAATAATTGCTGACTATTTATAAAAAATAGGCTAAATTGATAATTCAGAAGTAGATTCTCTCTACCCTTAATATTTGTATTCTTATATTTATAATTATTATAATTGCAGTATTAATGTTATTACATCACGTAATTTTTTATATGTTATAACTTTTTATAAGATCTCTTTGTTTTTGTTTTAAATGAAAATGAATTATCTTATTAAAAATTTATTTAAGAAACGTCCACCTTATAATTTTTGAATTTTATATAATTAATTAAATGTAAATAAACATTGTTAATTATCAATAAAAGAATACGTCAATTAAAAAAATTAATAATTATTTCCTATATTACGATTAATTAGAGACAATGACATCATGCACATAATCTTTAAATAGTAATAAGATATTTTATATGAGATATTCAATATTTATAATTCAATGCTTATAATGTTTTTGTTGATGATGTCATGTGCACTAGCTCAATGGAAACTTATCGATTTCAGCTTATCAAATCAAACTCTAACGTTAAATGAAGATGGATGGAAATATAATAATGTTGAAATAGGAACTTGCAATACTAATGGAGAATAATAAATAGTCCTTGATAATTCTAATGATTTAATTTTGAAGTCCATTCCAATTTAAGTTTAGAAAGTCTAAGTTATTTTCGATATATTATTTGATTTTCCTGTTTTAGATTCTTCATTATCAACTGTTTCTGTTAATGTTATTTAGAATGATGGAATATCTGATAAATCAACACTACTAATGAAAATAGAAAAATAAGGAAACTAATTACTAAAACAGAGCAGAATTTGTAGAAATGATGTCTTAGAATATCCATTTGAATTTTAAAAAATTGTTACTACAAAATTAGCAGTTTCTCAAAAAAATTTTTCAATATCTGTTCAATTTACACCTTTTTCAAATGGTAATAAAATAAGAATTAGAAACTTTTATGTATATGGATTTTTTTGCAGTTCTTTCTGTAAGACATGTTCTGAGAATGATCCATATACTTGCACTAGTTGCTTTGACATAGATACTACAACTAATAATTGTGTTTGCCCTATCATTAGTACAAATTATTATTATTTTGCAAATTACTATTAGGAGGGATTTGGTTGCATTAAAGAATGCTCAAGAGATCATTACTTAGCTGATTAGAATATGATCTGCTAAAAAGATCTTAGAGTTTCTTCTAAATTCAATTTTATGAATCCTTTACAAAGCTTATCTAACATTCCAGAAATTCCTTAATCATCTTTAAGCATTTAAGCTTTTTCCTAATATTGTTTTAACTCTACCAATAATAGAAATATAGCTGGACCCTTTGGGTCATAAACTGTTTTATTGCCATTAGGTACTTTTAATGTACTTTCATATATTCGACTAAGAATTACTGTTTTTATGCTTAATTTTCATATTAATTCATTATTTGAGATATATCTAGATGACTCTTTAGAATTTTCAATACTTCTTGATATTGATAATTCTTTTATTTATACAAATTATTGTATATTTAATGATATTGATTTTGAGAATATAGATAGGTGTTCCCTACTATATGGAGATTAATATTCAAGATTTGAATTAATAATGTATCCAAAAACAAATAATCCAGTTTTATAATTTAAAGGTACAATGATAACATCTAGTTAATGGGGATTTAGTAATATAACCATTGATTATGGAGTTTGTTAATTAAATTGCTAAGTTTGTTTGGATGAAAATACATGTTAAGTTTGTAATTAAGGATATTTTATTTTGGGCAATGAATGTGTAAATAAATGTCCAATATATTCAAATGATTGTATAGATTATGTAGATGAAATACCATGTAATTAAATAATTTAATATAATAGTTTCATAATATCTAGTAAAAGCATTTTATGATACCAATATGAAATTTGATGATATATAATCTCATTTCGATTCAGTTCTTGATTATGGAAATAATTTCTTAACTGGCTAAAGATTCTCTATGATATAAGATAAATTTGTTATGGGAGGTCTTTTAGTATGGAATAATGCCAAATACACTAAGTTATATACAATTACGATTCCTCATTATGCCATATCTATTAGATTTAATATTACATTTGGAGATGATTTCGATGGAGTATTCAACTATTATTTAGATTCTATTTAATAACAGACTATTGTTAGATTAAAATCAAGTAATGATATAAATTTAATTGGTAAGGAAAGTAGAGAAAGTGTAATGTTTATTTATTAATATTACTAACACACAATGACTCAATTCAAGATTGAATTTGAATGTGTCTCAGAATAAGATTTAAGAGATGGATTTTGTGCAATATCAGAATATTTCATAGTAATTCATTAATGTGTAACTGGATGTTCAGCTTGTACTAGTCTTGATGATTGTACTTTAAGCAGCAATCCTTAAGTTTGTTATTTACCTAGATTTTGGAATTATGATACTGCTACATCAAATTATATATGTTCTGATTGCACTTTGAATTATTGTAAGTAATGTGCAACTGCAACTTAATGTAAAATTTGTTTAGATAGATTCTCACTAAAACGTGGATAATGTATGTGTGATGAAACTCAATACAGAACTATAATTTCATCTATGTGTGTTTGTAAAGCTGGTTATTACGAGGATTAAATTACAAAAACTTGTTAGCCAATATGTGGAGATGATCTTATAGTGGAATTGGAAGAATGCGATGATGGTAATTTATATCCTTTTGATGGATGTAATCAGTGTAAATATGAGTGCCAAATGGAATGCACTTTATGTATTAAAGGAATATGCTAATTATGTTAAGAAGGATATATAAATATTTTAATGTAATGTTATCCAGAATGCTTATTTAATGAAACATAAATATATCCATGTTTTGATATACAACATAATGAAATATTAGAATAATAATAATAAGTATCATTAATCATTTCATAATCAATTTGTGGAGATTATTTGGTTGATCCATTCTCTGAATAATGTGAAGATGGAAATGTATTACCATTTGATGGTTGTTATATTTGTTAGTATTCTTGTCCTGATGAGTGTTAAACTTGTGCATTAGGTTTATGTTTAGAATGTAAGTAATTCTGGAGTTTAGTTGATGGTTAATGTGTTTCTGTTTGTGGAAATGGATATGTGTAATAGAATGAATAATGTGATAATGGATAATTAGATATCTAATTGAATGGATGTTACAATTGTGAATGTGTTAAAGGATATATTATGATAGATAAGTAATGTTAGAGTATTTGTGGAGATGGATACACAACAATCGATGAAGAATGTGATGATGCTAATAAAATTTAATATGATGGATGTAATCTTTGTATTTTAGAATGTTTAAATTGTAATATTTGTATAAAGGGGTAATGTTAATAATGCTAGGATGGTTATTACAAAGATGATGATCAAATATGTTAGGATACTTAATGTGGAGATAATATTAAAGTTGGTTAAGAATAATGCGATGATGGTAATCTTAATGAATTAGATGGATGTTATTAATGTCAATGTGAATCTGGTTGGAAAGCTAATTTTAGTAAATTATGTTAATCTATTTGCGGGGATGGTCTTCTTGTGAAAGGAGAATAATGTGATGATGGCAATAACATTCAATTTGATGGATGCTATTTATGTAAATTTGATTGTAATGTTTAATGTGCAGAATGTCAATTAGGAGTTTGTAAATCTTGTAATTATGGTTACAATTTAATCAATAACAATTGTGTAAATACTTGTGGAGATGGAATTTTAGATATTCTTAAAGAAGAATGTGATGATTAAAATCTAATTTCTAGAGATGGATGTACGAATTGTTAATTAGAAATAGGATATATTTGTTTTCATGATAATCTTATCTTTAATCATTGTGAATAATGCAAAGATTTTAATTGTTAAAATTGTGTAATTATTGATGGTTTATAATAATGTAAATAATGTCAAACAGGTTATTTTGTTGATAAATACTATTCTTGTTCTATTTGTGATAAAATCTGTATTGATTGTATTAATTCCTCGAAGAATTGTATTAATTACAATTACAATTACTATCAAGTCAAATAATGTAATTCAACATTAGGATTCTATTATGATTATTAACTTAGAGATTGTATCTCTTAATGTGGAGATGGAATCATTTCAGGATCTGAGAATTGTGATGATCGTAATCTTGATGATTTTGATGGATGCAATAGTAAATGCTAAATAGAACTTGGATACTTATTTGATCGAAATAATAATTAATTGATTATTGAACCAAATGTAGAGGTTCAATTCTAATCTTCTAATAATAATTAGTATTCAATTATTGCTGATACATAATAACAAGCAATAAATTGTTCAGGAACAACTCTTCATATTGATAGATTTAATTCTACTGATTACAATTATACTATTATCGAATCAGATCTTAAATGCGATCTAGATATTAAATATTTCTAAAATGTTGAATCCTTTAATGTTATTCATATTATTATTAAATATAAAGGGTAATATAAAAAAAGAATGTTAGATGAGGAATCAGTTAAAGAAGTTACAATAATTCCTTAGAGATAGGTTTATGTAAGTGAAGAATAAAAAGAATAAGGAGAAAAAATGGCTTAAACATCAAAGACAGTTTCATAATCTTTACTTGTTTTAGGACCACTTGCTATGTTAATTGGAGGATTTAAATTTGTTTGGGCAATTTTAGATATTTTGAGTTGGATGAACAATTTTTATTTCTTGAATGTCACATATCCTGAAAATGTTAGATAAATATTTATATAAGCTTAATGGGACAATATCTTAGAATTTCCATAAGTCAATACATTTAATAATTATAATGATCCTTATTATTTCTAATCACCTATCAAATTTTATGAAAAGGGAATAGATCCTTTATTTTTTAATAATATTCAAACTATTCTTATATTTTTATTATAAGTCATTGGTACTAAAATACTTTGTAAATCAATTAGAAGGATCTTAGAGTATTGTTATAAAACATCAAAATCAACTACTTCATTGGATATAAATAAATTATAAAATTCATTTTTTTAACTAAATAATCAATAATAATAATAGTAATGTATAATATATTAATAATAAGATATAGATTAATAATAATAATAAGATATAGATTAATAATAATAATAATAATAATAATAATAATAATAATAATAATAATAATAATAATAATAATAATAATAAAAATAAATAAAGATACCTAATATTTTAAAATCTATTTATAAAAATTGTGTTTAATTTGATGAATGTTTCATAGCCAATTTATTAAAAACAATTTAATTAAGTTTTCTTGATTTAACATTAGCAATTATATTATAAATAACAAATTAATAAACATCAAATTATTTAATAGTCAAATTAAATATCATTTTTGCTTATTTTACTATATTTATCTTAGGATATCTATTATATTTTACTTATTAGATTTCAATTACTCATCAAAATAAATTGAATAATAAATATTTTAATGATAGATATAGTTGTTTTTATGAATAACTTAAGACTGATTAAAGAATGGCTATGAGTTATTCATTTATTAATTTAGTAAGAAAAACAATCTTTATTATATCAACAGTACTCTTTTATTCTGTACCAATATATTAAACAACAATATGTTTCTTATCTTGTGTATTGAATATATTCTTATTACTATTATAAAATCCATTTGAAAGTAAAGAATAATATTTTTTAAATCTAATACCTGATCTTAGTGTTTTAATTGTTGTAGGAATAAGCATTATTTTAGCATTTCAAGATAATTTTATATTATTTAGTGATGAATTAATTTATTGGTTAGGATGGGTGATTGGTGGATGTATATATGCATCGATTGGATTGTAACTACTCTTTTTAATAAAAGAACTTTTGTTAAAGGTTATTGATTAAATAAAAAATGTAATAGACTACTTAAGGAAAAAATGAATTATATAATAATAATTACTTTTAATACAAAATAAACTATAATATGATTTTTATTAAATTTCATGTTTGTTTTGGCGGGCTATACTAAAACTGTGCATTCTTTTTATATCTAAAGAAAGCTGATAAAGAAATACTTTGACTAAACTCTGATTTAAAGATTAGATCACCTAGAATTAATGTAATTTAATTTCAATAACATTTATAAGATTATACATGTTATATAAATGACATGTATAATCTTAAATGTATTATATTTTAATGAGGAAACTAATTCTGGTTCACTATAGTATATGCATATTGACATCAAAATTATATTTTTTTGTAAATAGTTGATTGTATGATCATTTAATTTATTTTATTGATTTTGAATAATTTAATCTATAAAGGATCTAATACCAGCTCAAGATAGACTATGATTTGGCTGATGATAATCGTATAATTTACTTTTTGAAGATATAAATGATGAATTCCGTGAATTGGTGGGTGAGTTTTACACTTTTCAAAAATATTAATAGTTATTAATAAAATTTAAAACATATATTAATTATTATTTCATATATCTTAATAAAAAATATAGATTGACAAGAAATGTTGATTCGACTAATGTTGATATTAAAATTAAGACAAAAAATGGATCATCTTAAGAGAAGGGTTCTGAATTTATATATTTTAATTGATTTGGCTAATTTCATATTGTTACACTGCATAAAATTAATATCACTATGCTTTTGGGGTGTATTATATCAATAAGAATGTGAATTAATATTGAATAAAACTTATTCAAATTTAAGGAATTTGATTTATATAGGATTAAAACACCAAACGCCCATTTTATAATTTAAATTAAGATTTATATAAAGTTATGCTATAAAAATAAAATATGAATATGATGTTAATTAGATTGATATTCATCTAAGCAGTAGTTGGATGGAGAGGGTACTAATAATGGACTAATTAATTTGGATAAGTCTACGAATTTTGTCCTGAATTGCATATATACATGCCTAGTATGCATCCACATTATTGTGTTTGTAAGTTTTAGTGTTATTCATAGCTTTTGCTTCTATTTGTTAAGGTGTTACGGATGTAGTAGTTAAAACTGTAACAAATGGAACTTCATATATATGCCATCCCAGATTCTAACCATGGGGAGCAGGAACTCTAACATAAGACGATACTCTTGTTCATTGTGGATATGAATAAGGCATTGTTTTAGTAATGGAAATGCTATCAGATGGACGATATAAATTTTATTGTAAATGTAGGAAAAATCGATTAATAGGTTAGAATTTACAGATGTGTAACATGAAAAATGTTTAGTAACTGCTCTTCAGCAAAATATGTATAGATGCCAATATTGTAAACCTCCATTCTTTGGAGATGGATCTGATTGTGATAGTATTAGAGGTGGCATTGATTTAAGATTTACATATCCTGTTAGATGTAATTAAAATAATTATTAAAGACTGTAAGGGATAATGTATAGAATGTGATGAAAATAAAGTCTGTAGTAAATGTAATGATGGGTCAGTAAAAAGAGATGAATCTGATGATGCTTGTGATAGAAGTATTTCATGCATCTTAAATAAATAGACTGTTAAGGTTTTACTAGTTGTGATATTGATAAAAATGGTATGTATATTTTTAGTGGTCCTTGCATCAAATAATATTATTTGGATAAAAAGGGGTAATGTTAAGGAATGAGTAATTTTTTCAAATTTTAATTTGATAGAATACAATAATTGTGAAACTGGTTAGGAATTTATAATACGTGGTTATTCTTGTGATACTTGCATGAAAGGATATGTTAGAGAAATATTACCTCCTAATGAATACAACCATTATATTTGCTCATAAAATGATTGGAATTGTGGCCCTTCAAGATAATAACCAAGACCTAATTCTATACTTACAGACTGCACTTAATGTGATCCAGGATATTTTTAAAAATAGAATTTTGATAAATGTTTAAGTAATAAATGATTTATTAAATTTTATAGATGCTTAAAGTTTTTAACAAAACTGTAATCTTTTAGACTCGTCAGGTATTTTATGTGTATCTTGCATGCTGTAGTATGCATTATAACCTGATGGAACATGCCTACCTTTTGAGTGTGATTTTCAGTGTATCACTTGTTTGGATATAAACCCAAGTTTTTGTACTACTTGTGATATCAGTAAAAATAGAATACTTGATAATTATGGTAATTGCAAATGCATACCAAAAAGTGGTTGGAAAGAGGGATATTGCCCATTTTGTACAGATGGATATTGTTAGGAATGTGAATAATCGGATTTTTATTCATGTATTTCATGTAAATCTGGGTCTAATAGAATACTTCAGAATAAATAATGCATTTGTAAGCCAGGCACATATGATCCTGGAAATGAAGATTAGATATGCCTTGGTAAATCTTTTTATAATATTTTATTTTAGCCTGTGATTATTCTTGTCTTTCTTGTTTTGGTCCATCAAATTAAGAATGTATTGAATGTTTAGATGAAAGTATTTCCAATAGAATACAAATTGGTGATTCTTGTCCATGTCAAAATGGATATGCTGATTACAAAATTAAAGAATCTTACTGTGGAAGTTTTAATTATAATTTAATTTAGAATGCCATCCAAGATGTAATACGTGTTTCTAAGCAGCTGACTAAACTACAAACTAATATTGTTTAACATGTAAACCTGGATAAAATCGTGTTGTATAAGATAATTTCAATTGTGATTGCAAAGAGAATTATAGTGATTTGGATGGAACTACAGAAATTTGCGCAAGTATTTTTATAAATTCTATTTAGGGTGTTATTATACTTGTGGAAATTGTAGCGAGTATGGACCCACTTATTGTACATTTTGCTTAGAGAGCTCTAATAGATACTTAACTTCCTCAGGAGAATGTATATGTAAAACTTCATATTTTGATGATGAAACAGATAATATAGAATGTTCAAGTAATAATAAATAAAATATAAATAATAGAATGCCATTACTCTTGTATATTATGTGCAAACAGTATTTAGAAAGATGCATGTGAACTGTGTCCTTAAACTAGAAAACCTGCGAATATATAAGGTAGTGAATTTGAATGCATTTGTTCATCTTCAAATTTTTTTGATGATGGATTTTCACAAGAATGTCTATAATGTGATTATACTTGTTAAACTTGCAATGGTCCTCTTTCTTCTAATTGTCTAACATGTGATCCAACCTATAGATAACTAGACTTATCATCATGTGTTTGCCCGACTAGATATTATGATATTGGATAATTATAATGTGAAAGTAATTAAGAATTAAATATCAATAGAATGTCACTATTCTTGTCATTAATGTTTCGATAATACTGTAGAAGGTTGTATTGCTTGTTCTTTAGAACTTAATATTCGAGTATTAAAAGGTAATATTTGTAACTGTGCTGATGGATTTTATGAGGAGTCAGGAATAGCTTTGTGCAAAAGTAATTATTCTAATTATTAATAATTTATTAGAATGCTCATATAAATGTTAGACATGTGAAACTCAATCAGAATAATGTTTAAGTTGTCCGTTAAATTCTTTACGTGTCCTTGATCCTATAAAGGGTTGTTATTGTTTAGGAGAATATTACGAAAAAGAAAATGAAATAGCTTGTTAAAGTAAGATTTAAATATCAATAAAGAATGTCATTTCAAATGCAAATCCTGTAATGGTTAGAATGAAAATAATTGTCTCTCTTGTGATTCTGTTGCAAATAGAGAATTAGAAGTGAATGAATGCAAATGCTAAATACATTACTTTGAAATGGAAGTTTAGGAATGCACTGGTAATTATTAGATATAATAGTAGTTTGCAGCGCATTCTGTTATGAATGTATTAATAATTTTGAAAATTGTACATCATGCAATAATGATAGATTTTTGGTTGGAAGTACATGCAAATGTATTACTAAATTTAATGGAGCTGCAATAAGTACATTTGATTATAATGGAATGGTTAAATGTTAAAGTATATTATTAAATTATCATAAGATTGTCATTATTCATGTGGAACATGTGGAGGAATAGAAGAAGTAGATTGCATTAATTGTATAGATACAGATCACAGATATTAAGTAGGAAATACTTGTGTTTGTAATGAAGGATATTATGATGCAGGATTGCCTGTTTGTGAAAGTAATAATAGGTTTTTATAAATAGAATGCAGTTATAAATGTAAAGGATGCCAAAAACAATCTGAAAGATGTATTTCTTGTAAGGATAATACCTTTAGATAATTTGTTTCAGGTTTTAATAGATGCCAATGTATCTAAAGATATTATGATGATGGATAAAATAGAAGTTTGTTAAAGTATTTATAGTTTTTACTATTATTAAGAATGTCATTATTCATGTCTGAGATGTAATGATATAGAAACTAAATGTGAATTATGTTCAATTGAATCAAATAGAATTTATAATGATCAACTTTTTACTTGTGATTGTAATATTGGATATTATGATATTGGAATTGAAAATTGTTAAAAATGTCACTATTCTTGTTTAAGTTGTAATTCTGGAGATGTTAATTCTTGTATTTCATGTGTACCTATGAATAATTCAAATAGAGTACTATATAATAATACTTGTAAATGTTTATTTGGATATTTTGATGATGGTTAATCAATATCATGCAAAAAATGTGATATTTAATGTTTAAGTTGTGTTTAACAATCTTATTAATGCTTATCATGTCCATAAACTAGAAAAATAGAAACCAACTGTAAATGTTAATAAGGTTATTATGATGTGGGTCTATAACTTTGTTTAAAATGTAATTCTATTTGTTTGACCTGTGAAATTTCATCAAATAATTGCACTTCTTGTCATACTGATTAATATAGAGAACTTAATTAAATAACATAAACTTGTGATTGTTAAATAGGTTATCTTGAAATTAATGGAATCTGTGAGTAATGCTAATAAAGTTGTAAGACTTGCTCTTAAACTATAAATAAATGTACTTCTTGTGTTTAATTTCGAATTTTGAAGAATAATGATTGTATTTGTAATGATGGAATGTATGAATCAAGTTTAGATAAATAATGTAAATTATGTAATAAAACTTGTTTAACTTGTGTTAATTCTAATACTTACTGTTTAACATGTTCAATTGAAAATTTTAGACAATTTAAAACTGGAAATACTTGTGATTGTATGCCAGGATATTATGAAAATCCAATTAATTAAAATTGTGAAAAATGTTCAAGTTCCTGTTCAACTTGTTCTTTATAATATGATAATTGTTTAACTTGTGATACTAGTCTTAATTTATCCATGTTTAATAACAAATGTTTATGTTCATAATCTTATTTCTTTGATTCTTTGACTAATTCATGTTAATGTAATATTATAATTATACATTTAGAATGCAATATCACTTGTTTAGAATGTTAAAATAGTAATGTATGTACATCATGTAGATTAACAACTAGACATTTAGATTCAGATTAAAAGAAATGTATATGTCATGATGGATATTTTGAGACAAATTAATAGAATTGTTAATGTAATATAATATAATATTTAGAATGTCATTTATCATGTGAAACCTGTGAAAATATTCACACTTATTGTTTAACTTGCATGAATATATACCATAGAATATTAATAAATAATACATGTTAGTGTATTGATGGATATTATGAAGCTGGAATCGAATTATGTTAAAAATGTAATAGTATTTGTAAAACATGTTAATCTTCTGCTTCATCTTGTTTATCTTGCTAAGATATTCAACATAATAGGTATTATCAAGGAAATAAATGTTTATGTAAACCAGGATATTTTGAATCAAACACAGAAATATGTTCAAGTATTATAAATTAAATTATAAAAATAGAATGTTCAAATGAATGTTTAACTTGTTAAGGTTAAGCTGATTATTGTACAAGTTGTGATATCAATTCTAAACGAATTGATTAATCAATTATCCATAAATGTCCTTGTATTACTGGATTCTATTAAGATGAAAATAAGAATTGTTAAAGTAAATTTAAAATTTATATGAATAGAATGTCATATCAAATGTTAAACATGTATAAACTAGAATGATTAATGTTTAAGTTGTAATTTTAAATTAAATTCAAATCGAATGTCTTTATCTGATAAATGTAATTGTAAAGAAGGTTACTTTGATGATGGAATATAACTTATATGTTAACAATGTAATTTGAAATGTAAAACTTGTGTAAATGAAACAAATAATTGTCAAATTTGTTAGAATTCAATACGAATAAATCCACCAATATGTAATTGTATGGATGGATATTATGAAGATGAGTAACTTACATGTTAAAGTAATTTAATATTATTTAAAATAGTTTGTTCTTCTTAATGTAATACATGTATATTGGAACCATCAAACTGTTTAACTTGTAAACCAGGAAGAATTGATAATGATTGTAAATGTATTGATGGATATTTTGAAATTGGATTAACATTATGCTCATGTATCAAATTTATTAAATTAATAGAATGTGCATTTTAATGTGCTACTTGCGATTTCGATCCTTTGAATTGCAAGACTTGTAAAGGTAATAGATTTCAAGAGCCTTAATGTATATGTTAATCTGGATATTTTGATGATCAAATAAATGAAGAATGCTAAAAATGTGATAGTACTTGTTTAGAATGTAATCTTGATGGATGCTTATCTTGTTTTGCCAATAGATTATTAAATCAAGAAATGGATTGTATACCTCCACCAAACTCAGTTTGGTATAATAATACCCCTTGGTGTTCAAGTAAAATATTCTAATATACATCTAGCTTGCCAAGTTGCAGTTATTAAGGCATATTTATCTGACGACATTAGTAAGATTATTATCCATTTTGATTTTCCTTTGAATCCAAAGGGCTTCAATTCATAAATCTAAATTAATAAATGCTTGTAATTATTTGAAGTAGAAACTGTATTAAAATTTGGCTAAAATTCTGTTTGTTACATTAATCAAGATAATAATTAGGAATTATTAATATCTTTGGGAGAATATTCAAAAATAGAAGTTGGTGAGGAAATTTTATTTAAAAGTAACTCTATATCTCATATAAATTGTGAAACTACTTTAGAAAAATTTATCTTTACTATATTATAAATGCCAATCAACCCACTTCCTCCATAAATTGAATATAATGTACCTCTTCATAAACTGAATCCATTTGCAGATAATTCTGTGTTTTTAAAATCAATCAAAAACAACGGAAATAGAAAATTAGATAATATTATTTGGAGTTGTTAAGTGAAAACAAATGAAGATAGTTCTGCTCTAAGTCAATTCATAGATTAAATTAATTTTGTTTAGGAATATAATTTATTGATACCTAAACTTACATTACCAAGCGATGCAGAATTAAAATTTAAAATTTAATATGAAAATTTCATTCATATCAATTCCTATTCAGAATTTATAATATACACTCATTTAGGAGATCTCCCCTAAATTAATATAAATGTTAAACCCTCCTATTTTGTATATGAAACAATTATAATTGGTGTTACTGCTGGTAATTTAGGCTTATCTACTTCAAAAGATAATATTAAATACTAGATTTAATTATTCGAAATAGAAAGATCCCCTATAAAATCAATTTCTTCATAATTAAATATATCAGTTGAATCTTTTTCTTTTGAATATTTCAATACAAACATTTCATAATACACTCTAAGTCCAAATTCTACTTATACTTTTTAAGTAATTGCGACAAATTTGTATACTTAGAAAGTTTAAAATTAAAACTTGACTTTTGATGTTCCATTTGCTGGATTGATCTGTTAATTTAATAATTAAGGAATATAGAGTATAAGATAAGATCTAAATCTCTAAATCTATTGTAGAGATTTAGATACTAAATATGAATGGAATGATGATCTTGATTTATATATTGAAGTAGATTGTAAGGATTTAACATCAAATAGAACTTGCTAAAATGAATAAAAATAAGCAATTAAAGTTAATAACACCAATCCTTTTTAATTTATCAGAAAGAATTCTATCTCCTCATTTACAGTATAAGAATGGAGTGTTAATGTGACAAAATTTCATTAAACTTCAAAATTTACTTAAATAATTGTTTATCTTGACAATGATTTCCCTGTTTTAGATCTAGAATTCAATTAAGGTTATTTAATGAGAAAAATTAATAATTATGAATAACTCAATTTTACATTTCTTATCCCTTTATATTAAAAAGCTTAATTATTAGATTTATCAATAGCAATAATATATAACTATCAAGTAATATAAATACTGTAGCCTAAATATATTTCTCACTAATTCAAGATTTTTAATACTATTAAAGAATTAAATTTTGGGGATGATGTCAATCTAAAATTTGCAGCTTAATATACAAATAATATCATGCCAAGCTTAAATAATATAAAACTATCTATAAATTAACCTCCTTAATGTTCAAAATTATTTATTACTCGTTCAAGTGACTTAGCACTCAATGATATCTAAGTTACAACAACATGTTAGCAATCAAATGATTTTCCTTACAGATATTAACTTAGATTATTTTTGAGAGAATCAGATTTGATTTGGTTTTTGCAAGGATAATCAGAACCCTCTTCATACAGTACAAAGTTTGGAAACTATTAAATATGTGCAAATGATACTTAAATATTAAAAGTATATGAGATGTAGTGTGTTATGAGAACAATTTCTGGAAAGTTCCATAAGTGCAATCTAAATAGGATATTAAATAATGAAACAATGGAGCAAAGTTGCGAATGTAATAAATTTGGAGATATATTTCTTACAACCTCTACTAATATTAGTAAAGTTATTGTAAACAATACTTAATAATAAGAATTGGAACTTGATAATGCTTTCTTATTAAAATAGGTTTTAGTTTTAGTAATTTGTACTGGTTCATTGACACTTTTACAATTTACAATCTATATATTTTACTTAATCAAAGAGTACTAAAACTAGAAAGATGTGATAATTGAAAAAAGTAACTTGAATCCACCTTTCCATTAGGATTAAAAGACTATAATTTATTAGGGAAATTCTATTGTTTTCAAAGAAAAATTTAAAGTAATTATCAAGTATATTTTTAGGAAATCCATTAAACAGCCTCATTGTTTTATTATAGCGACTAAGACATTCAACTTAGTTATAGAATTTTAGAAGTATTCTCTTAATTCAATTTGTTACTATCTTTAACAATTCTTGAATGTTCTAATTAAACTAATTAAATTCATTTCATTTTCCTATTCATAATTATAAATCCATTTATAATTTTGATATTAAGAATATTTTATAAGATAATTGAAGCTATTTATAGATTCAGAAGAATTGCTGCTTTTATTAGTAACTTTATTCTAATAATTTTATTAATGGCACCCAATCTTATCTTACTAATATTTTACATATTAAGGTATTTTATTCTACTATTTTAGAATATAAATTTAATAAGAATAATATATGGTTGCTATAATCTTTTTAGGGAACACTATAATATCACAAATCCTTGTAGAACCTATTACAATTTTTGCCAGAATCATTGTTTATAGATTGATAGCCTCCAGTATTAAAAATACTGATCTGAATCCTATCTATCATTTTATGCATTTTTTTGTAATGCATAGTAGTTTAGAAGAAATATTTGAAGAGTTCACTAGAATGTGACATTATACATTTATTAAAATATTATATATTAATTCAAATTTAATTTTTTTCTAAAAATAAGTTAATTAAAATATGCTATGGACAGAAAAAAATAAAAACCAAAAATTAAGTCTTTCTAGTATTTAAATAAGTTTTGTATAAAAATATTTTAGTTATGATGTTCAAAGGAACGAAAATATATATCTTTATTTCTTTTAAAAATAGGACTAGTTTATGGGTATTGGTTTTGTTTATAGCAGAATAAGAATGTACACGTTAACCTAATTTTGTGAGTGAAAAAAACAATGGATTTCATAATTAGTTTATATATATAATTATTTAATTGTGAAATAGATGGAATTAGTAAAGAGAGGATTTTAAGTTTTGAAGTAGATTCACAGCAAATTAATTCATAAATATTATCAACATCTGTACAGAAAGAGAAAATTAAGAACATTCCTGATGGGAGTAGGTAGATATAAAAGATTATAAAATTATCAGGGTCATTGTATTTATTGAGAAGATTGTCACAATTGGTAATGTTATTGACACCTTCAATTAGAAGAAATCTGCTTTAAAGATATGGAGAAGAATCTTGGGTTGTAGTAACAGGAGGATCAGATGGGATTGGTAAAGAATTTTGTATTTAATTGGCAAAATAGAAATTCAATATTGCCATAATAGGTAGAAATGCCAATAAGATGGATTAAGTTTGTTTAGAATTATAAGGTTTTGGAGTTCAAACTAAATTTATTGTAGCTGATTTTAATAATGGATATGCAGTTGATTTTTATAATAAGATCTATGAATAGCTTGAGTATTTAGATATTTCAATTTTGGTCAATAATGTTGGAGCAGCAGAAGCTGGATAATTTGAACAAATGAAAATGGAAGATTCATTCATGATGTTTAGAGTAAATGCATTATCTACTCTAATGATGACTAGAATTTTAATCAATAAATTATAGAATAGAAATAAGAAATCTGCTGTGATTACGATTTCATCTGGATTAGCATATTTACCTAGTCCACTTGTTAGTGTATATAGTGGAACAAAAGCATTCACAAATTATTTTACTTAATCTTTGGCTTTAACATCAAAGAATACAGACTTTTTGAGCGTGACTCCTTTGGGAGTAAGTACAAAGATGTTGGGAAATAGAAAAGGTTCTAATATTGTTGAAACTAATGAATTTGTTAAAAATGTGATTAATGATCTAAGATAAGGCAAGACACACAGTTTCGGTTGTTATCAACACAAATAGTTTATCAATCATTTATTATGGAGAAACTAAAATTATAGGAATAAAGTAAAAATATAAATAGGGAATAATTTAATGAATTGTTAGATGTTAAAAGGTAATTAGAAAGAATGATAAAATGAAGGATATATATAATATAATAAAACAAAAAGAAAGATAAATATTTTATTTTTTTATTCTAGTTTTTGTAATTCTAAAATCTGATTGAGGACAAGATAGAAATTCACTAATTAATAAATGCTATTCAGATTGATTATTTCTGGTTTTAGTCATTATTAATTATTCCAAAACGCTGACAATAATAAGTATGTTTTTCTAAAGTATTCTTGAACTTTAATTGCATTTGAAATTAATCCTTGTTAATTTAATACTAAATTGGCTTATTTATATCATCCAAACTTGCCCTTTTGATTGTTAAATTACTTAAGAATACTATTAATCTATTTTTAATCCTTTTCTACCTATGATTGCTTTTTCCATTTTTATTTGTTGTTTATATGTTAGCGATATTAGAATCTTAAGACTTGATATAACCTTTCTTTATCTTTGCATCAAATGAGGATCACTTAAATCTATCTTGACCAAATTTAATCTTCTGATATTTATTTAAATAATTCACCATTTAACTTTATTGCAAACTGGAAATATAATTATTGTATAAGTAAGGATTCTAGTATTTTCTCTTACTTTTGGATTAATTTATAGAGTTATGTTGAGATAGAAGGAGTCTTCTTATATTTGAAAAATAATACTTATTTTTATTAATCAATTATTTAATTGTAATAAATGGAATTATTAATAATTAATTTATTAGATAATAGATGGAATTAGCTTTAATCTTGACTTAGTTTGAATAACTTCCTAAATAGTAATATTATTTACTATTAATAAATATATTAATATTGTTTAAGAATAGTAAAATATCATCATAAAATAATTAACATAAAAAGTAATAATAATAATATTAAATTTGAGAACTAGTATATCAATAAGAAGATATGGAATAAATTAAAAATGAAAAGGATAATTACAATATTAAATAATGAATTCAATTTTGCAAACTTATGATATATGATAATGTTGTTTTTGCATTACAATAATAAATTTTAATTATTGGATGTATAGTATTTAAATAAATAAAATTAACATCTAATTAATAGAAATATATTAGAGAATTAGATTAATAATAACACATCTTTAGATAAAATAATTATTCACTATTGAATATATTTTAAAAAGAAGATAAAAAGAGTAACGGATGGAATAGAGAAGAGAAAACTTATATGTTAAAATAGATACTCTTGTATTGAGATGTAATAAGTGTCATTAAGTCATTATATTGTTTTAAGAATAAGTAATAAGATATTCAAGAGAGTTTAATAAATGTGAATTATTTAGTTAAATTTGATATAGTTATTAAAACAATTAAAATGAAACAGACAAGAGTTTAATCTGCTGCTACAAATTCTCGTCTACGAGATAATCATTATGATCCTAAAGTGCACACAAAGGCTTGGATTGCTCCAGGTAGATGTTGAAATTTAAATTAGGAATATTCAATTAATTACCTAAATATGAGCATTTAGATTCTGGTCTAGTTGTTATTCATTAGAAAAATAACAAAATGAAATAGTTTAAGGAATTCTCAGAATTAAACTAAGAGATTTAATAGATGCAAGAGAAGGATGAATTTAGAAAGTTTAAGGAGTTTGAGAATCTATATAATGGAGATTTAGTTGTGACAATTGAATATTGGTATACATTTGAGTAACAGTCGATAGTACAAATTGCTCTCAGCATGCAGGATCAACTAGACATGACGAAGAGAAATATTATACATTCGCCACCAATTTAAAATAGGAACTTATTTAGTAATATCCAACAGCTAAGGTTTATTTGAAACCATTGATCTATGACCCACATGATTATTCAATAGACACTCTCTATATTCAAAGGAGAATTGGAGCATTTGAAGTATAAGTCTGTTCTAAGAATGGAGATCAATTCAAAAAAGGTTTAGTATTTTCAAAGTTGAATACTAAAATGTGGCCTAATTATACAGAAGTCATTGAAAGAGTCAGTGATTATTTAAATACTGCTCCATTAGAAATTTATGTCAGTTTTGGTGAAAATATAACAGGGAATCTTAATAACATAGAAGTAACTTTGACTCCACATAGACAAGATAGACCATAATCAAGTGTCTCAAGGATATCTTCATAAACTAAAAGAACAAATCGAACTATTACAAAAGAAAGAAAAATCAAAGCTAAAACAAATAATCAAGGATATATCAAATTATAAGATGTTCCTGTTGATGTCTATGTTGTAGAAGTGCAAGAATCTAATGATTATCTTAATGAATAATTACTATTGAATATGGTAGAAATGGCTGAACAAAGTAATGATACAATACAGGTTGTTATTAAATTAAAAAAATAAACTCATTCATATTTGGATATTAAGATATTTAATTAATAGGGTTCTGGTTTAAGTGAAGCCAAAATTACTATAACAAATCTTCAAACTCAAGAAAGTATGTTATCAAGAGAAATTGAATCTGGTAGATATGAAGCAATCATAGAACCTAATTAGTATACCTTAACTGTCTAAAAAAGAGGATACAAAGAATTAGCTTAGAATTTTGATGCAGCCTAAGGAGTCAATGAATTTAAATTAATCTTGGAAGTAGATCCTAATGATTAATAACTAATAAAACCCCCTTAATCAGCAAAATAATTATAACCCATATAAAAACCAAGTAGTGCACGTCCAACAAGTGCTTAAAGATCATAATAAGGTAGTAATACAAATCAATCTTAATAATAAATGAATAAATAATAATAACATTAATAATAATAATAATAATAATAATAATAATAGTTACCACCAAAACCAAGATCTTAATAATAGTCTATTTAATCTTATGAATAACCTGAATATATGGAACCAACTAAATAAGAAGCTATCTCAAATCCTAATAGGCCTATTTCAGGTTATAAATCTACATAAGTGTTTATTTATGATCCATACACTAATTTACCAATAGAAGGAGTTCAAGTCATTTTAAATGAAGAATCTACAAAACAAGCATAAACTTATGTAACTGATTAAGAAGGAACTTGCAGAATTATAGTATAAGGAGTTTTGGAAGGCAAAATGGTGATTTAAACGTATTATTATATTATTGATTGTTTTTAGTGAAGGATATTTCCCTATAGTTGAAGAATATGGGACTACTTAATCTAAAATGAATTTATATTAATTGAGAGAATTGTCATTTCCTTTAATTCAACATCTAGAAGACAAGAATTCAGTTATGATTCTAGTTCAAACAAATGTTGAAGTGATGCCAATTGACATTAAGATGATTCTACCTGATAATGTGTAGATTGATTAGAGTCATTAAAATGTACTCTATGATTTGAATGATGAATCTGGTTGTTAAAGAATAATAGTACATGATCTTCATACAAAGAGAGGTGTCTATAGAATAATTGCAGATATCATTGAACCTGATTATGTACATCCACAACATTTAAAAGTGTACATCATAACTAATAAAGAGTTGAAATTAGTTGATGTACCTAAGACTATTAATTAAGAATAAATCTATTGGGATATTGGTGTAATTTGTGGTAATTTATTTATTCATTTAATCATTAGCTCCCAATTCTGGATTTCTAGAAATTAACACTCCAACTGATGAAATTTTGAAGAGAGATAAATATCTTAAGGATTACCAGAGTTTGTTGCAATTCATAAAGAATTCTAAGAATATGGATTTAAAAACTATCTTAGGATTCAATGATAAAGAAAGACTTGAATTATAAGGAGATATCTTTGTGTAGAAGGATAAAATTAAGAATACTCTAGATAAATATGGGTTTGAATCAATCACTAATCTTGATTATTTGATATAATCAGCTATGATGTCTAATGGATTGTACAGTTTTAAAAGACTAGAATAGAAATTTGGTAATCTAGATTTTGAATTCATATTTGATGATGAGAATTCAACTAGTAAATAAAAGGAAATGAGTGAGGATGAACCTTATGATGATGATTATGATATATGAAATTATTATTAAATTAAAATGACTGATAAATTATATCTATTATGATTCCAAAGAGATCTATAAAGATTAGTAAATCTGTTATCATTACATAAAACTCATTATTAATGATTACAGAATAATTAATAATCTAAAATTTAACTTAATTATATAGACTTTAAATTGTAATATTAATGAACTTGAATAAAGAATTATGTATTAAATTTAAGACAAAGAGAAAGTATTATCATAATCTGAAAAGTGAATTCCTTTTCATGTCAAAATAGGATTGATATTATTGCTATTATGGAGAAGATTATAAAATATATAGACATATAAACAATAGTATCATATCATTTAAAGTATTGAAGAGAAAAATGATTGATTGCTATAATATGAAACAAGAAAAGAACTATGAAAATATTGGATTGAAGCAAGAAAATTCTTATTGAAATTGAATTTAGCAGACACAAAATTAGATATTAATAAGCTGGGATTAAAATATAGTTTTTAACATGAGATTAGGTAGAAACTACTATTCTTCTAAATTAATCTAAATCAAATTGCTAGTAGTAAAAATGTATATTAGACAATTTGATAATTATAGAACATCTTATTATAAAGATGGGGCTAATTATTCAATTAGGAACTCGAATTTAAAGAATTTAGTTCGAAAATATTATAAGAAATCCATCTTATTTACTAAGACAGAAAAACTTTAATATATATTTTGATGATTATATTGTTTTTAGTATTGTATTTAAATTCATTCAATTCAAATTCTTGATTATTATCTTATAATGACATTTAATCTTGCATTTTCATCAATATAATAATTTAATTAATTCTTCAAATTCTCTATCAAATACATATTCTTTTATTCATAAATTAAACCCTATTATAAACGAGAAAACTCTTCAGAAATCTATTTCAATTCATTCTTTAATTAATCTGTCTCCTATTCATATTTTATTTACTATTATTCTAACTATTTCTTTAATTCATACTCCTTTTGTATCACACTATGTAATCTATCATTTTCCATACAAAGAATTACATATCTCTATTATAATTGTTACAATGGCATCAATTATTATTATGATTACATTTTAAGTTTTAATGAATCAACCTCAAATTTTAATTATGTAACTTATTATTATGATTAACTTAAATTTTGACTAGTTGCATGTATTTATTAAGTCTTATGTGTTATTTCATCTTATAACTCTTTATTAAATTTATCTATAATCTAATATTATTGATCTTTTTGTTAAGTCATAAATTAAACCTTCTAATTAATTGTATTTAAAGTATTTCTTATTTCTTAATTCTCCAAATTCTTTTCTTCCAAAATTGCTTTGAATTTAAAAATCTCTTAGTCTTTTATTTATAATTACTATCTGAGGAATTAAGTTTCATCATGATTTTTATTTTAAGTATGACATTATGATTCCAATTGATGTTACAAATCTTTGATTACTTCTTATTTTATTTTAATTTCTTTTAATTATTATTCAGATACTTTGGATATCTATTCTAATTCATTTATCAATCGTAATTGATCTTAATACATTTTATCATAGCTGTGTTTAAGATTCTCATAATCGAATGCTTATTAATTAATCTGATCTTTCATTTTTTAATTGTGCTATATTAATATTTTTATTTCTTTCTCTGAATCATTTGTATTTTATCTTATTTATTAATTCTCATTTCCTTTCGAAAATTAATGTTATGAAGGACTAAAATGTTATTAAGTTGATGGACTTATTCTTAAAGGAGAAAAAATGTTTTCTTTTCTATGCATCAAAGGCATCATCTATTGAGATGGCTAAAAGACTTATCTTTTCTCAATTGGGGCTGTGAATTACATTTCTGTTAAATATTTTAATCTTAAAATATAATATAAATTAGAATATTTAATAATTACTATTTTATAATATATCCACAAATCGATAACAATCTATCTTTAAATCAAATAATAAATAACTTTAGATGAAGTTTTAATCAAGTAATCAAATTTAATGATCAAAATTAAATATAATGTATAAATTTAATGAGCAAATTCTCTTTATATTATTAATGAATAAGTCATCTCATAAGTAGAATAATAAGTTTTAAATATTTTACTATATGTACTTATTAAATTAATTATATTTTACAATTATAACAATTAATAAATTAAGAAATGTTTTTTATCTTGAATGTATTATTTATAAATATCATTAAATAGTAAAATTCTACTAGAGCTATCTTATTTGAATTTGTTCTGATTCTTCATCCCATATTAACAGAAATTCTCCATTATCGCTCAAAGTTCCATTGATATATTTATTTTGGAACTCTATAGTTTATTCCCATTTATAACTTAAATTATTGTTTGATAGAGAAGGTGTGATTCTTAATATATTAACAAACCGCGCATTTTTTATAACTAGTAAATTCAAAGATTTAATATATACTGATGGAAAATAATAATAACAAAATTCTTCTTTTCCTTTTACAGGAATTTAATATAATTGTTGATATTATTGTTTAGAAGAATTGAAATAATATATATATAGATGAGTACCATCATAAAGACTATTTGGCTGAAATAAAAACATACTATTTGTAATGTATGATAAACGATATCCATAATAATGCAGTTGAATTTTTTATTTAATTAACCATAATGTCTAATTTGATCCTTCAATTATAAAAATTGATTTATCTTAACTACAAGATATTAATTAAGTTCCATCTGTGTTGATAATTAAAGAAATGACTGGTTAACTATGTTCAGATATTGTCTATTTACAATACCATTGTGTTTTTATTGACCAAAATTTTATGTTATTATCTTCAGAACCTGTAATAATGAGATCTTCAAATATTGGATGAATGACCATAGACATGATTGAAAGAGAATGTCCATTTAACTTGCAAATGTATTTAGTATTTGAAATGAGATTGTTATTCCAAATTATTAATGAAGGATGAACTTAAGCAGATATAAGGAATGGTTTAATTTTACAATAAATTAAGAGTGATATATAATAACCTCGTATCTACATTATTTGAATTTATTTCATAAACCCTCTTTTAAAATTAAAAATTTTGATTTCACTATTTGTTCCAACAGCAACCAAAGTATTGATGTTATTTATAGCTAAAGTTAAGAATATTCCTTCTACTTTATAGAGAGATAATAATTGATAATTAGTATGTCTACTTTAATTCTATTTTGAAATGTTGCATCCCATGTCTTATTATATTTATATTAAATATTCTAGTTGATTAGATTTTAATCAATTATTTAAAGAGTCACTCTTTCTTTATATCAATTAAACACTAACTTACAATTAGTTTCAGCAACTTATATAGTATTTTTCAATCTGTAGAACTTCATTAATATATCAATAATCAATATGTAGATTATAATCAATAAATAGGTTTATTAATAAATTGATAATATTATAAGATCATTGAAAAAATAAAATAAACATAAAAAATGGATAATCTAATAAGGTTATTTATTAAATGATCATCTACCAAGTGATGTACATATTTAATAGAAAATCAAATATATGAATTTATATGATTATTATTAATATTACAATTTTCAATCTTGAATAAATTATGAATTTCTGAATAGCTTTAGGATTTCCAACAATATGCTTATTCTGATAGCAAAATTTCTGATGAGAAAATTTACCATACTATTTTTAAGTATTTTTATTAATCTAAATGCAGATGAAACAATATTCAAAATATAATATTTAAAAGTTAGCATAAACAATATAAGTTGTTTTATAATAAATTTATAATATTTTCATCAGCACTCATAGCAAAACTTTTGCTTATATAAGAATAATGTATGTAAATATCTACAAATAATTACATTTTCTAATTTAAATAAAGAATTTTTAATTTAAATTCCACCACATCATTCTTTCTTCAACCATCATTTCTTAATATTCATTTTCTAAATAATAAATAGTAGAAAATCCTGTGAAAATATTACTATTTATTCTACAATTAAAACGTGTTACTACTCACATTAGAATAATATTAAGCTTTGTTTCATTAATTGATACTCTATATGAGTAAAAGAAACATCAATGAGGATTGCCATAAATTGAGAAAGTTTACTTATTTAGGACTCTTAATTTCTACCTTTTTATATATTTAATATAATTGTAAATTATTAAAACTTTAACTAAACTTTATTTGAAATTCATAGATTCTTAATGTAAGGTATTTTCTTATTAATTACATAAATCCATTTCAAATAATAATAATTTCTAATGTTCATTTAATTTTTAACATAATAAATTCATTGATCAAAACAATACCATTTATTGTGTCAATATCAAATGAACATAAGATTTTTGAATTTCACAAATTAATTAGCTAAGAAATATTTGATCCTTCTAATTCTATCCCATTTATTACTTTTTCTAATTTACAACCAGTAATTAATTTTCTTCAATTTTATTATATATTTATTAAAAACGAATACATTTTCACAAATAAGGAAATGAGACCATTAAAATGATATATCCACAATCAAGGGAATTTAAGGAAGCTTTGATTATGAAACTTTAAATTAAAAAATATTGAATTACAAATTATTTAATGATATCATTCTAATTGATATAATACATACCCCCTATTTCAAAATATGAATTATTTAAGGAGGTTCAGTAAATTTAATTTCTTATAATTAATATCCTTAGAATAATAAATAATGGAATAAGTCTTAAACACTTTATTAACTCAATCATCAACGAAACAAATACAAATTGTTTTTATCAATAAAAACCTTTTGAATAGAAAGAATTCACTTTTCTAAATACAATTAAATTAATTATAAAAATGTCAAGTATTGAATATTTATTATTGTTATTAGTAATCTTTAGAAAGGTAGGGAGAACAATTGGCACTCAAATAATCTTGTATTAAAAGATAACACAAAAGTCCATTAATTAGAAAACAATATACTAAAGATCCATAGAATAAATAAATGCTTTCCATGACTTAATAACTACATTAGAAATTCATTTAATAAAAACAAAAAGAATTAGTTTAATTAATTACTATATGTTTAACAATCCTGTCACTTATTGTGATGATTGTTGAATATCATTAATAAGAAAATTAAAGAAGATTCTATGATAATTGAATTTTTATAATATTAAAACTCTATTAATGTAATACTAATAACTTGATTAAATATTATAAACCTGATATGTTATTTCTTCATTCTACATAGTGATCAAACTTCTAAATTAAAGAATATCTATTAGACCATATATATATATATAAGATTAAAAATTAACTGTTTTTTAATAAAAGAAAAATATTATAATATTGTTAATATTCATAATTTAAAACAAGAATATTAAAAGTTGTAAATCTAATAGAAAATTTTGAAAGAAGAGAAAATATTTTAAAATTAAATAATTATATTTCAAAATATTATATTAAATAAATTTAATATTTAATATAATCATAAATACAATTTAGAATTAATAATAAAGAATTAAACGGAAATGATATTCTATTTTATCAACTTATTTAAATAGAACACCATAAGGGATTTAAATGGTTACAGTCATATGAAGATGTTTAGAAAAAAGTAAAATTATGGATAAGCAGTTTGATTGAGTATTACAGACTGTCGAAAATTTTACTTTTTCTTTCTATTTACTTAATGTTTATATCAACAGAAAAAAGAATAATATCTTTTAATAAATAGGTTTTTTGTAATAGTATCTAAAGAAAATTGGTGTATTTATATCGGAACCAAGAAACTTTGTGATATGAAACAATTGATGTATCATCTTTATCATATTCTTCCGATTTAAAATCCTCTCTTTAAGTAACTTACATAAAATTTAAATGATCAAAATAAAATTATATAAAATTAATATTATAATAGCATTTTAAAAATTTATTTTCTTTCATATATCAACATTTATAGAATTATTCAGATAACCCTATATTTTAAAGTCTAAATTTTGATTATGTATAATTTTAAAGAAGAATGACATTAAACTCTCAAAAATACTTATTATTTATCATATTGAATTCAATTATTATTTAATTCATATACAAGAAATTTCTGTCCAACTTTCTCCCAAATTACCAAATATCTTCCATCATAAGTTAATGCTCCAAAAATATAATTGGATTCAAATTTTATCTATGTGATTATTTTGAGTTAGCCTTCATTTGATATTTTGATCAAGTAAACATAATATTTGTGTTTAACAATCATTAAATTATTTTATCTGACATAACATATTGGAAATAAACTGAGATCACCAGTTTTATCATTTTAAATTAATTTTAATTCTTTTGAAAAATTTTCTTGATATTTTTAATTTATTAGTTCAAATGTACTAATACAATCCTTACTTACTTTATTTCCTGCAATCCAAATAAATTAGTCATTATTTATAAAGCATAATCTACATCCATATTCTTAAATTGATTTTGTAACTACTTATCCAAATTACCATTTTTGTACATTGTCCATCTTCCAAATTATTATATCTTCACCACAAGAAACCAAAGTATCTTCAGATTGATTAAAACACAAACTATAAACATTATTTGTATGTTTATCTAAAGAATAAAGATAAGTTAATTAATTATTAGTAAAATCAATTTTCCAAATTTTAATTGATTTATCTCTTCCTCCAGAAATAAGTTAGTTTTCAGATTGATTTAAGATTAAGCAATCTATACAATTTGTATGTTAAGTATAGGATTAGGAACTCTTCCATTCTTTTTAATTAATTTAATTCCAACAACGAATAGAATTATCAGCACCTGCAGATACGAAACTATTGCTTTTTTAACTAAATTACAAGCAAAATATAGTTTAAGTATGTCCAATACTTTTGGTAATTTCATTCATTTTTCCTTACTCAAATTTCCATACTATAATGTCACAATTAGAGGCTGAGATCATGAGAGATCCAGATTAATTAAAAGAAATTGCATAGCAAGTTGCTTCTTTTTTAATTGAATTATCTATTAATTTCATATTCATATTATGGTGTAAATTTAAATTGATTAAAGCTTTGTCACATTATGAATATAATTCTTAGTCCCTGAGAGCGGATAGTTTCATATTGATTTTTTCATAAAGCTAATTGTTAAGTTTTGTTATTTAGGCAATAATTGATTATTCATTAAATAAGTTTTGCATTTAACTATCCATTATAATAATTTCTAATTCATCATAGAAACTATATTATGAATTATATTATCCAATATTATTAAGACTTTAGATCCACTCTGAAGAATTAGATATTAATTCATCAAATAATTATATAATTTTTGACTTTAATTATTTTAGTTCACTCACAAATGATTCTACTAAATCTACATCAATATTAATCAATTTTTAGATTTTTTCCACTTTATTCTGTTAGTTGTCTTAAATCTTTTAAAGTACTTTTTTAATTCCAATTATTTTAGTTTCACCTTCAAAATTTTCCAAACAAATTGCACATAAAAGACGTTCTTCTCTCTTTAAGTTTTTATCTAATAAAACCATTTGAATAGGACTTTTATGGTTTTTGCTGCAATTAAGTTATTCTTCTAATTCTATCATTTTTGGTTAAAACATAATTAAATAAATTAAGATTAATAAATTAACTAATTCTAATTGAAAATCACTTACAGTTATTAGAGGAGGAATTTAATTAGTTTAATATATGATCAATTTAGTGATCTCATTTTAATCTTATTTAAAGCTGAATAAAGAAGTACTTGTCAATTTAATAAAAATATTAAATTTACTATTAATTATTTATTTTACACTTATATTTTGCATATACCTTGAGACATATAAGTATTAATTAAGTTTCCCGAATAAAAAAAAATCAGAATTAATTAATATCGAATTGATTTACATCTTCACAATAAATACTTCAAGATAGATAGAGTTATATTAGAGGTTAATTCTTTCCCATATCTATTATACAAAACTTTTAAAATTCAGTTCCTTAGATTAGAAAGTGTAAAAGAAAAGAATCTAAATTTTTATTATTGTTATTTTAAGACTAATACCTATAAATTGAATTATAATCTAATAATAATAATTATTATTATTATAATCTTATATTCATAATAAAATGAACATTAAAAATTACTCAAGTCTCCTTGTCACTAGGCTTTTCAATTTTAAAACTAATTAATATATTTTCAAATATAAATTATCGATCTTCTCACACACATAATCTTAATAAAACTACAACAAATAGATTTAAGATCCAGATAGAAAATAAAATCTAATTCTTCTTCAAATATTCAAATTCCTTGTTTAAATCAGGATCATGCATAGGTAAATGGCTAAAAGTCTATTTATCACCAAATTTATATTGCTTCAAGCTAGTATGAATCTATCTAAATAACCATTATTAGGTATATACTTGATATTAAAATTACTTTATAATAGTCTGTTTCATTGATTCAATCGATAGAATTATCCTCTAATTTCACTTTGTTTCATCCTAATTCCAGCTTATTCATATTCC